GGCGCATGTTTAACCTTTTTCCCTTTTGTTGGCTCTTTGTGTTTGTTAAATAAAAATCCTTCGTTTTGTGACACAAATTACTCTGTTTATTATTTACCTACACACCGCATCTCTTACTCCCACTACCACATCACTCCTGGCGAGCTGAGGGACGTAACAATGCTTGAAAACCTACGATTCCTGTCTGCAACCGACCAATGAAAACACACCTTTGGGACGCTGCAGCAGCAAGACTCCGCCTCTCTGAGCTTCGGTTTCAATTTATGTTTAAAATGTGGATTATAAACTACACACCAGTTTTTCTTCTGTTAAGAGTCCAAGTTAAACCAGAGTTATACCTAAAATGATTAAACTACATTTTTTAGACCATCAGATAAATTGTGAAAACCATGGTTTTGTGATCTGTGAGAGCTGAGAGGAGATGAGCTCACGAACATAAAAAACGAAACGCAAAAACATGAGATCCCTTTGCTGTTGATGGAAATCTCACATATTTAACCGATAAAAGGGATGGTTCAGTAGCGGTTCGCTGCTGAGGGACAGAGGAAGCTGCGCTCCGTGACAGTGGGTGTGAGCTGTCACACAGAGCAGAGCTGCAGAGCAGTGAGGCAGAATTCACGGCAAAAGTTTAGATACTGCAGCGATCTGTGACATATTCCTACTCTCTTGTGTATAAAGGAGAAGGATGAATGACCAGCAGACAGCTCGCTGTTTGGCTGAAAGACGGGAAAAGGAGACTTGCAGCCGAAGCGAGGGTTTTAAAAGCAAATCTTCCTCTTTGAGGAAGATGAGCTGGGTCATGAGCGGACACTAAAAAGAAGTGTTTTTATCTTTTCTGCTTTGTTTTGTTTAGCGGTCTGCTTAGTGACGTATGCTTTTGGAGGTGCGCTCATGACGCAGTGTCTCCTGCTGAAGAGAGACGTCATGCAGTCTGGCTCACTGAAATCTTGCACCGTACAGAGTGCCACCTTTCTGGAGTTGTCACAGTGTGACATGAACAATCCTGAGCGACGGCCAAATATCACACAGTGTGATCCGGGCTGAAGACCACCCATCCGAAGGCAGGGGGTAGGTCAGGTTTTCACAGCAGAAGCCTTCATCTCCAGGACTCTCTCTCAGACACAAAGGACAGCCTAAGGTAGTTCTGTTAGCATCATGGGGGCGGAATCTACAGTCGTCTTTCAAACAGTCTCCACATGCTACAACAAACGTCACGTACTCGTCGCTATGGATGTCAGTCGATGGGGCAGTCCGCCAGACTCTGTCAAAGCTAATGCATCCTTTTTCTAATTAAGTACCTCTATCTGCTCTTGACTCAAAGAAAAGCCCACGTCTAAATAGTCCAAAGATGACGCCAAAGCCGTTTCAAACGAGCCATCGCCATCATAGTTTGTACACTCGGTCACAGTAACATCCCACCCACCAAACCGACACACTGTTCAGGCCAACGGTTGACCTGCTGAGGCTCCTATGGAGCGTGGCTATACCAACATACTGAGCAAAATCATTTTGCATCGCCTACCATCTGTCTAGATTCCTAAGCTACTGAAATCTTGTATCAAACACACTTTTTCACACAGAGCTGCTTAAATGAGAAGCATATTCACTATTTTGGTTCTAGCTGGACTGTTTTCTGCTCTCTCCATCGTTCTATGGACCCATACTGATTGGGTAATAACTCTGCTTTGGTTCTTAGCGGTAATAACAATGTCATTAACATACACTCAGGAACCAAGCAAAACTGCGTTTTAGCTTCACATGCTCAGCGACAACAGTTTGAGAGAGACAGACGCATCGATTTGTTCAGGTACTTGTGATCATCAAAGTAAGTGGTGCTTTTAATTACCCATAGCAGATGCTGCTTTTAAATAAAGAATACATCATCAAAGCTGCACACTTCACATTTGGCACGATGGTGGGGATGGGCTGGGGAATGGATTATTCCCACAATGGGGGAGGGGGGTGTAGGACCAGGATAAAATCTCTTCAGCGTGAATGGAAACGGACAGAAAAAGGTGGACTGGAAACAGAATGAAGACGCAAATTTTTAAGCCCAGGAATAAATGATCAGCTGTGTGCCACCGACCTTCAGAAGTATTTATTTAAATTTTTCACATCTCTCTACCAGTCCCTTTGGATTATTCACAGAATATTTCAGCTATGTGAAGAAAACCCACTTTAACTGCAGGAACAGTAAACCTCTGAGCACTTTTCTAATCTTCTAGACATTGATAATGGAAATCAGTAACATTGGTACCAATGGTTTACAAAATGGCTAATTATTGCCCATTTGTGCACACCTAACTCAATCTGAAACTATAATCTAACCCCACTTAAACACTCAAGTGAAAACGGATAAGGTGATTCAAAAATGCTAAATATTCTAATATTAAAATTTGATAAATGCTTTGTGAGGAGCGTTGAATTCTCGCAGTTCAAGTCAACAATGAGCACTGTACTAAGATCTATTATGGAAGAGAATGTGAGTGAAATGTCTCATTCACATTTTTTGAAATGAATTAGCTGTAGTCTTAAGTTGAAGTCATTTTCTGTGGAAAAAGACTTGTGCTCCTGTTTCAAAGGCAGACGTTTGTCGAAGGAGTGGGGGTGAGGCCAGGAAAAGACAGGATTTGGAGTCTTGCTCATTAATATTCAACATATGCAAACAGGTTCTTGTTCACGAATGAGGGGAAAGTGGACTGTGAGATCTGGTGTTGTGTCTGCAGTGATGCGATCTGTTGTGGTGAAGAGAGAGCTGAGCCGGACGACCCAAAGCTCCTCTATGGCGGCCGAAAGAATGAGGTCGCAGATAAGTGTCCAAAATGAGTTTTCTCCACAGGGTGTCTGGGGTCTCCCTTAGAGATAGGGTGAGAAGCTCGGTCATCTGGGAGGGGCTCAAAGTAGACCTGCAGCTGTTCCACATTGAGAGGTGCCAGTTGAGGTGGCCCAGGCATCTGGTTAGAATGCCTCCTAGATCCCTCCGGGTACAACCACTCAGAAGTCGGCCTAAGGGAAGACCCAGGACGTGATGTTTCTCAGCTGGCCAGGGAACACCTTGGGATTCCCCCCCGAGGAGCTGACCCAAGTGGATGGGGGGATGGACGTTTGGGCCTCCCTGCTTAGATTGCTGCCCCCACAACCAGACCCCGGATAAGCAGAGGATGATGGATGGATATGCAAAAATCTTGCATATTATTGGTTCACAGCAGAGCCTCTTCTACTGCTTTTGTTCACTCTTCTAATGCAAAAAATGCAACGTTGAGGTTTTATCTCCATAAATGACACAAGCCTCAACACTTTTTGCCATGTTGTGGAGTTGCGAATGCTAATAATTAGTGGTCGGATGATATATCAGGCAGATATATTCAATTTCTTCTATATCGGCCGAAAATATTTTTAAAAGCCGATTAAAAAAATTATAATCAGGCACCTGCGTGGCCAACTGCCGCCACTACTAGACTGAAGAAAGGACCCGAAGGACCCCAACACATGTTGTTTTGAGTTTGTTTTATATTTGAAGTTCAATAAATATTAAGAGATTTATTGACTTCTTTAATTTATACTGCCCACAGTGAGTTGTCTTTCACAATCAATGTGCTGCTAAAACGTATATATCGGCCTTAATAATCGGCTTTAGATACCGGCAACAAAAATCTTTAAAAATCGGTATCAGCCTTAAAAACCCATATCGGGTTTTAGCTGAAACGTGCTCTGCTCTCTCCTGGTTGCAAAATCATCACAACCTTTTGCGGTCGTAAGCCAAGGTGAGCGAGACCATGAAGGCTAATTTTTCTCTGTGGCATCGAGGAGACTTTTTATTTTTCTGATCAGACTGATTTTCTATCCGTTTCTTTTCTGTGGCTAATGCAGGCGATGGGGCTGAAGAAAATGTTCATGTTCAGCACGCATGCTCACTTCTGAGCAACTGACTGTATTTTGAAAGAAAAATATCACGTTTTCTCTGAGAAGGAGACCTATAAAGGAAAAATGGCGTAAGGACATCCAGTCTGATGAACTCTCCCCAGCCAGTTTAGATGACAGAGCTCAGATGCTAAAGCTCAACTTTTCAGCCTTCTTGTTTTATTATTACAATAATGCAATTCTCCTTTTTGGTTTCTGATGCATCTACGTTAAGCCTCAAAACCTATTTCATAGCTCTGCGCACTTGTGTGGATTAGAATAAACTACTATTTTATTCTAAGAACAGACTTTATGCTTTTGTTGCAATTTTAGAACCACGGCATGTTGACAGATTCACGTTTGGGCGCATCTTAAAATTCAAACGAGAGGAATCTATGAGCAGTTTGACACATTTAAAAAAATCTTTGTGTCAAAAACTTTTTTTTTTTCTTTTTTGAAACATACTGGAATACTTTATTTATGTCCCAGTTCGACTACAGTGAACGGCGGGGAGGTTGGGAGTGTGAGGGTATACCTTAATGATGAGGAGAAGCTCACAATCCAGCACCCTCCCAATTAATTGGGATGTTCCAGAGTGTGGGATGAGCGTTCAGCCTTACATTATTCAGTCCACATAGATTTGTCAGGAATGATAACGGGGGACCTTGATGTTGCAGACCCCCTCTTGTAATGAGGCGTACAGTTAGAGAGCTGCTGGAGCTCAGTTGGCTGAATTTGTGATCACAGCAGGGATCATCTGCTCAAGGTTACAGTGTTCTGTGTAGCAAGTGGGCAACCCTGCTGTGGGGGGGGAGTATATTTGGATGCTTCAATCAATGTGAGTGCTGAGCACAGATTGTATGGCACAGAGACCCAGGCATGGCTTAAAAGAGAGTATTAATCATACATGGGTTCATAGTGTGTGCACATGCTCGATGCTAAATCTGCTTGGTGGTGTCCTTTATTAAAAAAACGCTGCTGAAATCCAAGCAGCTGCTTGTGTGGCAGAGTTCAGGCCTCTCAGCAGGACGGGACTTTAAATTCTGCTGTAGTTTAACCTTGTTAGAGTTAAAAAATTGAAGATTTTATCCCAAACTTACCGTTTATATGAAATTTTCTGTTTCCTCTTGTGACAGTCCAGCACCCATTCCTTCCGAACGATGATGCCGCCTGCTGATTTCACCTGACTGTACTTGGGGGTGTTGGCAAAAGCACAGCTGGGGATTAATGAGACAAAACAAATGTGCACATAAACACACCGAAACGATTACATTACCACAGAGACAACAGAAAAACATCGCTCCGGCAGCTGAAGCAGACTAAATCACGGAGTAGCAACTGGGCCAGTGACACAACTCAATGAAAAAAAACACAAAGAATTAAATCACAGGAATAAAAATGTATTAAAAACTCATTTAATAATAAACTAAGTTGTTTTTATCAGAACTATTTAATATAGTCATCATATTTATATGAGTTTGGATTGGTTTAGTCAACTTTAATAAAGTTTTCTTTTTTTCTTCTCTTTCAGTTAAAAATCCATTGATTCTGCTTTAAGCTGCAGGCGCCTGCTCCTAAATCATCTACAGCTCTGCCCCGTCTACACCAAATTTGACCGGTACTAATTTATCTGAAAGACCATCTAATTCACATCTCCTTTAAATGGATACTATGGAACTTTTTCACATTTTTAAATCATTTTCTTGAGCCAGTATGTGCTAAAATGACTCTTTACAGTGTTATTAAATGTCACTCAGACCCCATCGCCCTCTGTGACCAGAATACCACAATTGCAACTTCAGAGTTGCCTTGCCGGACCAGTCCCTACTGTTGCTGTGGAGTGGAGCTAGCATGGTGGAGCTGAAGTCTGCTTCCAGCATGTTTCCTGCATGTTGTATATCGTGAACACAGCTGATTTGTTTCATTTAGTGATGAACCGCTCTTTAGAAACTTAAAAGACAAACACACAGCGAGGAGATAAGTTTCACTTTTGCTTTGAACACAGATAATAACAGACACTTGGGGGTGCTAAAAGCAAGAAAAACAGTCTAGCATCCCTTTAAATTTCTAAATTACTTAAAAATTATGATGCTGGAATAAGAAACTTTCACTTGGAGCATCTGTTTTGGCTAGAGTGAATTTGCTCTTAGCGATGGTGAGTTTATGGACCAGGAAAACTGTAGGATTTTTAATTTTCAAACTGGCCGATCATGCTGAATGTTCACTAATACTGATCTTTTCATGAGCACAATATACAGGTGCTGGCCAGTAAATTAGAATATCATCAAAAGGTTGAAAATATTTCAGTAATTCCATTCAAAACGTGAAACTTGTACATTATATTCATGCAATGCACACAGACCAATGTATTTCCGATGTTTATTACGTTTAATTTTGATATTTATAGGTGACAACCAATGAAAACATCAAATCTGGTATCTCAGAAAATTAGAATATTCTAAAGGCCAATGAAAAAATGTTTGTTTCTCTAATGTTGGCCAACTGAAAAGAATGAACATGAAAAGAATGTGCATGTATAGCACTCAATACTTAGTCGGGGCTCCTTTTGCCTCAATAACTGCAGTAATGCGGCGTGGCATGGACTCGATCAGTCTGTGGCACTGCTCAGGTGTTATGAGAGCCCAGGTTGCTCTGATAGTCGTCTTCAGCTCCTCTGCATTGTTGGGTCTAGCGTATTGCATCCTCCGCTTCACAATACCCCATAGATTTTCTATGGGGTTAAGGTCAGGCGAGTTTGCTGGCCAATCAAGGACAGGGATACCATGGTCCTTGAACCAGGTGCTGGTGGTTTTGGCACTGTGTGCAGGTGCCAAGTCCTGTTGAAAGGTGAAGTCTGCATCCCCATAAAGTTGGTCAGCAGCAGGAAGCATGAAGTGCTCTAAAACTTCCTGGTAGACGGCTGCATTGACCCTGGACCTCAGGAAACAGAGTGGGCCAACACCGGCAGATGACATGGCACCCCACACCATCACTGACGGTGGAAACTTTACACTGGACCTCATGCAACGTGGATTCTGTGCTTCTCCGCTCTTCCTCCAGACTCTGGGTCCTTGATTTCCAAAGGAAATGCAGAACTTGCTTTCATCAGAAAACATAACTTTGGACCACTCAGCATCAGTCCAGTCCTTTTTGTCCTTGGCCCAGGCGAGACGCTTCTTGCGCTGTTTCATGTTCAAGAGTGGCTTGACACACGGAATGCGACACCTGAATCCCATGTCTTTCATGAGTCTCCTCGTGGTGGTTCTTGAAGCGCTGACTCCAGCTGCAGTCCACTCTTTGTGGATCTCCCCCACATTTTTGAATGGGTTTGTCGTCACAATTCTCTGCAGGGTGCGGTTATCCCTAGAGCTTGTACACTTTTTTCTACCACATTTTTTCCGTCCCTTCGCCTGTCTGTTAATGTGCTTGGACACAGAGCTCTGCGAACAGCCAGCTTCTTTAGCAATCACCTTTTGTGTCTTGCCCTCCTTGTGCAAGGTGTCAATGATTGTCTTTTGGACAGCTGTTAAGTCAGAAGTCTTCCCCATGATTGTGGTGCCTTCAAAACAAGACTGAGGGACCTTTTAAAGGCCTTTGCAGGTGTTTTGAGTAAATCAGCTGATTAGAGTGGCAGCAGGTGTCTTCTATATTCAGCCTTTTCAGAATATTCTAATTTTTTGAGATACCAAATTTGGAGTTTTCATTAGTTGTCACTTATGAATATCAAATTTAAATGTAATGAACATTGGAAATACATTGGTCTGTGTGCATTGCATGAATATAATGTACAAGTTTCACGTTTTGAATGGAATTACTGAAATATTTTCAACCTTTTGATGATATTCTAATTTACTGGCCAGCACCTGTATATATATATATATATATATATATATATATATATATATATATATATATATATATATATATATATATATATATATATTTTTTTTTTTTTACTTTTACTTAAATATTTACAATGTTTTGTCCTGGACTGTTCCATTATTATGTAAAAAAAAATATGGTAAATGGCCTTTATTTGATATAGTGCCTTATGGAGTCCTAGAACCCCCAAAGGCTCTTTACAACACAATCAGTCATTCACTTAATCACACACACAGCTGCCCTGGGGTGCACTGACAGAGGTGAGGTTCCCACCAGCAGGCAAGGGGGGTTAAGTGACTTGCCCAAGGACACAACGATAGGTCCCTGCATACTTTAAGAATGCTGTAATCCACCCACTTCTTAAAAAAACGAGTCTTGACGCCTCTCTCCATAGCCGTTTCAGACACATCTCTAAATTTCCGTTCATCTCCAAGATCTTGGAAAAGGTTGTGGCTAAACAACTCACAGCTGCTCTTGATGAACATAACATCTATGATAGTTTCCAGTCAGGTTTTCGTAGAGCTCATTCTACTGAAACAGCTCTTCTTAGGGTCTCTAATGACCTTCTGACTCACAGTGATGCAGGGGACTGTTCTGTTCTGGTCCTGCTGGACCTGACTGAAGCCTTTGACACTGTTGACCATCACCTGCTACTGGAGAGGCTGAGAGACTGGGTAGGCCTATCAGGATCTGCTCTGGAGTGGTTCTCCTCTTATCTCTCTGAGCGCTCCTTTTCTGTGGCCGTCTCCAAGTTTAGGTCCTCCACCACCTCTCTTACCCATGGTGTCCCACAAGGTTCTGTGCTGGGGCCTCTGCTCTTCATCCTCTATCTGCTTCCTCTTCAGCACATCCTGAGCTCCTTCAAAGGAATCTCCTACCATCTTTATGCAGATGACATCCAACTGTACATCTCCTTTAAGCCCCATGAGATGTCTAAGCTGCAGCTGTTACACACCTGCTTAGACTCAATCAAAACCTGGATGGCTGGGAGCTTTCTTCAGCTGAATGAAGATAAGACAGATCCTCATCTGTGCCCCAGACAAGCTGGTTCTCAAAGTCAGAGACTCTCTTGGTCAGCTTGCTTCTCACACCAAACCTTCTGTCAGGAATCTTGGTGTGACCTTTGACCCAGCTCTCACCCTGGATTCTCATGTCAGTTCTCTTGTTCGCTCTTCCTTCTTCCATCTCAGGAACATTGCTAAGCTGAGTCGCATTCTGTCCCGCTCTGAACTTGAGACAGTTATCCACACCTTCATCTCCTCATGCTTAGACTACTGTAACTCTCTTTTCACGTGTCTGAGCAGAACCTCCCTGAACCGTCTACAGGTGGTTCAGAATGCCTGTGCTCGGCTTCTGACCAAGTCCTCCAAACAAACCCACATCACCCCGCTTCTCCTCCAGCTTCACTGGCTGCCAGTCAACTTCAGGGTTCATTTCAAGATCCTGGTTCTGGTCTATAGGGCCTTACACGGACAAGCACCATCTTACATTGGTGATCTTCTTAGTCCCTACACCCCCAGCAGGTCCCTGAGGTCCAGTGATCAAAGCCTACTGGTTGTGCAGCACACCAGGCTAAAGACCAAAGGTGACAGATCATTTGCTGCTGTGGCCCCCAGACTCTGGACCTCTCTACCCCGAGCCTTAGATCAGTGGACTCAGTGGTCTCCTTTAAAAAGCAGCTGAAAACTCACTTGTTCAAGCTGGCTTTGGTGTGACCTTCATCACCCTCTCCTTGTTCTGCTCTCCCCACCTATTCCACCTTCCTCAGGATCCACTGATTTCCCTCTTTCCTATTCACTCTCTCTTTCTTTACATGTTTAATCACAATTGTCTATTTTTTGCTCATTTTAAATATATTTTTAATCATTTTCTAAATAATTTTTTATATTTTTACATTTTTTGTTTTTGTGAAGCGCCTTGTGATTTTTGTCTTGAGAGGCGCTATAAAAAAGATCTTTTCTTCTTTTTCTTCAAACTGAGCGGGGCTCAAACCTGCAACCTTCCGATTACGGGGTGGGCACTTAACTCCTGTGCCACCGTTGCCCCACAAAAACATATTTAGTCAAGGATTTACTAAATAATCAAAATACTGAGGGAAAAAATGCAGATTCACAATAAATGAGACGCGTTTACCTTTCTGTTCAGCGCTGTACTGATTAAATGATAACCTGAGTATGTGCAACAGTGATTCATCCCTAAGTTGTGTTTAACAGCTTACATGAGGTGTGTCGAGTCAGGAGTCCAGTCGGGTCGATACTTTGCTCCCATCTCCAGAGCCATGTCCCTCAGCTGCCCTCTGAACGGGTTCTGGAAGCCGCTGAGGACAAACACCACCCCCTCCATGATCTGATTGAACGAAACCTGCTGCTTGTTCTTAGATTTGGTTGTCTGCTTAGGCTTGGGCTCTGGTTTAGGCTGCTTCTCCTTCTTCTCTGCAGACTTGTGTCCTGATGAAGCTGCAAAGATAATATTTAAATTATATAAAATCTCGAGTAGAGAAATTTTCAACCTGCCCTGAAACAAGACGCTACCTTTAGCAGCGCTTGGGCTGGGAGTGCTCACAGGGCTCGGCTTGTGCTTGGGGGTGGCGGCTTTGGTCTCGGGTGACCCAGCAGGACTTGTTTTCTTCGAGGAAGGGCCGGGGGCAGACTGTCGCTCTTTGCTGAACTCAAATTTTCTTTTTGCTGGTGGTGGCTGAGCGAGAAAAGCAAAACAAATAAATAAATCCTCCTCCACTCACAGAATCCAAGAGCAGACAGTGCGGTTTATTTAGCCTCCCCATCCAAACACCAGCTTGCTTTTAAAACAGTAAGCTGGGTGGGTCCATAAAGTCAACTCAGCTTTTGTTGTTCTCCAAGAATCCAAACTGTAGCCTAAGTAAACATGCAACTAAGGTGCAGCAGGGAGGTTTCTCTAGCGCATTTTTGCCATATTTCTTAAAATGCTCTCCACACACTGAAGGAACCCATTAAACCAAACAGTACGCCAGAAAAGGAATCATTTTAATCGACTCTGAAACGAACAATCCAGGAAAAACCACATCCAGTCATTGAGAACATCCTGGATCCTGATCCGCCCCTCTGACCCTCAGCACAAACCCCTCTCGGTGCACAAATTGTTAATCCAGCAATCACACGCTTGGTAATATAATCCACACTTTAATGGCAGTGACAACTTGCTCTTGACCCCAGCTATTTCTTAAGCTAGGTAATGTAATCAAGGATGCGAAAACGATATTTACTTTCAAAAAACTAATTAAAAATGAAATACTGGAATCATATACGTGCAAATCAATTATATAAAAGACAATAAATAAATAATAAAGCTATAGAAGATGTGTGTAGATATATTCATGTGTGTATGTATAAATATGTATGTATGTTTGTTTATGTGTATATGTAGTGGATGCGTGTGTGTATATGTACAGACGAAGTATGTGCGACCATATGGGCATGCGATGCACTTTAATGTACATACGTATGAATAGGTATATGTGCAAAAATCCTTTTGCTTTTTGAATTATTATTACTATTAATTTTTTGTTTTTTCTTTACAAATTGAACTCTCGTTAGCTAACCAGTCAAGCAATTACTTTGCATAGGCTAATTTATAATTATTGTTATTTCAGTGTATAAATGTCATTTTAGTTCAAAAGGGGCAGATAACATCAGTTTTTTCTTTCTGTTCCGCTTTCATTTTCTTGGTTTGAGATAACTCATTTTATTGTTAGGATTGTTTTTTTTTCTCTATTTTAATAATAAATGAAATAAATAATTTAAAATAATAATTCTTCTGGCTCTGTATTCCAGGTTGTGCCAGTTTGTGTGCCTTACAGTGGCGTTTCCTGCTCAACTTGTTATTTTTGACCCGTTTCCTTGTCTGCGTCTCCCGCTTGTACAGGTTGTACTGAATCACAGGAGGAGTCATTATTTTTTTGCAGCACCGTGTGGTTCATCATTTGTCGATCCCATTTCCTCTTGTCTGCTTTCCAAATCATCGTGCTCCTCATCAGGTACCGCTGCTGGTGTCTTGAAATTGTTTTCATTAGTTTTAATTGGATTTTCTCTGAGTTCCTTCTGGTTTCTCTTGTATGTCATTTGCTTTTCTTAACTTAGAGTGGTGGACTCCAACATATGTTCCACCATCTAGGCCAAGAACCACATCTGGACCTTTCCATTCATGACGATCAGTTGTTTAGTGATAGACGTCGTCTCCTGTTTTATATTTTATATCAGTGGATCGCAGCCATTTGCAAAAGGCTCTTCGGATCCTATCAGAACACTCAGCCTGAGTAAAGGCTTTTCTCGTGGCATGCAGTGTTGTAGAGTGCTGGGCCATCCACTGCTGGAGGTCCGTCAGTGAGAAGCAAAGGCAGGGTTGGGTTTTATCCATTGACAGGAGCTGTAGCACATTGTGCATGCAGATCTTTGCCATCAAAGCCCAGTCACAATCGTTGTCTCTTCTGACTTTAAGTAACATTTCAAGGGTGGGCCATAAATGCTTATCCAGCAGTAAATAAAATGCTTAACTATCTCCTTGGCTCTTTTGTGGTGATACTTCCTAAACAGAAGATGTTCTAGGCTGTTCAAACATTGTTGCCTTGTCTCGAGGAATGTCCAAAACAGCGTTTGCTCTCTTCAATGAAATTTTGCTCAAAAGCTTCGGTCGATCTGCTGGAACTACTTTTGTCTCTATTTGGCATCTAGTTTCTCCTATTTTTGCTGGAATAATTACTTTTCTTGTGGATTGCACAATTTTTCCATCCCCAAACCGGAAAGCTCTTGCACTCTCAACTCTCTTTGGGATAGCCCACTCACTAGGGATGCTCCAATCACATGACTGGAAATTGGGTCCGATCATGTGGTTTCCAGGAAATCAGAATTGGTGGGAAAAACTGGATTTAACCATTTAAAACGATAAATATTTGTTTTTAAAATTATCCTGAGAAAGAGATCCAAACAGAAAAACAATGGCTTAGTTATAAATTCAACAAGTTCCTCTACATCGGTAGTCTTAGTATCATAGACAACAATGCTGTGTGTCCCACAGTTTAAGGTAGACTGGGAATTCAAGCACCATAACATGTGGCAGTTAGCTAACACAGAACGTAGCTGTCACCTCAAAGGAGAGAAAATATCTGTAATTTGGATGCATTTGTAAAACAACAGCAAAGGGAGTGTAATGAACACATGTACTGTGTGCAAACAGGGCATTTAATGAGGTGGTTTAAGGAGGCGATTCGCCACCTTATTAAAAAAACTGACAGCAAACAGTAAAGGATACATTAAGAAACCAAGAAGAGTCTACGGAGAGCAAAAATGAAAAAAATAGCAGTATATTTATCACAGTGAATGAGCGTCTGTGGTTGCAAACATCGGGATCTGCAATCTCCTTAAGTCACGGTACGATCTGGTTTCTCCTCCTACATTTGTAGACGCAGAAGAACTATCTGTGTTTGTAGGAAAAAAGTTGCTCTGCTGCCGACCGTTATGAGCCGTGCCATCCTTGCTGCTGAAAACATCAGCACACTGAATAAACGATTTAAAATATGAGCGACAAGGCGACTTTTACATTTATTCTTAAAAATAACACATTTCTTATTAATGCAGTTCCTAAACAAGTGATGTTTTATGGCAAAACAACTAAAGTATTGACAGGAATACAGAAGAAAGAACCGCATTAATGATTTGAAAAACTTAAAGGACAACTCTAGTGTGTTCTCCCTTCTTCTTAATGCATTTCTAAAGTATCGGGTCAGGACTCGATATCGGCAGATTCTTATAATCAAATGACTCGGAATCGGATCGGGAGCAAAAAAATGTGATCAGAACATCCGTGGTCATTTGACTTGTTTAGTTTCTAAAACGTAGCGTTCTTGAATGGCAAGAAAAACACCTTCTATTCCACCTTTAACCACTGATACAGATGTTAGAACGTAGAGGGAGGGCACGCAGATGTTCAAATCCCCGTAAAGGATTAAGTGTGAAAGAACATCCATCTGCTTTCATTCTCCAACTTTTATGATTGCTTGCGTCATTGAATAAAAAAATCCATTGCAGAGATGTTTAACGTCCAACTTTTTACGCTTTAGCAGAATAAACATAATTTCTAACGATAGGCAAGCTGAAACTTCTACGCCAAACTTTAACATCGTGGTTGTTTCCACTTTCTCAGCCTAACTTCTGGTGGTCTAAATAAAGAAAGTGGAGAACGGCTCGCTGACGGAACAGGTGGCCGCTCTTCAGAGCAGAAACTGATGAGGATATTTAGTACCTGCGGTGAGGCAGAGCTGGAGGAGGGCGCTTGACCCGATGAGTGAGAGCTGCTGCCTCCTGTCTGCAGAGCTGCTGCAGCGTAGCTCAACTTGTCACTCTGAGGAGTTGCTAAACACAGAAGAGCAGCAGACTGTGAGGAAATACGACAGAACTATTAACCTTAAATAGCCTGACAATAAAAAATATGCCTTTTAGGTCTCTTGGTGCTTTTAAGCAGCTTAAAATAAAAACTAATTAATGCTCTCTTAGGCTTCTTTATTATCTAATGTCATTACGGCTTTAGCACCACTGAGAGCTGTGAGAAAGCGACTGCTCCGGGGGCTGGCAGATAAAAACAAACGGGTTCACCTTTAAGGGAAGTGCTGGGCTTGGCTGCCTTGTCTCGGCTGAAGAAGAGACTGCCGGGTTGAATGCTGGACCCGGATGGCGGAGACTCGTCCTTCACCTTGAACTGTCCCAGCTTTGTTAGTTTCTGACAGGAAAGGAGAAGGGTTCAGCGCTGAAACTAAAATCAGACATTTTTCTGTTTCTAAATCAGGAAGTTCACGTTACATTAAATAGGTTTGTTTACTTTAAAAATAGAAGACTTGCCTAGAAAATTCTAATTGTCAAACAAAAGGAGCAAATCCAGCGATGCAACGATAACGTCGTTGTTACACCCAATAACTGATATTTTTAACAATATTAGAAAGAATATAAGAAAATATATTAATACACGGATATACTGTAATACTTTGTGTAATGATACTGAGTAGATATGTAAAAGCAGTGTATCGATTTTCATTGAGAATTTACATGCACACGTTTATTTCTTTTATGCGGAGCAATTCAACGCCCGACCGCTAGGTGGCAGCAGATTTAACCACCTTCACTCTGGCCCCTACTTCACACTGGAAGCATCAGCGGCGCAGAACGGCAACAGAACGTCACCGTAAGCGATTCAAACCAGCCGCGACGCGCCCCAGAAGCGCTGCGCTGCTAACGATAGGATTGGGTTCTATTTTTGCCGTGACTCACTTCTGGGACACGACAATTTACGCAGTTAACGTAGGACTAAACAGGAAATCACATACAGTTTCAGTGTAAAATCCCCAGTAACTTTCAAAATAAAAGACCATTGCAGCGATGGGATTTCATATCCATGTAGATTACATCAAAACAAGTGACCGAATGACCCTTTTTACTCCCAGCATCGTTCCAGAAGTGCGGCAATGTGTTTTTATGGCTTTAATCCTGGCAGTGGAGAGGAACAATATTATATATGACATCAAACAGCGATAACAAATGTGATTTCCTTCTTTTTTGGTTTAATGGCAGATGAAATAAACTCGAGGGATTTAGTGATTTCACGAATCCAGCGAGGAGCACGGCAGAGACGTCGCTCCGTGGCTGAGATCCTCCTGGTGTGTGCTGGCGCTCAGTGAAAGTCGTGAGTAAACTGTTCCGCACCACCGATGCTTCCAGTGAGAAGTAGGAGCAACAAAATCTTGCTCTAACACTCGACACACTTGGAGACACCTGACCTGAGTTTTTCAATTCCGTTCTGTCAAAAACATCACAAACATTGTCTGACATTTATTGCATCGTCTCCCTTATATTGTGATAGTTATCACATTGCCAGATTCTTGCCAATAAACACTCCAAAGACAAGAAATACATATAAATATAATCTATTACTATCACACACACACACCACAGACATGTATGCTTCCTACATGATTACCATCACTTTCATATCAACAACTACGCATCATCACCCTCCTTCCCTTCTGAAGCCGATACACAACTAGAAAAATATTGTTTGTTAATGTCGGCCCAGTTTCACAAATGGAACCGACACGATATGTTAAAAAATGACCAATGTTGGCCGATACCAATAATGATGCCGATCTATCGTGACTCCCTTAATCACACTATGATCTACGATGGCGAATGACTGCTCGTCCAGTTATATTTACTGTCCTGTCTGCTATTAAAGATCAGGTTGTGGGAATATATCTGAAATAATCCCACACAGGAGACTTCAACTGTTTCCTAGGTGGAAATGGAGCAGTCCTGATTGTTGCCGTTGTCGGTACAGGATCTGCTCGGGTGCAAGATCGGCTCGGGGTCCTTCGACTGCTGATGACGTCAAAGTAGTTGATTGGCTGAACATGAACCTTACGGAAGTGACGTAATCATGTTACGTTGTTATCACGTTACGTTGGTCCAGGCATATTTTTCTGTTGGAAAGATGGACAACTTTTACAAAGAAATCCATCATTACCTCTTTGAAAATACACTTTTAGCATAGAGCTGCATGTATATTAGGGCTGAACGATAAACTGCATGAGCAGTTAAATTGCGATGTGACAAAATTAGATTTTCTAATCGCAAAGGCTGCAATTTGGCAGCGAGTGGTTAGCGCAATGCTAATATACATGGAAAAACCCATAGGAACGCTAATGCTAATGTCACCGATTACATTCTTACAAATTATGAATTAGAAACGTGCCAAATGATTACATTTGGAGTCTAATAGAAAATAAAACTACCATCAATCAAATAAGTACAGACAGGTATTTTAGTAAAGCCAGAAAACGTTTAACTCCAGAGTTTTGGCTAGCAGCTATGAGCGTACCTGAACTACGCATGGACAAGACGTCAAAAACTCTAAACACAAAATACTTCAATAAACGGGACACACTTCTTTCCTGCAAACACAATTTCACAGGTGTTGCTAATACCTATGATCCTTCAAGGGATGTGCTCAAAGAGGAGTTCAACATTATGAATAAAATATAGCGTTTTATTTTATAAATACCATTATAAACACAAACTTACGTCTTAAGAAACATTATTTTAATAACGAAACAGCTAAATTATTTCCAACAGTATAGATGTGTAGTGTGTTTTGTCCGAGTGGGTTTGCCCTACTTTGACGTCATCGGCAGTCGAAGGACCCCGAGCCGATCTTGCACCCGAGCAGATCCTGGACCGACACCGTCACTGCTTCTGCTGCGTGCGCGCCTTCAGTTTCACTTTTGTTTTTGTCTGTGCAGGTCGCGCTTGACCTTTAGTTTTTTAGGGGTGTCCCAATACAACTTTTTTCACTTCCGATACGATACCGATATTGCAGCCTTCAGTGTTGGCCGATACCGATATCAATCCGATACGACATCAGCACAAATCATACATACTTTTATCCATTTTGTAGTGTGGAATGTATGAAAGGCTTGATCAAGTGATATTACTCAATCGGAGAACAAAAGCCAATAACAGCAAGTATGAAAAAAATGACAATATTTTTAACCATTGGTTGCAAAAATATGAACCCTAGCGGACCTGTTATATCCGAGATTTTTGATGCAGTCCGATATAATCCGATACTGTGTTTTTGGGCCGATATCGAAATGCTTTCAATATCTATATCGAAACAGGACATCCCTAATTTTTTTATAGGCCTTGTTGGAGACGTTTTTACGGGGGGATTAAACGCGGTTAACAGTCAAACCGGTTAATCCCTGCAACCCTACCAGGGTGTTGATGCCTACTGATGGACACAAGCTCCCTGTAACCCGACTGAGGAAGAGTGGGACCACTGAGGTCAAGAACTCACTGGAGACGATGTTGGAGGATCGTTTTTGTCGGGTGGTGAGTGGAACTTCACAAAGGCAATCCCGTAGGCGATGCTCTGTAAAATGCAGCAGACAAAACAAAGACACCTTGTTTTAGTCGAAGTCTCTGTGCAGCTATGAAACAAAGTCATAGCATAAGCACAACTTTCAAAGAGACAACAACTTTTACTCCAACCACATGGCAGCAATCTAGACGTGGTGACGGCAACTTGCTAAACATCAATCTGAGCATCAAAAGAAAGGATTAAAGTGGTTGTTAGTGCTAAGTGAGCTGGTCTGAGGTCTTCATTCACCGATGATCTACAGAAATTTCCACCAACAACCACAGCTACTTCCAGCAGGATAATGCACCATCACACAAAGCTCAGATCATCTTTAACTGGCTTCCAGAACATGACCATAAGTTCACTGGACTCAGTCACCAGATCTCAATCTAGATATTTACCCAAGGGATGTGGTGAAACTAATAATATAAGCCTAATAATACCTCATAGGACATCCAGTCTGTGTATAACTGTCACGTGCAACACAAGTAAGTTTCTGCACACCGTTAGAATTTAAATTACTTTTATTTAGATTTTTTATCATCTCAACCACCACAAATGTAACATTGCTTAATATGTACACCAATAACATATATCCTTCAGTCTTTATATTTACAATACCGTGATTTGAGATGTATACTGATTTTTAAACAGGCCCTTACCTTGCTGTATGGCTGGCTGCAGACAAGTTTCACTCTGTCCCATTTCTCCTGGGCTGTGCTCTTCTGCAGCTGGTTGGGACCAAAGAAGCGTACGCGGTTCAGGTTGGTGCCATTGCGGCTCTCAGTGGGGGACATGAAGGACGAAGTGACAAGAAGGACCTAAAGAGGCAATTTAAACCAACGTAGATAAACAGGAATAACAAAGAATCAAACTAATCAGGAGCAGAGACTTATAACAGTTTAGTTTGTAGGTAAAACCTCATAGTCCTGGTCTCTGACAGCTGAAGAATTTCCCACCAACACCTCGATGAAAGCCGATCCTTCATTTCCGATATCAATGCTGTGCACCTGCTCCTCCTTCTCAAACTAAAAAAAAAAAGGTTAAAAGAACAGTTCACATAAATGACTTCTGCCTGGCCTCCAAACAGTTGTTTATAACTTTAGGGGGAAACTACACAATTGAAAAAGATGTGAACATTTACGAAAAACATTCAATACTTGTCAGAAATAAGATGACCCTTGGAGGCGTTTAAACATTAAATATTTTACGGTTTTGTTTGGAGGTCAGACTTGGAAGAGCGATGGAAAAAAGATACGGCACTCGAGTAAGTTTCACTGCATTTATATAAAAATCTTGTACTTTGTCCCAAATCAAATTTGAGACGTTTCAAGGTGAATTTTTACGATTTTACAGCAGCTTACACTGTTGGGGATTCATGATCAGTGCATACTTACAGGTGCTGGTCAGAAAATTACAATGTCATAACAAAGCTGATTTCTTTCACTAATTTTAATCAAAAAGTTAAACTTGCATGCGAGATTCATTCATTACACACAGCCCGATATATTTCAAATGTTTATTTCTTTAAAAGTGCATTATGTAGAAATGAAGTAAAAATGTGGTAATATTGGTTTACTGCACTGCAACCATTTTAAACAACTCTGGAGATTTTTTGCTGGCTGTTGTCAAATTACAATTGTCGGCGCAGCAGTATTAGCTCACAGGAGACACGGCAACCCCACACTCACTGATGGTAAACAGCAGTCACGTTCCTCCTTCCTTTGTTAAGACATGAGAAAAGCTGACAATCCCCACAGCCAGCTGGATATGAAATACGTTTCAGTATAATCTTCCTTCCAAAATGACTGAAACATTACTCTTTTGGGATTTTCTCACTGTAAAATTCTCCCTATATTCTTACACACACTGCACCTTTAATGTTGATTATAACGGCCAACTAATGAAAATCCAAAATTCAGTATCTCCGAAAATTTGAATATCAATTAAGACTAGGGGTGTAACGGTTCACGAGGGAGTGTTAAACCGTTTCGGTTCGGTCCACTTGCGTATCGTTTCGGTTTATTTTTTCCGTTAAATAATGAATATTTATTGGTGTGATTCAAGTGCGGCGGATAAAAATTCCTACGTGAGTTTCTGCACGGACGCTGTATTGAGTGACGCATGATGGCTGCACGCGCCCAATCTCTGTTAAAAAAAAGGCGATGTGCAAATTCTGACCAACACCTTTCAGAGCGGATCAAACCAGCTGGCTGTCGCTGCTTCTGGAGTCTGTAGAGATGCTGAACGGAGCGTCACCTGTCTCCCTTCTCTCACACTGCAGGCACGCAGCAGCAAAAATGTTAACAAACACGTCTGCTGAACTTTCCCCTTGACTGACAACTGATGTAAAGTTTTCAACCTACAACCAAACACACGGCGTGGAGGAAGCACGTTCGTTTTAAAGAAGAAGCTCTGGGTGGTGTGAGGCGAGTTTTTAAGGCTCGCTGCAGAAATAAAAACACAGCATCAACAGACAAACACAACACTTGTCTGTATGAGTGTGACACTCAAAGCTGCAGGAATAACCTGTGAAATATTTAAAGACATCATGCTAGATCAGCAGCTGCGATGACACCTGGTTCTGCTCACTATTAAATAATATATATAAATTAAATAAATAAATAAATAAATACATATAATAATATACCGAAAATTAATCGAACCGAGCCCTTCAAAACACTGAACCGAACCGAATACGATTTTGGCGTACTGTTACTCCTCTAACTAAGACCAAAGCAAAAAAAGGATTTTTAGAAATGTTGGCCGACTGAAAAGTATGAACATGTAAGCATGTACAGCACGCAGTATTTGGTTGGGGCTCCTTTGGCCGGGATGACAGCAGCAAGGCGACGTGGCATGGAGTACAACAGTCTGTGGCACTGCTCAGGAGTTATGAGAGAGTTATGTTGCTCTGATAGTGGCTTTCAGCTCTTCTGAATTGTTGGGTGTGGCGTAGGGCTGCCTGGGCGATATGGCCTAAAAATAAAATCTTAGATTTTTTTACGAATTTTTTCCAATTCTTTCTCCCCCTTAATCATTAAGAATAGCAATAAGTACAAATGGACGGCACCTTAAAGCCAATTTTGTTTTTTATTAAATCACAAGTAAGACAAATGTAACCCTCATTTCTGAGATGAATAATGAATACATGAACACCCTCTTGGAATAAAAGTGCCACGCTCCACGTCCGTCACAGCAAACCCAAACCAGTTCCAAACAACGGATGATTTTATTCCTTTCTTAGGAATAAACTTCCCACTCTCACCGGCGGCCATGGAGTTGCTTACTGTTGCTGTTTCGTGTGCGAGCTGTGACGTTGTCGCGGCCATGTGAAACTAATGCTACGGAAGCTACGGGGGGCCAAAAAGGCGCTATTACATAAATTACACTTTTTTTTAAATCACCCGCAGCAAAAAATTCGAATTAATTCATTCAATCGATTTATTGCTCAGGCCTAGTCCAGGATATTGCATCCTCCTCTTCACAATATCCCATAGGTGTTCAAGTGAGTTTGCTGGTCAATCAAGAACGGGAATACCATGGTCCTTAAACCGAGCACTGGTAGCTTTGACACTGTGTGCAGGTGCCAAGTTCTGTTGGAAAATTAAATCTGCATCTCCATAAAGTTGGTCAGCAGCAGGAAGCATGACGTGCTCTAAAACTTCCTGGTAGACAGTTACGTAGACCTTATACCTCAGAAAACACAATGGACCAACATCATCAGATGACATTGCACCCCAAACCATCACTGACTGTGGAAACTTTACACTGTACCTCAAGCAATGCGGATTATGTTTCTCTCCTCTCTTCCTCCAGACTCTGGGACCTTGATTTCCAAAGGAACATAACTTTGGATCACTCAGCAGCAGTCCAGTCCTTGTCTTTAACCCAGGCAAGACGCTTCTGAAGCGGTCATTTCTTCAAAAGTGGCTTGACACAAGGAATGCGACAGCTGAAGCCCATTTCTTGAATATGTCTGTGTGTGGGTGGTTCTTGAAGCACTGACTCCAGCTGCAGTCCACTCTTAGTGAATCTACTCCACATTTTTAATGGGTTTTGTTTCACAATTCTCTCCTGGGTGCAGTTACCCCTATTGCTATTACAAGTTTTTCTACCACATCTTGTCCTTCCTTTTGTCTCTCTATTAATGTGCTTGGACACAGAGCTCTGTGAACAACCAGCCTCCTTATCATGACCGTTTGTGTCGTGCCCTCCTTGTGGAAGATGTCAATGGTCATCTTTTGAATAACTGTCAAGTTAGCAGTATTCCCCATGGTTCTGTAGCTTACAGAACAAGACTGAGACCATTAAAAGGCTTTTTTTTTTTTGGCTGATTAGAGTGTGGCACCTGGGGGCCTTCAATATTGAACATTTTCACAATATTCTAATATCCTGAGATTCTGAATTTGGGATTTTCATTAGTTGTCAGTTATAATCATCAAAATTAAAGAAATAAACATTTGAAATACATCAGTCCGTGTGTAATGAATGCATCTAATATACAAGTTTCACTTTTAAAAGGAATTACCTTTGTCATGAAATTCTAATTTAATGATCAGCACATGAACATGCTCAAATCACCTTACTTTAAAATGTTATTGTGCTACATTCAGATATGTCAATTAAAGTTGAGTTCAAACGCATGCTTAAAGATCCATCTCTTTCAAAACCCTAAAAACATCATTCTATAATTTAAGCATTTTCTAGGATTTACAACTGAAATAAAAGCCTGATTTAAATATCTCTGTTCAGTGTCACCTGGGCAAATAAAATAAAAAACTACCGACATTTGACATCAAAAGGGCCAAAAACCAACCTGCAGAATGACTGATGTCTGTTTCTCTCCGGGTCTTGCTGCTTTCCACTTTCTGTAGGTGTCTGAGCTCAGGAGATTGTCTGCTTTATGCGTCTGTTTTATGTTGAAAGTGGGTTTAGTGGAAGCTCAACAACAGCTGAACATCGACTTTACATGATACAAAAAAATAAAAACTCACACTGTCCTCTGAGCTGCAGGACACGACATGTTTCAGTTGGATTTCTGGCATATTTTGACAAGTTCAAACTTACTTAACCATAAAAACCGTCAACCGAGCGCTTTAAAGATCTAGCGAATCCGTATCAGGTTCAAGACACATAAAACGAAACCAGATTTCGTTTAGTGGCTGTACTTCTCTCGTTAGTCTGCGTTAAACAAGCTGTTGACTAAGCTGATAGCATGCTAGCAAACAATAGATAGTGAACTTTTCCTCATTCGTTTGGTAATTCGTTGTATTTAAATGACTGCTGCGCACAAAATGTTTACACTGCTGTATGCTTGACAAATACCCGTTTCTTTGTCAGCAAAGTAAACTACTGAATGTTCGTGTTAACACGCTTAATTTAACGTAAAACGAGCGAAAGGGTGTCCACATTTTCCCACCAAAAGGCTGCACATTTGACAACCTGACGTAACTTCCAAACAACCGATTTTCTGTCCAATGAGAGCGTTTCTTTTTCTTCTTCTTTTACCATAATTACTTTACACACGTGAGCGCCCCCAAACGGGAGAACTGTGAACTGAGACATCACTAATAAATACAGTAGTTTTGAAGATTTAAAAATTGTAACTAACTTTTCTTTTGTTTATTTCCTGAAAATGTGTTTTATTTGATCAATTTTAGGGCAGAATTATTTTAGTATTTAAATGTGTGGCAGTGTGAGCGTCCTGTCACAGTGTCCCGATTGATCATGCGCCCTGGCTACTTAGCGAAATGATTGACTGACTGGTTCGGTTCGCGGGCTCGGGCCTGCATGTAAATATAAAATGTTATTTTAATATTGTGTAGTACTATTAGTTATTTATTTTATTTAATCTTTTAAATTTAAATTATTTCTGTTGTTTTGTTCATATTTTTGCTAATAATAACAACCCACTTTTATTGTCATATCAATTGATTTCAGTATATGTCATATATACTTAACTGAAAATGTTCTAAATCTGAAAATAGTTATCGATTGAAGCTGTTTATTTTGCTTTTTCTTGGACAATGATATAAAAGAACACCAAATGTTTTTGATTATTGTAAAAAAAAAGTTGTGAGGAAAAAAGTTAATACAATCACAGTTTTTACATTCCTGCCCAAACATAAAAGCAGTGATTCTTTATTTCAAAATGTTTTATATTCAATAATAACTTTATTAATGCTCAAATTAATTATCACGGGCAAAAACAAACAAACAAAAAACATCCATAAAACGAAAAATTTCACTTTATCATCAGAAGGGTTAAAGCCAGTCTGTGGGATTGGTGCAAAGTATCATAACACCGGTTGTCCTAAAGTTTAATCAGAAGTTGAACTTTAAGATCATCTGACTAGTAAAACGTTTGGGCTGAAAAGAAAAATTACTGACGTAACAAAAATTGTAAGAGTGCTTAAGCTCAACAAGATCCCAGATATCTGAATCAGTGAATGCTGCAGCAACATGTGGCGGAAAACATGAATGACTGATCCTCCGGAGTTCGGAACCATTTTTAATCATTATTTTATGAGAAGAAACAGTTCAGAGGACCTCCAGGTAGATGCCTGTCTCTGGATCAGCACCCTGCACCTCCCTTGTTGCTCTGACCCCTACACCACCTTGTCTATCAACACGTCCATCCTCTCTACCTCTTTTTCTCTCCCCACCTCTTCGACCCATTGGACGGAGCTAAAAAGGGAAAAGAAAAACAGATTATCAGAATAAAAAGTGGGGACATCCACAGATGTCTTCTGTGAGAAACACTTCCTTTGAAAGTACAAATTCATACCTGCTCATTGTGGACAAAAAGTGGTGTGCAGTTCTGGTACACTAGTTGGTAGCTTCCATTGGTGTAAACATGCGTCACTTCAGTGCAGTTAATGTACAGAGGCATGCTCTCCTGATAAATCCCCAATCCCATTGGGTACACAGCTGTTGTTCTGCTTAGAACCCGCCTGAGATGAGCAGATGAGGCTTAAAGCTACGAGTTTTATTAAGCAAAACATTTATTTAACCAACATTTTTGCTTCACTTACTTGTTAGCTTTTTTTCTGCAGCAGAACCCGAGAAGGGCCAGGAGGAAAATGAGCAGACCGACGAGAGCAGCAGGTGAAATGATCCAAATCAAAGCAGCCGTTTCTGAACCTGAACAAGAGCAGAACTTTCAGATTTTATTCATTAAACCTATTTTTTAAATAACCCTTTAAGTAACGTAGCAATAAAAACAGGTGTGACGAGAGCAAGAGACAGCCATGCTTTAAACACACCTTCGTCTCCCTGCAGCAAAACAAGGGAGTCATTTCCAAGGCCGTTGAATGCAAAACACATCACTCTCAACGGTTTGTCCATGCGGCCTCTCAGAGACGCCGTCAGCATGCCGGACTCAGATGTTGTGGACATGTTGTAATCCTGACGTGGAGCTGTCTCGTTGACGCTCCAGGTGACAGCTGATTTAGGGTTTGAGTCGACGGAACACCGGCAAAGAACCTCAGAAGCCGCCACAACACAAGAAGAGGATAGCTGGACGATGGTAGGCTTATCTGTCAGAGGGAAAAAGACTTAGTTTAAAGAAGTTAATTAAAATCAGTAATATTGAGAGAACCATAGATTTGCATGTTCTCTGGATTGATTTATTTTTCTCATATTCAATGACTTCTTTGTTTATTTTTTTATGTAATTCATATTTTTGCTGCAGTGATGTCAAAGTGTAGACCACACCCAATCAGTCAGTGAATTAAAAAAAACTGAGAAATCAATTTGATTTCCATTTTAGTTTGGTGAGAGTTGGTCAAAGTCAACATTTACATTGTACGTTTAGCGCCGTGGGCTGGGATTCTCCTCGACCGATGGCGTTCTGAGCAGAGCAGCGAACCCTCATGTCTCTGGTCACGTTATAAACTCGCAGGAAATGCGTCCGACAGTTGAGGTGGACAGTGCGGCCGTGCTGAGTGTAGGACCAGCGATAGTCTGACACGGGAGGGTCGGCCTTGCAAGAGCACAAAAGCAAGGCAGTGCCCCCCTGCTGCACAGTCAATGACTCAATCTGAACCTTCACATCTTTTGGTGGAACTAAAATCACGAAAGAGAGAAATTAATTCAGTTATCATCAAAAACAAGAACCAGGTGAGTGTTGAAACTGTGCTTACATGTCACATGCATCTCCTTTGTAGTCGATAACACTTTGGCTCCGGGATGTTTGACTTCGCACCTGATTCTGGGTTTCACCAGGTGTGACACGGTGAAGGACAGAGAGGACAGTAACATCCATCTTTGGGCGTCAGGGGTGATTACTTTCACTTCCTCAAGCTCCGTGATGTTCAACTGGGCTCTTCCCTCCCACTTCCACTGCATGGTGGGAGGTCTGGAGGGGCAGTAATAGCTTATGGAGCAGTTCAGGGTGACCAACTGTCCATCTGTGGCTGACAGAGCACCGCTGATGACGGGAGGTTCGAGGGTTTCTGTCAGCAGAAAAAGTCTCCATCATTTCTGTTCATTACCTCTTCTGATCAAATACTTTCTAATTCTAGAAAAAGCAAGACTGTCATTACATATTTTAGGTCACACATGGAGCTGAAATTGTATAACTACGGACAAAGGTTTTGAGGATGAAACAAATTAATTGTAAAAAATTGCTGCCTTATTTTTTAAGATAATTAAATTAAATAAAAAGGGATGTTTGAAATTATCGGTCTACCAATAATATCGACCGATATCAGCATTAAAATGTAATGTCTGTATCAATTTTCAGTTTTTAATGGTCCGACTTTAACATACCATGCACATATTATACATCAAACTATTCAACTACTTCTCCTCTCTCTCAAAATGTCAAAATACGACAGGACTGAGGTAAAGTCTTTGAGAAATTTTACTTTATTTGACACAACTTGTGAAATTAACATTTGCCCTGTGTGTTGAATGTGCACTGTCATTCACAATTTAGCCTAAGCACAGCCATGAACAAAGAATGGGACTGTTGTGTTCTGAACACTAGGGGCAGTGTAGGCTCATACTGACATGTTGTAGGCAGAAGAAGAGTGCGAGTGCGTAGCGTGTCCTGATTCTCGAGTGCGGAAGTTGAGCACAGCCCTTTTGCACCCATGATCTGTACTTTGCCCAAGTCTGCATCAATGTGGACTTTGAGTATTACCCACAATCCATCCAAAAGTCCCTTTTCTGAATATATGTATTTTCAAAAGTAGTTTATTTTAGGAAGCTTAATTGATCTTGATTTTCTTATCATGTACTGTGATGTATGTTGTATAAATGAATCAGGACCACACGTTAATGAAGTGAATCAACTTTATCTCTTGCTCCTAGCCTCACATGTTACAGCCATCTTGAACACCGTCCTCTTATGCTCCACCCCCCAGCTACGGGTGCCCGCATATACAAATCTCAATACATCACATCTCCCTTTTAAACAAGCTCAGTTTTTTTTCTTCATTTGTCGGAACCAAACTTTTCAACTGTTATATATATATAATCCACTTATACAGTTTAATTTTAACTTCAAACTTCTTTTCCTCTCCAACATCTTATCCCTGTCTGCAACTCAAGACATCTTTATTTTCTAACAGTACATGTGAACATAAACATTACTCTCTGATGTGAACATAAACATTACTCTCTGATGTGAACATAAACATTACTCTCTGAATCTCGCTGGCAATTTAACCTCTCTGCCAACTCTGGTTCGATAAGAGGTACCAGTTAATCTCCCTCTCACATTCTCCGTGATCTGAGCATTATCTGGTTCTGCCACACTCGTTTGTTCCCTTGCCAGATTCTCAGCTTGACCAATTATGGTCTGAGTGTCCATTTCACTATTAGAGTCCTGATTATTTGTGATGGGAACCACAGTCTCTTCTGTTTTCAGCAAATGTTTGCGGTTCCTCCTGTACTCTCTTCCATCTGGTGTGCGAACAACAAAGGAGCGTGGCTGCTGATGTTTGCGTACAACTACCGCTGGCTGCCAGGTCTCTCCTCTCTGCATCCTAATGTTCTCCCCGTCGTACAGGTCTGGCAGTGTCCTTGTCCTCCTGTCAAAGTAGATCTTCTGTTTCTCCTGTCTTTTTTTCAGTCTCTGCTGAATCGTGTCCACACCTCCAGGCGTAAGTAGTAAGGTTGATGTTGGCAACTTACTCTTGAGCCTCCGGCCCATGACCATTTGAGCTGGTGAAAGGCCAACACCTTCCATAGGTGTGTTTCTGTACTCCAACAGTGAAATATAAGGGTCTCCTTTACCGTCCTCTGATTTCTTTAAGAGATTTTTAATTGTTTGAACCATCCTTTCAGCCTGTCCATTCGACTGAGCATGAGTGGGACTTGACGTAATGTGCTTGAATTCCCACCTTTTTGCAAACTCCTGAAACTCAGCACTGGCATACTGTGGCCCATTATCTGAAACAACCACGTCTGGTATCCCATGCCTGGCGAAAATTGATTTCATGGCCACTATTACCCCTCTACTGGTAGTCTCAGTCAGCTTTAGTATCTCTGGGAACTTTGACAAGTAATCCACACACAGCAGAAATTCTGATCCCTTGTAGTTAAATAGATCTGTTCCCACTTTTTCCCATGGTCTGTTTGGTATCGGATGAGACAGTAGTGGCTCTTTGGGGTTACTGTTTCTGTTCTCATTACACTCTGCACACTGTGCTACTATTTTCTCGATGTGTTTTGACATATTCGGCCAGTATAAAATGTCTCTCGCTCTTTCTTTGCACTTGACCATTCCTAGGTGTGACTCGTGGATTTTCTCCAGCATCTCTTGCCTGAGCTGCTTTGGAACAATGATTTTAGCTCCTTTGAACACTAGTCCTGATGTGAATGTAATCTCATCTCTGAATGTCCAGTATGCTAAAATGTCTTTATGAACTGCACTTCTTTCTCCTGGCCATCCCTTCATTATCCTGTCTTTCAGTAACTGCATTTCATTGTCTTCTGACGTAGCTTTCTGAAACTGTAGTAGCTTTTCATCTGACATTGGTAGCTGCAGTGTCAGCAGATTCACCTCCAACTCTTTGTCCAGTGGATCCTCAGTCTGTTCTTTGAGGAAAGCTCTGCTTAAGGTGTCGGCAATGTAGAGTTCCTTTCCTGGTTTATACCTCACTTCTACGTTGTATCTCTGCAATCTCAGCAGCATCCGCTGTAGCCTCATCGGAGCTTGATGTAGTGACTTCTTAAAGATGCTCTCCAATGGCTTGTGGTCGCTCTCCACATTGATGTTTTTCCCATAAACATACTGATGAAATTTCTCACAGCCGTACACAATAGCAAGCAGCTCCTTCTCAATCTGAGCGTACCTTTGCTGGCAGTCTGTGAGAGCTCTTGATCCATAGGCCACAGGTTGCCCCTCCTGCAACAGAACTGCACCTATTCCTTCCGAGCTAGCATCAACTGACAGTGTGACTTGCTGGTTGACATCATAATACTTGAGTGTTGGAGCCTTACTGACCAGTTCCTTGAGATGCTCAAAACTCTTTCTTTGCTGTTCCTCCCAGTGCCACTCCACATCTGCTTCCAGCAGCTTCCTCAAGGGGGCACTTTTATCTGACAGGTTCGGAATGAACTTTGCAAGGTACTGGATCATACCTAAAAACCTCATCAGTTCGGTCCTGTCCTGTGGTGGAGGTAGCTGAGTAACCGCTCTCACTTTTTCCTCATCTGGCTTTAACCCTTTGTCTGTCAGTGTGTGTCCGATGTACTTGATCTCAGTTGTTCTGATGATGCATTTTTTCTTGTTCAGTTTCAGCTTGGACTCTCTTACTCGGTCCAGAAGCCGCTTCAGTCTTTGATCGTGCTGTTCCTTGGAGTCTCCCCACACCAGCAGATCATCTATGATGTTTACCACTCCATCCAAATCCTCAATCAGCTCTGCTATGGCTCTTTGAAAGACCTCTGGAGCTGATGAGATTCCAAAGGGTAGTCTCAGAAACCGGTATCGGCCAATGGGGGTATTAAATGTACAAAGCTTGGAGCTCTCCTCATCCAGCTTGATCTGCCAGAAGCCTTGATTAGCATCTAGCACCGAGAAATATTTAGCATTTGGCATTCTTGACACCACTTCTTCTACTGTGAGTAATGGGTAGTGTTCACGTTTTATTGCTTGATTCAAGTCTTTAGGATCCATACAGATGCGTATCTTATTTGGTGTAACCACGGTAACCATACTGTTGACCCACTCTGTTGGCTCCATCTGCCTTGTTATAACTCCCATGCTCTCCATCCGATGTAGTTCCTGCACTACTCTGTCCCTTATTGCAACTGGAATCTTTCTGGGAGCGTGCACTACAGGTTTAACTGTGTGATCTATCTGTATGTGGTGCTGATTTGGCAAACACCCAAGTCCATCAAACAGATCTGGATAGGCTTTTAGTATGTCATCTTCTTCTTTTAACTCATACAGTCTTTTCACTAAACCCAGTTTCACACATGCATCCCCTCCTAGGATTGTACTAACATCTTCCTGTGTGATTTCAAACTCAAATCTCATTTTCGTTTCCTTTGTACTCACAGGTAAGCGTTTTCTTGCCCAACGCTGCCACCTTGTGGCCGAAAAAGGGAACTAGCTTTGTTTTACTAGCTCTAAGTTTTCCTTTCAGTCCAAGGGCTTTTAATGTTTTGAGTGACATTGCATTGCAGTCCGCTCCGGTGTCCAGCTTACAGATAAGTTCTTTGTCTTTTATTTTTAATCTTTCAGTCCATGCATCTTCCATTTTATCTGACCGGACCTCTGTAATGTTTTTTCTTTCTGTTTGGAGCATGCCGAGAAACATCTCTGTTTCGCTTTCACTTTGATTGACAGCATGAACGTTCTTCCCGTGCTGCCTCCTCTGATCAGTGGATCTGCACATCCTTGCAAAATGATTCTTTTTACTGCACACTCTGCAGGTTTGACCTATTGCTGGGCAGTTTTTTCCATGTTTCCGCCCACATCTGTTACAACTTGTCTCGTTCAGATCAGGTTTCCTTGTTTTCGCTGCACTTTTTACGTCATTCGTTCTTGCTGTTCTCAGTTTGTTGACTTCTACTTCTTCAGTAAGAGCTTTCACTTGACTGGTTGTGATCTCACTCGCACGGCATATATCTATAGCTTTATCCAATGTCAAATCAGCTTCTCTCAGCAGCCTTCCTCTCACTTGATCATTGATTATGCCGCAGACTATTCTGTCCCGTATCAAAGAGTCGTGTAGATCACCAAACTCACAGTCTTTAGCTTTATTTTTTAGTTCCGTTACATATGCATCGATGCTTTCAGCTTGTTTCTGTGCTCTCGTGAAAAACATGTGCCTGATGTATGGTAAATTTTTCCTTGGCTCGCAGTAGTCCTGAAACTTCTTCTTTAGCACAGCGATTTTATCTTTTTCCTCTTCAGAGAAATGAAAAGTATTACATACTTTTATGGCTTCTTCCCCGGCCACGTGTAGGAATGTTGCGCATTGCACCTTTTCCCCCTTCTCCGCTATGCCGCTGGCGGTGCAGAACAGCTCGAAGCGTTGCAGCCAGGTTCTCCAATTCTCTGCCAGGTTGCCTTGCAAACTGAGGTTCCGTGGAGGCTGAAACTGTGCCATCTTCTTTCCGTTTATTCTTCTGACACCATGTTGTATAAATGAATCAGGACCACACGTTAATGAAGTGAATCAACTTTATCTCTTGCTCCTAGCCTCACATGTTACAGCCATCTTGAACACCGTCCTCTTATGCTCCACCCCCCAGCTACGGGTGACCGCATATACAAATCTCAATACATCACAATGTAATGTAAGCAATATGTCTTTTTTTTTTTGTTAAGCATGCCCCTGACCCTCAGAGCTCTGTGCAATAGGAAACTGAGCGCCGACCAGAACTAACCAATAGCGTTAGACTACCGCTTACCTGCCTCAAATTTAAGGAATACCTCGCAGATGTTGCAGTTGATGAACTTCCACGGACAAGTAAGTTTTTAAAATATAAATACATGTAAACACAACATGGCATGAGAATAATACTTGTAAAACAACATGTTTTAGCTCTGTTTGTCGGCTACAGAAGCACATTTATAACTAAAAACTGTGACGTTGCCATTTTAAAAAAACAGACCCAGAGATTATTTGTGTGATATGCTTGTCAGCCACTAGATGGTGCCATCAGATAAGAGAAATACTCCGGAAAGGGACTATGTGAAATAATTGGTTGTTTGAACGTTGTGAATACATATATTTTTTTCTAAGTAGCACAACGACCAGGATCCCGGCATGCTTTGCGGTTGATGACGCTAAGCTCCCAGTTCTAATTCGGCAATTATTTGCACACTTGTGCACTATGCACTCAAAGCCTTACTGCACACTTCCTCCAAGTGCACTTTAGAAGACCGTGGGGTGCTGTGTGAGGATTGGGAGTGGGCCCAAGATGCATGCTGTATGTGACTGCTCCTTCTCTGTAATAAAGTTTCTGTGGCTGCTTTTCCTATCTACTTTAAAATGCAACAGGTACTTAAGTATCATCCCAGAGGAACTCCTTCAAACCATCCAAGACCAGTTTGTGAATGAGTGATGTATTTCGAAATCGTTCACTTGTCATGAGGCTAAATTAGTGGTTTGAAGAACAAAACATTCAAATTTAGGGTCAATGACCCTAAAACTACACAGATTTCAATCCTTGAGAGTCTGACTGAGACACAAAGCTCTAAAATTCGGACTAACTCCAAGCGTTGATTATGAGAAATGGGCTGCCATCAGTCAGGATTAGAACGAAAAGTTTAGCATAACTGGACAGACTGCAGAGGTCTTCAAAGCAAAGATCCAATCATTTAAGTATTGACTGTTTGATACGTTCAGTATAACATCTAAAAAGACCTAAAAGCACTAAAGCAGCAAACTTTTGACAAGCCAATACTTGCTTAATTCTCATAATCTTTGACTACGGTATGAGTGAAACATTCTCCATGCCGTCTAGAAACATACAGTGTTGTTGTAAACCAGACAAAGGAAGAGCACTGTCCTCCCCACTCACCGATGATGTCTAGATTAATACTCCGTGGCTTTCCCCAGAGTAAGACATCCTCTTTCTTCAGAGCAACTTCAAACACCTTTGGATCACCTGCCCTGACTCCCTCTATCTGCACTGAACAGTCTCCATCTGAAATCCGACCAAAGAGGGACGTCCGGCCTTGGAAATTTCTGCTCACTTGATCTCTGCTTTCGCTGTTAAAAGCAGTGCTCCGCAGAGGGAACAGATGACTGCCGTCTCTGAACCTTAGTCGCACATCCACCCTCTTCTTCGGTCCCTGGAGAGGATCAGGAGCTGCAGGTGTGAAGGAGCAAGGAATCACCACGCAGGAGTCCACTAGAGCTTTGACGCGGTCGGGGACTGAGGGCACAAGTGAGACAGCCTCGACCTCCCTCCTCAAGACTGTTGTGGTGTTGGAGAACACACGGTTATTGGGGAATCAGACATCGCTGTGTGAGATTGTAGGTTTAGAAGTAGGAGAGCTGAGAGAATTAGCAGCTAAAAGCTGTTTTATTTCTCTTTATTAAGACTAAAAATAGTATATTGCTCTTAACATTTGAATGCATTTAATTCTAATGTTTCGTAGGAGAAAATAATTAGGATTGGCAAAAAGAAATCTGACTTTAATGGAAAACTGTGTTTTGCAATAGGCATACATTTAGAAAATGGAACAGAGTAATTATACTTTTTATCCATCAGACTTATCCAGATTGTCTTTTTCTCTCAGCAGAAAACTATTAAACTTCACTCTTTTTTTCTCCATTTTGCTCTAAATATGCAGCTTCTGCAGAAACATTTTATAAAAAACAATGTTCACAAATTTTAAGGTTGCCTTTTTCAAATACTCTCAGCTGGACATTACACAAATAAAGAAAACGTGTTCTTGAAATTAACATAACAAGACAACTTTAGGAAAATTTTTATAAAATAGTTTACTTACCCATGACAAGCGAACATGCTAAAAGGACAGAGTCTGCATGCATGGCTGCAACCCTGCTGTGCAAACACAGACAGAGAAGAACGACAAGAGGGGCAAAGGAGAGGAAGCTGGGTTGTTCCATCGTCTCACTCCTGCCTATCAAACCTCCACCTACTCATAAATATGATATTTATTCATTTAGCTAATCTGAATCATCCATATATCCTTGTTTGCAGATGCAAAAAGAACACATCTCTTCCTGAGGCATCCGATCAGACTGAAAACATTTTTCAGATAGAAAAATAAGTGGAACTGGTTTGTAAAGGAAAGAAAGACATCAGCAAGATGACACATGACAACGTCTGAGTCATTCTCTCATGCTGCTGCTCATTTCCTCAGTGGATCTAAATGTGCTTATTTCTGGTTTTTCCTCTTTGTAACATTGATCCATTTGAAGCTTCTGATGCTCTTAAAAAATAATAATAAAAACAAAACAGAAATACAAGTTAAACGGAAAAAAGAACATCACCCTTGCTGTTGATGGTATTTTTATTATTATGTTGCTGCACATAAATATGTGTGTGTATACATACAAACACAAACAAACAAACAAACACACACACACACACACACATACACACACACACACACACACACACACACACACATATGTATATATATATATATATATATATATATATACTGTATATATATATATATATACATATATATATATATATATATATATATATATATATATATATATATATATATATATATATATATATATATATATATATATATATACATACAGTATATATATATATATATATATATATATATATATATATATATATATATATATATATATATACTGTATGTATATATATATCGCAACACATTCTCACTCCCAGCGCGTCAAAAACAAACGCTTGGTCAGCCACCCTCCACGTCAGACCCCTGATGCCAAAAGTGCCCTTTTTCTTTACTTATGTGCGAAAAGGGGTTTTTCCCTTATTTGACTGCAGATCCCAATGCAGTGTAAAACTGACGCGATGGGATGGCCGCAGCCAGGGCACCAAACAAGCTTATTGTACCTCACCTTAACCTTATCCTCTTATTCAACCTTCCCCTCACCCCATCCTAACCTTAACCATCTTGCTAGCGAACAGGTTAGTGATGTGTTGGTCACTCTAAAAGCCGGCTCTATGAAGTGAACGGCGGGAGCCACCTCGTCATTGGTCGGGTTTGGACCAAGCCAACGCGAGGGGGAGGTTTCAACTACCACGGTGGAGGTTAAAAGTAGAGGGTATGTGTAACCTCCCCCTCGCCAGATGGTATGTTCTAACGTTCCCCTTGGGCGGCAAATAGACCCTTTTACTGTTTGTAAACAATATGACGTCAACGAGAATGCGCGCGCAGCTTGGCAACAGAGAATGGCTTTGTTTCAGGCTTTATCAAGCTACGCTGCGGGGTTATCACCGGCAAATCTTGAATGTTATATTATTAAACTCACTTTAACAAATGGCAACAGACTCCCGGATCCCTGTGGCATTACGGAATGGGTGGAAGATGTAGGTGCGTGGCCAGATGTCCAGTGGCGCGATATATATATACGTTTTTAGTGGAGAGGCCCAGTAAGTACACACGTGAGAAGCTACGGGCATGCAAATCGTTAGATGCATACAACTATGTTGTCTGTGGCCACGTACAGAAAGTAAAATATCACGACATAGACTCTTGAGTTTTGCGTCTTGAAGGCAGAAGTCCTTCCTAGCCAAAGACAAGGACACAAGACTGCTATGTACGAGGCTTGGGTCATAGTAAACAAACCAGAGAAATGCGTCTTCACAGCCAACTGTACCTGCATGACACGATGAGTATAGCATAGGTTTCTTTTTTAAGCGTGCTCAGAGTACAATCGTGTTAATTTTAGAGAAATACAGTTGATACTAATATGCAGGGGGAAAATACAGATGAATTAGAATGAAATGTTAATTTCATTTGCAAACCAGCAAACGCAACTTACTTTATTTAATAGAACACACGTTAACCAGCTTTCTGGTGTAATCTTAGTACATAATTACCTTACCTGATATAAACTGGGCACTACAAACTCGAGCATTTCGGATCGTGTTTTCAGTCCAGTTTTCATCAACCCTTTTGATGGCCTGCAGCCACAGACGCCTCTGATTTTGTTGAAATGGATGTGCTCCCTTCGGAATTCTGTAAAGTTTCAGTCCACTGCTTGAAGAGAAGCGATTCTGGCATCCATACACGCAACAACCTGACATTTTTATGTGCTCAGAACTTCCAAACAAAGTGTTTAAAACGCTATTTCAGTATCGAGTGTGAATGAGGAAGCCTTCACTCTCGTTGCCAGGCTGCGCGCGCAACTTTTGATGACGTAGGTAGTAAAAGGGTCTTGACAGTCAGACTCTGACTGTCACAGTCAGAATGCATGGGAAACAAACGCTTAATCACAGTGAGAGTAACGTTTTTGGTAGCAAGAGGGTTAAGGTTAGGATGAGGGAGAGGGGAAGGTTATAAATAGTGAAACGTTAAGGTTTAGGTGCGGTTAAATGAGCTGGTTCGGTGCCGCATCAGCGGATATCTGATCACGTCAGTGTAACGCTGCATTGGGATCTGCAGTTACAAAAGGGAAAAACCCCTTTTCGCACATAAGTAACGAAAAAGGGCACTTTTGGCGTCTGGGGTCTGACGTGGAGGGTGGCTGACCAAGCGTTTGTTTCTGACGCTTAGGGTGTTAGAATCTGATATATATATATATATATATATATATATATATATATATATATATATATATATATATATATATATATATATATATATATATATACATGTCACGTTGTGAGCCAAGAGGAGGTTAGGACCTAAAGATGCAGAGATTCCAGATGACACAGGGTTGGTAGAACTAAACGTAAAAATCCTTTATTACAGGGTAAATCAAAAAGGGCAGGGAACCAAAAACCAAAATCCAAAAAGTCCTTATAACAAAACCTAGAGAAATCCAAGAACAAAAACAGACCAAGAGAGATTCAAATATCAAGAGAGGGGACGAGACGCGACTGACACACACAATGACCCAACAACACACTGAGACGCAGACAGGGTTAAATACACTGGGGCAGGATGAGTGGGAGATGAGCTGCAGGTGTGAGGGGAGAGAAACCTAGTGAAAACAATTAACTGATCAGGGAGAGGAAAGTGAGCAGAGGAGGGGAAACTAGCATGACCTAAGAGCAAAAAGAAAACCTAAAGACAAGAGCAAGCTAAATAACAAATGTTCTAAGGAGGAAGGAGAACTAAAAAAAACAGTGGGGAAAGAAACACACTAAAAGAGACTAATTAAATGAAAAGCTGAACCTTATAGAAAAACTGCAGAGGGGTGACTAGGGGAGACCAACGGGAGCACAGGACCTGGCAGGGATAACCTGGAGGGGCTGCAGACCAGGGGACACATGAGGAACACAAGGAGACACATAAGGGGATCCTTGGAGGGAGCACACAAGGAGACACATGAGGGAGACGCAGACAGACCAGGTCTCTTTCTTTCTTTGTGGACAAAGTCAATAAGGTTAGATCTAGCATCTCTCCTTCAGCCTTATCGCTGTCTCTCCCGACTCCAACCAGGCCCATCATCCTAGATAGCTTTGCTCCTGTTTCTTTGCCTGAGTTAACCAAACTAGTTAACTCTATGAAGACCTCTGCATGCCCCCTCGACATCTTACCCTCATCTTTGTTTAAAAGTGCTTTTCAGTCCATCGGTCCCAGCGTGCTCTCTATAATTAATGCTTCTCTGGTTTCTGGTTAGGTCCCTGCTTACTTTAAGAACGCTGTACTTAACCCACCATATTGTTAAGAAGTTTGTGTTTACGTTTTCTAAATTCCTGAAGAAATTTTAAAAAGTGACCTGCCACCTGGTACAAAACACTTTTTTTTTTTCATTTTCAGTGTGTGCCACTCTAAATGTGCATAATTAAGGGACCTGCTGCTCTGCCAGTGGGCAGGTACTTCTTAAAATTTCTTCAGGAATTTCTAGTTACTTTTACAATGTGGTAACAGAGTTACTAGCTCAATCACTTTTTGGAAAAAGTCATTTGTAACTATAACTAATAACTTTTTTAATGTGAGGTGCCCAAGACTGCCCATTAAGCTGTTGCTAATGCAAAGTGCCACACACTCAAAGTTTAAAAGGATAGCTCAATCTGCCCCAAAATGAGAAATTCTTAGAAGTTTTTTGCTAATGATTTTGCCATGGTACATCAGATCACTTGGAACAGAAATAGCACACCTCCCGCAGTCAAGCCGCTCATTTTCATGTGTAATTTGTGGGGGTGCACGCTGCAGTGTAAGCTGCATTAAGGCCCTGTCCACACGTAGACGGGGATCTGCCAAAACGTAGATATTTTTCTACGTTTTGGCCTGTCATCCACATGAAAACTGAGTTTTTTCACACGAAAACGGATCTTTTTAAAAACTCCGGCCAAAGTGAAGACCTGCGTTTTCTCCGTTTTGGGTGTCTGCGTGTGGACTGACAAAACCGGAGTTTTAAGGTCCGCAACGTCACTTTCCGCGACAAAAAAATGCTGACATCACGTGTGCGACCTGTGTTTACACTAGCCGACAGCATGGATGCCCTCAGAGCTGCGCTCGCTTTATCAATTGTCCAAGCGCTTTCTGCTTGTTTGTTTTTGCAAGCGGAATTACTGCTCCTTGCGGAAGACCACAGACGAAGGACGAGGTTAAGAACGGGGGAAGTACTGCCGCCTACAGGTCTGGCATGTCCTTAACAACGTATTTATCCGGGTACGTGTGGACAGAGTTTTTTTAAAACGAGGTGGTTTGGATGAAAGTTTTTGGAGGGGCGGATATTCGTTTAAAAAAACGGCTATGTGTGGACTAGGCCTAAGTCCTCGGAAGAAGAAGAATAAAGAGTATTAATGTCGAAAACTTCCTAGGTGCATAACAATAAGAGCCCTGCTTGCAAAAGCAGCAGTAGGTCACTTAATAATAATGGCGATTAATAATGAAAAATAAAAAAGCAAGCAGGTCCCTTAACTAGTGATGGTAACTGCTGACTTCACATGACAGGGCAGCAGCAGCATCAGGAGCAATAACAGGAGTATTAATTATACAGTTTTTATAAAAACACCTCAGACATCACTGACATGTTCTAATATTGTCCGACGAAAAACAAAATTGTCGGACCCGCCGTCTCATCTGCTTCTTTTCTAAACTCACAAAAATCTGTCAGTAACAAAACCGTTTGAAAGCCTCTATTTGTGGATTCTCTGAACGATTCCATGGAGTCTGTGACAACTTTCTTTTTCATTGATCCAATCGTCTAATCTCACAGTTGAAACGCTTTCTCAATAATCTGTGCAGCTTACAGATGCTTTACAAAAGGTATAATTATTTCTTATTAATAAAACATTGTTGCTGCACTAAAGCAGCAGAATAATGAACATTTGCAATAAATATGCAGAATATTTACATAGGAATTGTTTAGAGCCCTATTTTTGGCAGAATCTGATATTAATTTTAGCTCTTCACCTGGAAAAAAATGGGCCCTAACGTGGTTTGAGTGGTGTTGCCATGTGTAGGCACAGATAAAGTGGACTAGATTGTTCTATTAGGGCAAAATAATTTGTGACAATAATTGTACACTAATTGCAGACATAGAACAGAATTAAAGAAGCCTGTGTGGAGCCAAAGTTTCTTCAGTAGAAGCTCATCAACCACAGGTGATGAACCAGACAATTAATTTGACACGTGTCAGATGAGTGCTCTTCAGTCTTTTCTTTCTAATAATTGTTGTAATTTATTTACTTGTTTCACAAAAAGAGTCCCATGTAGTTTCAATATCCATTATTCAAAAGTTTCAATGTCCATAGATTCCATCATTCACCTGACACGTGTCAATAAAACCGTTTGCCCTGTCTCAATCCATCACACCTGAATCTAATTACACTGGGATTAAAATGGGTATGGAGACAGAGACAGGTGCTGTTCAGATTATGTTTTTTCCTCCATCTAGTGTTCACCACGTGTAACTGCAATTTACAATATCTGACAGCCTTAAAGAGCAAGTCACCCCCTACCAGATTCTAACTCCACTCCCACTTCATGTTTGAAAAATGCAACAAATGCTGTTGCCTGGCAGATCGAGAGGACGGCGCTGCTAACAGATACACACACACACAGGCTCACGACAGCATTGTGACATCATAATGTACCAGTTTACATCATAGCATACTTCTTAGCCAATAGCGGTGGTAGATTAAAATTAGAATACAGTGCAGAGTTTTTACCTGACAACGGCACAACACTGCCAGTTTTAGGCAGAATATTTAAATTTTAACTAAAATGCACTGAAGTGCCAAATTATTGACGACACGTGTCTGCAGCACGATTAGACACTCATTTATTTAGTTTATCAGCAAAAAAAAGTTTATTTGGGGGTGACTTACACTTTAAAGGAGACATAACATGCTTTTAAGTTATTCCTTTTTACATCTAAATCCTTCAGTTGGGGTCTAAATACAGTGGAACTGCAGTTCTTTGGTCTGATTTCCTCATTATTGTTGCTCTACAGACCCTCATCTACCCCTGTTCTGAGGAGTCTTGAGAACGAGCCGTTTTGGGGTACTGTCTCTTTAAACTTGAGGAGGAGCTGTAAACTCCGCCCCCCCTCCATAGTGCAGACCTGTACTCTCCTCCCCCAGTCGGACTTTGTAGTTCTATAGAGAAATCATTATTTAGCATAGCAGATTTAGCATAGCATATTAGCATTTTTAAAACATGTGGGGAGGGTAGTTCATCAAGCTGTTTCATGGCTGCTAACTCTCTCATGCATTTGTCTGTAGTCACTCACACACACCCGTCACGGCTGACGGAAGGACAAGCGAGCAGGCACGTGCGCGCGCGCACACACACACACACACCCATCACGGCCGACGGAAGGACAAGCAAGCAGGCGCGCGCGCACACACACACACACAAGGAATGCTGCTTGCTTATTTCTATAAAAAATGTTTTAAAAAATGATACAGCTCATTAAAACACCATTAAAAGAATATTTTATTAAGATCTCTATCTATATATATATACATACATATAATTTTATAAGTAGTCTTATTTTATATTGGGTGTCTTAATGGCTGAAAATGGATAAAAAGCAGTTACATTTTAAAGATTTGAGATTCTAGTCAAAAATAAAGAACATTCCTCCAAGTGTTCTTTAATGTGATCATTATAATTCTAATGCTTACAACTTTGTTTTTATTGTCTGCAATGCGTAGCCTATATCTTTATTAAATGTGTGTTTAGCTGTAATGTGGTAATTCTCTCTAATGTGTACAGAGAGGTGGACATCAGTGCTGCAGTGAAATTCCCAAGATCAGTCTGCTTTGCTAACAAATATAGTTAAATCTGACCTGCATTCTAAATAAATACCGTTAGGTGGAAACATCAGTAGGCATTGAGTTATTGATAAAATCCCTAACAGCCAGAATGGAAGAAGAGCATGCTGGGTCATCCTGGATCTGAGCCTGTTCTGTGTATTTACCTACAGGATGCAATAAATGTCTACAAGGCTGAGTTTGGACCATTACATCTAAAAGAAAGCATACAATCAGTGATTTTTTTTATTGTTTACATTAATATATAAATTTTCTAAGTATTAACCTCACAGCAAATAAGTAGAACAATATAATAAACAGGCTTTAGTAGTTAAACAGGCGTTGTGCACACAGGTGCTTTGTGTCTCGGTGCTGGTGGTGTCTAGGTCTCAGAGTTCCTGTCCTCCTGCCGTCTTCTGTTGTCCTCAGGATACGGATTGATGTTTCCTGATGATGAGGGAGGGGAAGTATGTGGGCTTCAAACTGGTCCTGGATAACAGTGGGAGACCTCCGTTGTCTGAGACCAGAGAGTTGGTGAGATGCAGATCTTCTCTACCTCATCTAGAAACGGAGTTGGTTCAGGGAAAACTTTTCCAAAGACCAGTTCCATGATGTCATCGCCATATTCTGCAATGATAGACAATAACTTTAATGACATATTTTGTCTACAAGCAGCTTTAGGAAAGTCGTTTCTTTAGCTTTCATGTTTATAGTCACGTTTGTGTTCGTTCACAAGTTCACTTTGCTGCAGTGACTTCATATTCCTACAAATGTAATAAAATAGTGACACTAAAATTATACAAATGACTCCTTATGAAAGGAAGCTCATTAGAGAGCAGTGCAGACAGACTTACTACATGCTGCAGCTGTTTTTGTAGGCCAGCTGCTGCTGAATTTGGGGAAAGTTATTCTGTACACGTCCAGATCAGATGGTCGATTACAGAAAATAATGTAATTCAATAATTTCTAAACAGACTAAACAAGTAAAACATCAAATAAATCACTCTGCTGTCATCAGACGGAGTGATTCAGGGGGTGAGGTGTTCTTAATGATGAGGGTGGCTGAGGTGTCATCACTCACTTTGGTCTGGTCCAGACCGTCTCTTTACTGGTGGGTCTCCTTCCTCAGTAGGCAGTGGCGGTTCTACATCGAATTACTCCCCGGGCGAGGCCCCCTTTGAGCGCCCCCCCCCAACCGCCCCCCCACCACCACCACCACCACCACACCACCCCACCTGCATGAACACACGCATGTTTTCTACAAACAGGCATGTTTTATTAGAACGACTATTGAACATTCATTTTTCTAAGTTGCACATATTTACATTATTTACTATGAAGTTGTCAGAATGTAAAGCAATATACATTATTTACAGTATCAAAATATATAGAATCAAATATACAAAAACAAACAATAACTAAATATTAAGAATATATGAACATAATAGATAATAAATATTGTAAATAGCAAAAATATTTCACACATAACAAACTAAAGATAATCACTACAGCATTGCACTTAGAAAACACAAACTAAAATTAAAACCTAACCTTGATGCAACGTCATCAATAATGTCATCACATGAAATCTGCTCCCCTACTGAGTGATTGATACTAATCAGAGCCAGGTTAGTGAGCCGCCCCTGAAACATAGGTGACCTCAGGTATGACTTGATCAAGTTTTGAAAAGCTCCTCTCAGCTTGAGCCACAGTGACTGGCAGAGCAGTCCAAAAGTTGGGGTAGATCTCCAATAGATCTTTATCATGATCCATAATATTTTAGAATTGCCTCTGAAATTGTAATTTAAACTGACATAAAAAATTGTAGACTACCAAAAATGCCAACTTTTACAGAACAAACCATGTAAAAAATAATCAGTGCAGCCATCTGCAATAAATAAACAGTTAGTGGTGACTAGGGAGTTTCCTTCTGCTTGTAGAGTTGTTTTATTTATTATTATGTGAACATGATCAACATGTGTTTGTTGTTGTTCAGGCAGGCCACAGGCTGCAGCGAGCATTTAACAAATCCTAGTTTGAATCAGTAAAAAACGATTCAAGGACTTTTTTCGAACCATTTGAATATTCGTTTCAATATTTCAGCCCTATTAGCTCTGTTAGCAATTAGTTGACCGCATTTAACCGTTAAAATCCCAGTTAACTGGTTCAAAAAATTGAAAACATGCATCATGAGAGCTACATACCTTTATCTTTTTTTTCCCCCTGAATCGAACACCTGGTGGTTTTAGCCTTTTTATGTTCATCTCTTCTGTTTGGCTCTTAACTCAGTAAGTTTCCTTTAGTCAGGACTAAACAATTTGACCTTGATGGGGGGGTGACCACAAAATCGTTTTGTTTTTCCTTTTTTTATTCGGCCATTTCACACAATTCAGAGAAACCTGAAAGAATGATAGGCCTGTGTTTATGATATTATGAATGAAATATGGAAGAAAGTTAAGATGTGATTGACTTTAGCCATGTTAATACAGTTGATTCAGCCGCTGCACGCTCATTTCATTTGGGAAAGACGCAGAGGTGAATTCCCCCGCCGCACCCCTCCCCTTCCTGTTCTTCATAGACACACGGTGCATGTGAACGTTCTCAGTCAGCATGAGCGCCTGCAGCTGCAGGGGGCGCCAACTTGCTGTTTCCAATCCAGACACTGTCATATGACAGATAATAGAAAACCTCGGTGCGGCGCAGATTTCCTTTTTTTTTTTTTTTTACTCAGCGCTTGTGCGCCCCTTTTGTGTCATGAAAAAATGCCGCCCCGGGCAACTGCCCTGTCTGCCCGTGCCTAAAACCGCTACTGTCAGTAGGTGACGTGAAACGCCAACATCTGAACGTTCTGTGTTCCTTAGAGGAGAAGAAAAGTAACATTAGCAAGCTGGCTAAATTATTTTTTACTAGCATCTCAAGGCCTTGGAGAAGCAGATCTTCACGTACCTAAACATCAGACCAGTTTGTCCCTGCTGAGCTCATCAGGGCTTTAGTCTGACAGCCTGTCAGTGAAACACGGCTCCAGCCTTCTGGATGTGGACTCTAAAAAGCAAAGGACCATTTTTACTTTTGTTTTAATTATTGTACAGCTGATTTTATCAGCTTTCCGATGCTCACGCTCATACAGACGGTGAGCTTTGCTGCGTCTGACTGATGCAGAGTTAGTTTTTATATCTGCAGTGAGACAAAAAACTAACCTCACTTCACTCAGAGATTGTCCTTTAAAACTATTAAATCCACTGTGTTGACGCACTTTAATGACTTTGTCACGCTGCATTTTAGCTGATATGGGACTTTATTTACTGGATGCTAAGATTACATCACACTCACGTAGAATAACACACAGGCTCTCTGCTGTTACAATCAGTGGGAGGTTATCATCTGGTGTAAAAGAAGGCGTTGATCAGAAATCACGTTTTATTCCACGAAAATCAGCCAAATCCACATTAATCTGGGTGCTAACTTTACTAGCATACTGTGCTAGCGATAGCAAGCCGGATGCTAACGCTTTAGTGCTGCTAATGCCCGTAAATCTAAAGTAAAGTTTGTCGACATTTTAGAGTGATATGAAGCTTACCGCTCTGCTGCTGTGTCCCGGTGCTGCCACATTCAGATGGAAATGACTCCTTTTAGATAGATGAAGCCCTCAGTACTTAGCCACTAGCCTGGAGACAGAACGAACGAACCACGCACGCACGCACGCACGCACGCACACACACACACACACAAACACACTACTTTTTCTTCTGTGTTTTTTTAGCAGTAGTGTCATCAGCTCCTGGGTTTAAATACTGCCACACCACCCTTCCTTAAAACGAGGAACACTTTTGAGCTGTGTGTGGCTAAAATAACCAGACATTCTGCATTTTTCCAATAGGACTACAAAAAATCTTAGCGAGAAGAAAAAATGGCGGATTGGCTCTGTGTTTAGCCGAGGGCCATTACCATATTTGGTAGTTATCCTGACGAAATAAATTACTGATGTAATAGATAATGTGAAAAACTGAACGGGTGGACAAATATGCCCAAAACTTAATTATTAAATATCTAAATAGCAACTCCAGTGAATGATATAAGCCTTTTTGCTCACTTAGACACTTAAAATGTGAAACACACTGTGTTAATGGATAAAAAAGTGGGTTTTTCATGTTATGTCTCCTTTAAACAGGATTAAACTTGTGTGTTATTGTGTAGGTGAGTTAGCGGTTGCTACAATAAAACAAGAGCCACTTAAATGAAGTCTATAAAAAACTTATGAAAAACATTTTTTCTTCTTTCTTTACATGATTAACGATTTTGGGTGTTCAGCCTTCTTCAGTCACCAATTCTCTTACCTTTACTTCACCTGACCACGCTCACTTCCTCAGTCCTGGTTTTCCAAACCAATCATAAATTATAAATGACACTTAAATAGCTTTTTCCAAACATAGTAATATTTACTCTGTATTATCTCTGCATCAGCAGAGAACTCATGGAGGAATTATGCGTTTTAGTTTTGCATTTTAGTTAATATTAACCACCGTGGGTGGTTGTTCGTTGCTCTGTTTAGTATTAAAAAAACACACTTCTCAACTGGGCTGATTGTGACTTTTCCTTCCGGCTTGTGTCATTTTATATCAACTCATCTTTGAACTTTTGACACATAAAGCAGCCGTCTCTGATAAAAGGCACAAAGGATTTTCAAGCTGTCCCTGCAGCAGCGGGTGAGTAAATTACATTTTACGTATCAAACCAAACATTACAGAGCTCAAGCTAACCGGCATTCTACTTCTGCTGTTTAGTTTTGTCTCTGCCACATGACTGGAGCCATAAAACGTTATCCGGTAATTAGTTCATCCACTTCTGAGTAAAAATGATTAAGAAAAGTTTGAGACTGTGACTTAAGGTATTTGTTAGATCTTTGGTATACATTTTGAAAACGGTTGTTTTGAGCTAATTTAAATTGAATGGATTTTTAATTAGTGACTGTGGCAGACAAAACCTGTTTCTTTTAAAATGTTAGGATCTAGTTGAGACTCTAATATGACGACGGGGACTTAAAAGGGGCATTTTAGAAAGTAGTTCTTTGAGAAAGTTAAAAATAAAGATTTATTTATATCTTTCTGAATGACATCAGATCAGAAAAAGAGTGTTTACCTCCACCAAGGCTGAAGAGCTAAAGCAGGCATGTTCAAAGTGCGGCCCAGGGGCCATTTGCAGCCATTTAAGTGTTTGTTTGGGTCGCCCAATATCTAGAGCAGTATAATTTCATTTGTCTAGCAGGTTATTGATGAATATAATCACTTTTTTGACTTTAACTTTTGCAAATATGGTGCTCTGTTTGAGCAATAAAAATGAAACAACTCACCATATTTTTATGGGGTTAAAGAAAAGGTTTACTCATTTATTCAATACATTTGCAGTGTTCTCTAGTGTGAATCAATGCCTTAGATTCATTTTTTTTTAAAAGCTGTGACGCTTCTGTTCTGAGATGCAAAGGTTTGTTGGTCCAGACATGGGCTGAAAACAGCAGGATTACTCATTACAGGGAGCCATCTACTTCCACATCACGGGTCCCCAGAAGAACAAAAAAATGAATGCAAGTCAACGGGGCTAAAAACGCTATTTTCTAATTCTGCTTTGTATGTGCCATAGATTTCACATATGATGTCTGTGAATTTTAAAGACGCATTTTGATACCAAGAACGCGCTTATTTTCAAACGAGGGAATTGTTATTTTAGGTTTTGTGTGAAAAGAAGTCCGGGACTATAAATATGCATCACGAAAGTGACGTCATCAAACCAGACACGGAGAAAAAAAGAGGGAAATTGGCTGTAAGTTTAGCAAACCTAAAATCCTTCCTTTAGGAGGCAAAAAACACCATAAATCTGGCCATTTGGTAAGTAGCAGCTACGCTAGGGGAGAGGTGACGTCATACATGCTGCATGCCGATGTCTAAGTTGTAGTCATGCTAATTACGAACATTTACAAGCGGGTAAATCCAAAAGTATGTGACAGGCGTGGTCGAAACACCCATCATTAGTTTTCAGATAAATTGCAGTACAACATATGTGCGATCCAGGGCCTAAGGCAAAGCAGATTAGAAAATAGCTATTTTAGCCCCGTTGACTTGCATTTGTTTTTTCTTTCTTCCGGGGATCCATGAGCCGACCGGAAAGGGAGGAGACTTACCCCGGTTTCACACTGCAAACATCAGCGGAACGGAGCGGCAGCGAAGCGGCACCGCTTCAAATAGAATCCAATTATAGTCAATGGAGTGTTTCAAACCAGCCGCGACGCAGCAATTTCCAGGCGCGTCCCAGAAGCGGCATGCCGCTAAAGATAGGATCGAGCTCTATTTTTTCCGCGAGCCGCTTCTGGGACACGCCAATTTCCGCAGTTCACATAGTGTGAGACAGGAAACCACACGGTTTCAGTGTAAAATCCCTGGTTATTTTCAAAATAAAATGCAACGTTGCGATATTATATATTACTTAAGTCAGCACGTGTGACCGAACAGCTTTGTTTACCACCAGTTTCTTTCGAGAAGTGCAACAGTGTGATTTCTCGCGGGGTTGTGATCTCTTGATGAAGAAAGTGTGGGAAGTCTCGAGGGATTTTAGAATCTCGCGGGTACAGCGAGGAAGCCGTGCCGCGGCCAAGACTCTCCGGGTGTGAAAAGGACCACTTTGAAGTTCGCGAGTGAGCCGCTTCGCCACTGATTTTTGCAGTGTGAAACCGGGGTTAGGCTCCCTATTATTGATATCCTCACACCTCAATTCTGATTGGCTAACAGAATGCGTTAGCCATGTTGCAAAGTCACCATCACAAAGACCTTCTCCGCTCTCTCTCCTTGCTACAAAAAAACCAATAGAAGAAAGTCTTCCTGTGGGTGAGCGCAAGCCAAGATGGGCAAGGCCATGATCGCAAATTCACAGAGTGACGTAGATCTGTCAGGCTTCTCAAATCCTAGTATTCCACCGTCCATTTTCTATCAGACGCTAATGCAGGAGGTAGAGTAAATGTAGAAGACTGTTTTCATGTTGTTTTCATGTTCAGCCTGCATAAAGTCTCAGAATCGGCAATAATAATAAAAAAAAAGTTTTTTCAGTCAACCACGCTGTAACGTCTTGGTTTCGTTCGATGGAGGAGTGGGAGTGGCAGAAACACTTTACCAGACAGGGAATGACTCACAACCACTCAGGTTCTGGGGAATCCCACAAAGTCTGCCCTTTAATAAACACACACTCTTCAACAACCACATAATGCCCGGTTGAACGGCTGCTATCTCGCCATACCTCCAACAAGCCGTGTTTATACAACCCGTAACATTACTCGAGTGAGGGAGAGAAAGTTCAGTCCAAGTGTCCAACTGCAGCACGCTTCTCCCAAGTTTTGCAAAAGCGGGGGATAGTGGCGCATACTGGTGACATCATAACAAAATGACTTTGGCTTTCTTAAAGAGACCACATACTTACGGCTGTTACGCCGTTACAAATTTCACATTATTTTGGCCCGCAGTTTCTTATAATTTGAAAATTTGTCCCTTGTGTTGAAAGTTTTGAACACGCCTGAGCTAAAAGCTAGGCTAAGTACAGCCATCACCAAAGTCTATTGCTGGTATCTTAAAACAGCTTCTGTCTAAGCTTTGTAGCAGTTTATGACACATTCTTTTGTAAACTATTGAACCATACTTGGGGTAGCTGAGACTCAGTGGGGTGAAAAGGCAGTAGCTTGCCATTTGGGAGTTTTGGTCCAATCAAAATGTCCTCACCTGCATAGGTATTACACCCAACTGTATGTTGATTATGTCTTTATTATAAAATAGAATATGACAAGTTGTCTTGTGTTTTAGATCCACAATGGAGTTGATGATAAGAACTGAGATTATTCTCTCGGTGTATATCCTTTCCTTCGTGATTGGCTTCCCAGCCAATCTCCTGGCACTTTATACCTTCAGCGTCAAGATCCACTGCAAGCCACTTCCAACAGACATCCTGCTTCTCAACCTGACGGTGTCCGACCTGCTCTTCTTGATCATCCTTCCCCTCAAGATGCACGAGGCGACATCTGGCATGGAGTGGAATCTACCCAACTTTTTATGCTCCATCACCGCCTTCACCTTCTTCTCCACAATCTACACCAGCTCCTTGCTGCTGATGGCCATCAGCGTTGTCCGCTACGTCGGAGTGGTTTTCCCTATTGCCTATCAACATCTGAAAAACCCCGTGTACCCCGTTGTTATCAGTGCTGTTATCTGGCTGATCTCAGCAGCACACTGCAGCATCACGATCATCGTCCAGCACCACCCATCACTCTCCAGCTCCAATTCCACCATGTGCTATGAAGACTTTACAGAGAAGCAGTTGGAGGTTCTCCTCCCAGTGCGTTTGGAGGTCTTCTTCGTCCTCTGCCTTGTGCCGCTTCTGATTTCTATGTACTGCTACCTGCATTTAATTTTGATTCTGTACAGTCGTCCAAGGATATCCAGAGCGCAGAAGAAGAAGAACATTGGGATGGCTTTGGGGACTCTTGCTGTGTTCAACATTTGTGTTCTGCCATACAATTTCTCTCATGTAATGGGCTACTTCCAGGGTACGAGCCCTCAATGGAGGTACTATACGTTGCTTCTCAGCACGTTAAACACCTGCATTGATCCCATCATCTTCTATTTCTCCTCATCCATCTTTCATTGCACCAGCAAAAAATCAATTTTCAGGAGACATGGTCTTAACGTTGCACAGCTACAAATGCAGAGCACAAATTCTGGCTGAGAGTGAAACGCATCAATGACGTAAACATAAGATTTAACAGTAAAAAGACACGCAGTCAGAATGTGGCAATAGATGCGTCAGTTGTTTAGAACACCTTTAAGGTAATTTTGTTCCACTTTTTTGCAGCTTTTTTTACATTTACCATCCATTCTAAGACAAATGGATATACCGCTTTTTAATAAAAGCACAAAACAGTTTGGTGGTCATGCAAACTCCCACTTTTTATTCGTCTCCAGGAAGTTGAGTATATTTAAATGGATGACATGGTTTTCAGTTTGAATGTGGTTTTTCATGCTTCCTTTAGCGTGGGCCTGCTACTCTCCTGCACTCTTGCATTCTGTAGGCACACATGTAGAATATACCTGTGAAAAAACAACAAAAATAAGCTGTAAAACATCAAATAAATGCAACTATTATCTTTTATACAATGCACCGACAACACAAAAAGAAAATAAACATTTTAAGAAAAATTTAAAATGAAAATGCATGAGCCAACCTGCAAAGAAGTTCATGAGCAGTGCCACCCAGCCTAGTATGTAGGACCAAGAGAAACGCCAGTCACCAAAGCGCTTGCCCAGGAAGTTTACCGTCACCCCGGTGTAAATGGCCATTGCAAGGAGAACAAAGAGTGCTAGTGTGGAGGCAGAGAGTGACACCTCATAAAAACCCTCTCCTTAGAATTAAAGGATGTTATTTGGATGTTGCTTTGGCAACTGTGTTATTTGTCCAACAGAGGTTTACATTTCCTTGCAGTATAGTCAAATCACTTGATCACTATCATATTATTTGTGGAGAGAAAATTAGCTCGTCATTAATGGTTAACAATGTCCCATGACTCACTTGACACAAAGAACATGATCCCAGCAGCGAACGAGCGGTTGAACCTCTCAAAAGCAGAGAAGTGAGCAAACGAGAGGATTCCTGCGATGATGCCAGCGAAGCACGACATGGCAGACAAGATCATGAAGGCTCGAGTGGCGTTCCAGTAGGCTGAGGACGACAAGAGAAAATACTTTGAAGTGATGTACAGAGAAGAAATATTTCATTTTGCAATTTATTTCCCAAATGCAATATTTTACCAGAGACAACGTTGCATTTATTTTTTCCTCTTACTCAATCATAAACTTGAAAGGCGTTCTGGTGTGTTCTGGGACTCACATGTTTTCTTTAACTGTTGTACTTGCATGTGGAAAAATGCAGTGTATTTAAAGTGGACATATACTTGTTATTAGGATGTGCTGTGGTCTCTAAAATGAATGAATGCTTTGAGTTGATTTCTGTGAAGGAAAAAGAGTCCTTGCTCTCCAGTTTCAGGAAGCATAATTAGTCACAGGAAAGGGGGACAAAAAATGCCAGGATTTGGAGTTTTGTTCATTAATATTCATGATATGCAACTATATTGCCTCTGATTGGCCAACTGCAACGACTCTTCCACCGCCTCTGTTTGCTCTTCTTTCTTGTATAAAAATGTGGCATAAATGGTTATCTCCACAAAACAACACAAGCCTGAAAGTGTTCTGCCATTTTGTGCAATGCTAATGGTTAGCTTCTACTAGTCGAGATGCACTCTGCCCTCTCCTGGTTGGTAAATCAACACGCCCTCCCACAGGGCACCGCTGTTCCTGTGGTGGTCTTCCTGGAGTTTCTTGTCTATAAGAAATTGCACCAACTCTGCATCGGTCTAGGTATGGAGAAAAAAGGTGTGCATGCTCTGTGTTTGACACCTATATGTTATTGGATTTCTAATGTTATTGGCCAATGCTGAGTGGCGCTCAATTCAAATTGCATGAGGCTCTATGGGACAATAGGGCAGGCTTAGCAAAAATAAACTGTGTATTGCTTACATTATATTACAGTACAAACTTATACCAATTTCTAAAAAAAGTCTCAATAATTCCTGAAAGAAGGAAAATTCCAGATTGGGCTGTGGTTGGCAATAAATACACTATGAATGAATTATTACCATATGCTTTCAGTAACATAATTCTTACATATCCATATGTTGTTCGGCGCTGTGGTATCTTGGTTCTGTTCAATAGAATTCAGTGCAGTTTATTTATATAGTGCCATCACAAGGCACTTCACAAAGTATGTTGTGGTTTTATCTCTCTTCATTTTCGCTCTTTCTGCAGGTCTAGAAGTGGAATTTTGTACCTCTTGTGTTACTTCTTTTACTGAACCCCTCCCCCACCCAACCCATCTATCTTCATATCTTCTTCCACCTTTATCTTCATCCCTAAAGGGAGCCTAAGTCATGCCCATCTACTTCCAGTCCGCAGGTCCCCTAATGCCAAAGAAAATGAATGGGAGTCCATGGGCCAATAAAAATTATTTTCTGATCCTGTTTGATATGCACCATGGATTTCACATATGCTGTCCATTTTAAATTTTAAAGACATATTATGATGCAAAGAAGGAGCTTATTTTCAACAGATATCAAAAGTTACTTTAGGTTTTGTGTGAAAAAACGTGGAGAACTCCAAATAATTATCCCACCAAATTCACAACATCAGACCGTCTGTATTTATTCACTGAATTTTGATATATAATAATGAAAACCACTTGATGAATGACCTTGTTGCAACTTGAAGTTCAAAAACGAGTTCACTTAAAAATCCAAAATAAAACTACACTAAAAAATTCAGTAAGTTTATAAATAAAAAAAACTGAGATAAAACAAAAAAAAAAAGAAGTCTTTTAACAGCCATCATCAGATGTATATAAGTGAGTGTCCTCCATAGGGTTAAATAGATCTTACTTAAATACATTTGCAGTGGAATGCCTTGTAAGTTGTACTCTGGGAATAAAAGCTCCGGTGCGCCTGTTTCAGCTCAGAGAATTTAGCCAGAGAATAAAGTAGCTTCAGACTACAGGATTTGGAGTCTTCTTTCCTGATATTTGGACATCTCACCTCTGATTGGCTAACATCAACGCAATGCTATTGACTCTGTTTGCTTTGAAACATGGATGTTATATCTCCACAAACAGCCAGTGTTGGGAATACGTTTTGAAACTAATTAGTTAAAGTTATTGATTACTTTGTGAAAAAAGTAACTCAGTTACTTACCGAGTTACAAGATTATAAAAAGTAATTAATTACAAAAAAAAACTATTTTGTTACTTTTTTCATTAAAGAATGCATGAAAAATGGGTTCCCCTCTTAATTAAACTTACTTAATTGACTGTAAATTACTACAGTACTGAAATATAAATGACTAATAACTGGAACATAATAAAATGTATGTACAACTTTTCTTTTATAAAACTGAAATAAATGGGCACTTAACAGGAGGAACTACAAACGGGAACATTACACTGATCTAGACTATTCAAATGTCACTGTGTGATTTTTTTTCTCATATTTATTTCATCCATCCATTGTCTGAACCCGCTTGTCTACGTGGGGTTGGGGGGGGGGGGGTGTGTGTGCCTATCTCCAGCGGTCAATGGGCAATCATGCGGGATACACACTGGACAGAGAGCCAGTCCATCGCAGGGCAACACAGAGACACACAGGACAAACAATCATGCACACACACACTCACACCTAAGGACAATTTAGACAGACCATTCAACCTAACAGTCATGTTTTGGGACTGTGGGAGGAAGCCGGAGTACCCGGAGAGAACCCACGCATGCACAGGGAGAACATGCAAACTCCATGCAGAAAGATCCCAGGCTGGGAAGCGAACCCGGGACCTTCTTGCTGCAAGGCAACAGCTCTAACCACTGCGCAGCCCATATTTATTTTATTCAAGTCAAAAATACAACAAATGAATAAATAATCTGCATTTAGCAAGACCCCAATCAGCTAAAATTTACAAAAGCAAATAGAAACACCTATAAAGGTTTCTGAGCCTTTAAATAGTCTCTCAGTCTAGTTAATTAAAAGTGTGTTGTAGTAGCTTTTCTGTTGCTGCTAATCTAATAATGGTTAAATAAATAAATAAATCCTTTAAAATTATACTAAAACAGGCACAAATCTGATGGAGGACTTAAATGTACTAACTTGGGTCAGACCCAAACACAGAAGAGCTGAAGCTGGGTGGTAAACACACACAGGTAGTTCTAATAACACCTGAGCTCCATGACGTTTGAGAATGATGCAACCAGTGTTACAGCGGGACTAAAGAAAGGATCAGAAACAGGTTACAGTTGGATGATCTAGGAAGGCAGAAGATTGTGACGTCTGTGCGATGAACAGGTGAGCAGACCTTCGGGACGTCCCGCTGTCTCACCAAGAAGGGCACGGCTGCATATTTATGGCTGCAGCAGCGAATCTGCGGGTCTGCAGCTGAAGACTATTCATCACGTTTTCCTCATTCTTCACGGGCTGTGATGCGCCTGGATGAAAACATCCGCCTCTGTAGCTACCAATCAGCTGATGACAACTTTAACACACCACGCTGCTGAATTAGTGACGCATGCATTTTCATATCAGTAACGGAAACAACGTTATGATAAAAGAAGACGGTAATTTAAAAAAATGTTTTAGTATGAATGATATTTTAAACGGTGTTATTCCCATCACTGAAAATAACACAAGCCTGAAGGAGCTCTGCTGTGTGGTGGTGTTGCTAATCCTAACTGTTAGCTTCTACTAGCCAAGATGTTCTCTGCTGATTCCTGGACGCTAAAACAACAGCCTTCCCCGCTGTGGGTCAGGATCGGTGAGCCCAGCAATGTTAAGTGACGTGTGATGTAGATCTGTCAGACTTCACATTCTAGCATTTCACCATCTATTTTCTATCAGAAGCTAATGCAGGAGATAGGTGTAGGAGACTATTTTCATGTTCAGCCTGCACGTTGAAGTCAGAGTAACTGATAATTTTCAAGAATAATAAGTACAAGATGGTTTTTCAGTGCAGAACCTCTTTAATATCTAAATGTCTGATGTGCATTTCAATTTTTATCGCATTTCTTTACTTACCAATGCTGTCAGTCTGCATGTAGCATTTGCCAGACATGCAGTACCTCCACAGGCCTTGGTGGGCAAAGCTGCCAGACAGACGATACTGCATCCAGTAGTCTGTAGCCGTGGAGACCACAAGCAAGATGTTCCCCACGATGGCACAAAACAGGCCCCCTCCCATGAAGCTGTACATCATGAGTGAGATGATGATGCTGGCTAAGGCTTTTTGTACTGGGCAAGAAGATAGATGAATAAAACAAGGTGGGTGTCAGTAATTTTACTTAGTATTTCATCAGTTTTTCTATGCTAAGATTTAATCATTAACTTGACACAGAGAAATAATTTCCTGAAATGTAAAAGCCTCTAATGTTGGCTAATGTGAAAGTAATAATTTAGTTGACTTCCTGTTTTTATTCTTGAAGTATAAACCATTATGTGAGCTTTTATGGGGTTTTTGTTTTCTAGCTTAATGTTGTTTCAGGTATCAGATAGTCAAAACAAAATCACACACAAAGCTGCGGATTCTCCCCAGTGGTGCTCCCAAGGGGTGGCCAGGGATGGCAATGGCCACCCCTAGAAAATTGCTGGCCCTCCAGGGATGACTAGCAGAAATAAATCAAATTCCCCTTATTTATTTAAGACAGAAATGTAAAACCGAATAAAAACATACAATTAATGAGTAAAGAAATAATCAGAATTAAAAATAACTTTATATATATATATATATATATATATATATATATATATATATATATATATATTAATATGTTTCTGCTACTCTCCATAGTTTTTTGTGAAGACAGCAACAGGTCAATTAAAGTAAAACGTAAGATTCTAAAATAAATTTTGAAATTACAATTCAAATATCTCAAATGTATTTTTTCTGAAATGTTTGTCTTTCTCAAATTTGAGTTAAGTGTTTTGGATACATATTGTTTTTTAAATTAAAAAGATTAAAGGAGGGATGCAATGCATCACCTCAGGCTAAATTCTTCCAGAGTTACCACAAGGACCAATTTGGTGTACCACCCCAAAATTTTCTTTGGCCCCGTCTGGCCACTCTGACCAAACATTTCTGGGAGCGCCCCTGACCGTCCCTAACACACCAACCACAACAAACAAAAACAAATCTGTAAATAACCCAAGAATATTGAGCCCACAGAAAGGAAAAGAGGTAAAAAAATAAATAAATAAAACACACTGACAGTTTAAGCATTGGTTCAGTACGTTTTTGACACACACATTTTCCACCCACTTTTAATTTACGTAAACAGCATAGTTATTGATGTGTGAGCCACTGACTTGTATCTTACGATCATGCATTTTTCCAAACTTTTACTAGAATAAACAAAAAAATGGAAAGTTTTATCTGGGTTTATGACACAAAACATAAAAACGCAGCAGAGTGGTTATAAGTACTGGCCTTCAGGGCTCTCATGCATGCTGGTTACCATGCAAGCGCTAACATTCTCTTTTATTCTCCCTTTTCCCAACAGGTGGAATCAGCATTTGAGACATAAATAAATAAAACAAACACTCAGCATCATCCTACCTGAGTTCCTCAGGATAAATAAACCCTCTTAAGTGGGAGCTCTTCCTCGGGGGGGAGAGGAGTGAGAAAGAGTGCAAGCCAGGAGTGAGCAAAGTGTCAAAGAGGAGGCTTCAGGCTGAATTCCAAAAGGTTATCCCCTCCAATTTTCTGTTGATGGAGGCAGAATCCTTTAAAACAATCGGCACAGAACAAACGCACTTGAGCTGGTGGGCAGAACGCCACATGACCCATTCACACTCAACTAGTGGGAGCATTTAGGAGGGGGGTCAGAGGATAAGGGGAGGGGCAACGGCAACGCGGGACAGGGGGTTAGGGTCCGGGATGCGAGGCCACCGCACCGCAGTCCTCGTCTGTTGTTGTACCAGACGTTCTGGAACTGTGGATGTGCAAATGCTTGCAGTACTGTGGTGGTCAATTGAACATGCTGAAGCACACACTTTCTTTCAGTGATGCTGGGGTGTGGTCATGGTGGTGGTGGTGAGGGGGGGGGGCACATGCTTGGAGCAGATGCATGACCAAAATGATGTTAGGTGGATTTACACACTGCATGCAGAACCTATGCTGAGGTATGTGGTGATGTAGGAACAACTCACCTTCAGGAGCTCTTCTGTGGCTTGTTTAACTTACTTTAGTTACTTTAGTTACTGTAAATTCAAATCCAATTGAACAGAACAGCCATTCTGAGACAGCTGCTAATGCAACCATCATGGTTGAACCATGGATTTGGCATCACGGCTGTAACATGCAGTGACCTGAAACATTCAGCATGTATTTAAAGTTCCCTCTTTTTCTCATGCAGCTCATCGAATTAGAAAATAAACATTTAACTGTCAGTTTCAACCAAAATCTAACATCAGAGAACTGTTTTTTAAACTCGAGACCAGGCTCTGGTTGGGTGTCTTTATATGGCTTGTAGGCATTCTCTGAAAGATCAGCAGTGATGCAACAGAGGGTTCGTGATCTGACCATTAAAATGTGCATAAAATAAACACAGTCATAGAAATATGGCCTACTTCAACCCTGCCACTGACCAAGGAATCATTCGACCTTTATCTAATCAGAGAAACCATTTATGCTAACTGTAGAGGAGTTCTTGCAAAGTTCTCTAAAAGGGTTGATTAACATCATGTAACTTGATGACACAAAGGTTCAACGCTAGCTTTGTTTTTATCATTTTGTTAGCATTAACGGATGTGATCACGTGGAAACCTGCAGCAAGTCACTACAGTGTTTTTCATGGAGGCTCAGACGAATCTTAATTGTTGCTCATCTGTAAAGAAACTGAGGTCAAGTCTGTTCTTCTAAATCTGGACTGACTCAGATCAGCCCCTCACTGTTTTAGTTTCTGACATCACTTCCTGCAAAATCCTACTTTACGCTGTCTGGCATGATGGTCTTCTTTGTAACATTACTTTTTATAATGTGACTAAAGTTATATTCAAATGAACTTGAGTGGTCCTGTTTGAACTTAAAATCCTGTGTAAGATGCGTTCAGGTACCTTTTGTTACTTTATACTAAATTACTGTCACTAGAGCACATCTTGTCAAACCAGCTCAAGAAAAGAGAGAAACATGTACTGAGTAACTCCACACTGACCTTTTCAACTATTCAGGGGCTTGTTGTTGCTCTCCAGCTCCATCTGCTGGACAGATGTAGAGAATGACCAATCACGCAGCAAGAATTACCTTCATCCTTTTAAGTTTTAAACCTTTCTTTGAACATGTAATACATCCACACACAGTTGAATATATACACATTCTTTTGACAAGTTAGAGTATCATGCCATATATATAATTTTTTTATTTTTTTACTATTATTATCCAGAACTCATCTGCTGAAATCACAGGGAAACTGGAATGGTTCTACTAAGTAGTACGGATATATTTATTAATAAAATAGTTTAAAAACACTTGTTCAGTTCAGCTGGGATGAGAATCAGCTCCTCTAAATCCGAGACAATGGTCTTGAGTTGGAAAAGGGTTAAGGCCTTCTCCAGGTCAGGGAAACGGTCCTGCCCAAGTGGAGGAGTTTAAGTATATCAGGGTCTTGTTCGTGAGGGAAAGATGGAGTGGGTGATCGACTGGTGGATTGGTTCTGCGCCTGCAGTGATGCGGGTGTTGTCTGTCATGCTGAAGAGAGAGCAGAGCCTGAAGGCAAAGCTCTCGACTTAACGGTCGAGCTACTTTCCTATGTTCACGACCTTTGTGTGGTGACCAAAAGAATGAGATCGTGAATAGAAGCAGCTAATATGAGTTTTCCATGTAGGGTGCCTGGGCTCTTTCATAGAAATAGGGTGAGAAAAGGTGAGTGATAGCTTGTTCTTGGTGTATTGTGTGTCCCTTTTATTTTATTTTATTTTCTCTTTCTGTAGGTCCAGAAGCAGACTCTTGTTCATCATTATTGTTTATTTTTGTGATGTCTGGTCAGATTTAAAAAGCATCCCAAAAACAAAACAAAAAAAGAAATAAGGTGAGAAGCTCGGTCATATGGGAGGGGCTCGCAGAAGATCTGCTGCTCCTCAACATCAACAGGAGCCAGTTGAGGTGGCTTGTGCATCTGGTTAGGATGCCTGTTGGACGCCTCCCTGGCGAGGTTTTTCGGGCTCCTCCAACCAGGAGGAGACCTAAATGAAGACCCAAGACACGCTGAAGGGACTATGTTTCTCAGCTGGCCAAGGAACACCTTAGGATTCCCCCACAGGAGCTGGCCCAAGTGGCAGGGGAAAGAGAAGTCTGGGCCTCTCTGCTCAGGCTGCTGGCCCCATGACCCGACTCCAGATAAGCGGCTGAAAATGGATGGATGTTCGGTTCAGACATGTAACCCTTTAGGATTGTGCTTTGTCATGATTGACCTGAATAGGCTTGAATCGGACACATTTATTTTTATTTTTAGTCTATTGATTTATTGTTTAACAGTAATGACAGATTGAGGTAAATAAAAAATCTTTATAAATCATCCACACTTTATAGTATATTTATAATATTTAAAATTACACAAATATACATTTTTACAGATATAAGAAATGTGAAAAAGTCAAAAGATTCTAATTTGCTTTTGCGGATGATGCATTCCTTTTAGCTTCATCAAACTAAGACCTTCAGCTCTTGCTTGGGACGTTTGCAAGTGCAAAGTTGCTGAGGTGAAGATTGCCTCCAAATCAGAGGTTGTGGTCCTCGAAAGTAAAGTAGTGGACCACCAATCCATGAGGGTCAGGGTAAAGCTCCCAGCTCCAGTGGATTTTAAGGTCTGGAGCTGGAGATGGGCAATTTTGGAAAGCATCTGCAGTGACGAGGATGCTAAACCAATCTGTTGTGGTAAAGGGGAAGCTAAGCAAGAAATCAAAGCTCTCGGTTTATCTGTTCATCTTCATTCCAAATCTCAGCCATGGTCAAGAGCTTTGAATGACTGAAAGAACAAGATAACGGATCCAAACAGCCAAAATGAGTTTCCTTTGCAGGGTGGCTGAGCTCAGTCTTACAGATGAGGCGAAGAGCTCGTATATCCAGGAGGGATTCAGAGTGCTGCTGTTGCTCCTCCATGTCGAGAGGAGAAAGCTGAAGTCTTTAAGGCATGTCCTTCCAGCAGGAGGTCCCTGGTTGACCCTGGACATGTTGGAGTAAATCTCATATTTCACAGCTTCACTGCTGGGGCTGCTGCCTCCACAACACAAACAAGTGGTTGATTATAAATACAAAAGTATTTAAGTTAAATAAAGTAATTACTGTAAAAAAATATATTCATCTTGCAAAAATCTCAGACTGTTGTTGCAACTCTGACTGGTGGTGGGGGGACAAATGTGGGCAGAGGCACAGTTCGTTCAGAGGGGTTCTGAGGGAAAAACATAAAAGAAATAATTCTGCATGATTTGATTTGTATTTACTTGATTATTCAGTAAAATACCTTATGCAGCCGGTTGTAGTCAGGGGGAGACGCCAGTCCTCCAGTCAGAAGTTTATGAGGAGATGTAGTTGTCTGGCTGTTTTTTGTCTGTGGTGACAAACCAGATTTAGCTAAAACTTAACTGTGCTGTATACAAATACAGTATTATTTGTTATTTGATGTGGTATTTCACAACACTGGATGACAAATGCATTTAGGCTAAAGCTATTAAATACTTATGTTGATCAAAACGTCTCTTCTAACCTTTGCCACTGCTCTGGAGACTGGATATGTTGGTTGTTGATCTACATGGAGAAAATATGTAGAAGAAGAAGAAGAAAATATCATTTCTATAGCGCCTCTTAAGATAAAAATCACGAGGCGCTTCACAAAAACAAAAACAAAAAATATAAAAAATTGTAAAAATATAAAAAAGCATTTAGAAAATGTTTAAAAATATATTCAAAATGAGCAAGAATAAGCTATTGGGATTTAAAAGAAAAAATGTTAAGAAAGAGAGAGAGTGAATAGGAAAGAGGGAAATCAGTGGATCCTGAGGAAGGTGGAATAGGTGGGGAGAGCAGAATAAAGAGAGAGTGGTGAAGAAGGTCATACAAATGCCAGCTTGAACAAGTGAGTCTTCAGCTGCTTTTTAAAGGAGACCACTGATCTCAGGCTCAGGGGGAGAGAGTTCGTAGCAGAGAACAGAAAGAAAATGTCATTTCAGACATGGCAGTGTACTCGCTGCAGCCTGGCGTGCACCAGACCAGAATTTTACATCCCAGCCTGACCATATTGAATATCTAAGGCAGGGGTATCAAACTCATTTTAGCTCAGGGGCCACACTGAGGGAAATCTAGTCCCAAGTGGGCCGGACCAGTAAATTAAAAAAATACTTCATATTGTTTTCTTTGTTTTAATACAATAATATAAAACAAGGCTGGAGTCTGGGGACAGTGTATCCAAAATAGTACAAGTACAACACCTGAAGTGTATTTGAAAATTTGAAAAAAATAAAAATTAAAATTAAATCTACAAATAAAAAACATTCCTTAGTGATTCAGAGCTTACAGATAACATGGCAAGATCAGTTTCATGCAGCACTTAAAGTATATTTGACTCATTTTACTTTACATCTTTTAGCTTTCACCAGCACATCAATATCAGGAGTCACATCCTGAGTGGCGGCCAACTTCAGGATGTGATTCAAGTTCTTGTGTGAGCCTTGAGCGCAGCTTTGTTTTATTTATACTCATTACAGAGAAAACTTGCTCACAAATATACGTTTATTTTCACTCTACATTGTAATGTATGAAAATAAAGTTTACACAACCATCTCGCGGGCCGGATTTAACCCGCTTGCGGGCCGGATTCGGCCCGCGGGCCGCATTTTTGACACCCCTGATCTAAGGTGATGAATGTATCCTGGGAGTTGAATGGAAATGGCTTTTCTACCAGCTAACAATTTAAAGAGACAATGTGTAGTTTTTACTATTAAACTCTGGAAATACTCATCAAAACTTTGTTCAAAATGAACAAAATGATGTCCAATTGTTAAAAAATATTAGCGGGTTTGAAACATAATACCATAAAAGTCGGGCCTAAAGTACATAGGGTGCGGGTCTAGCGTCTTTGGGGGACACCATATTTCCTTCTGGCCGGCTAGGGGTCCTGCGCCTGTCGATGACGTCATGCTAGATGACTAGCTAGACCTACGACTTACAGAAGTTACGTTACAATGTTCAAAAACATTTAGGCAGTTAGAAACACAAATTTAATGACAAAACTTTTAAACTCTTTCCAAAACATAAGTGAAAGAACAGAATCGAAAAAGAGATGCAATATATTTTGGCCGAGCCACCCCGAGGTCACATGCTTTCTGCTCCACAGGTAACAACATTTACTGCAATGTTTTTAACATGGTGTAAAACAACCTGAAATGTATGCATGTACTGCACCCTAGCACCAGGAAACTACACACTGCCTCATTTGCTGAGGGAGACCTATGCTGAAGAAGCGTTGCAAGTGGGTCTTATTTCACCTACTTTTCTTCTTGTTGCTGCAGTAGAGGATGAGATAAATGGTGACACACAGCAGGGCCAGGAACAGAATGCTGCACGGGATTCCAGCAGCAATCCCAGCGATGGCAGACCCACTCAATCCTTCACCTAGCATCACAACACACAATAATCTAGTTTCATCTCAAACCAGTTCAAACAAGCTTAAACATTTATGATACCTGGACCAGCTCTGTGGATCTTAGATGGCACTCCATCAGTGAGACGAGCTTTGGGGATGATCCGAAACCAATATGTCGATTTGGGATCGAGAGGGAAGATGTCGGCGCTCCTGGCAGATCCAAGTTTCGACTGAATGGTGACATACCCATCAGAACTGGCTTTGGTGACAATACCACTTTTGGTGTGAAGAGCTGGACCTTTCATTTGGATGCCAAACCCTTAGATAAATAGTAATAAAAGCACACACACGGACATTGTTACACCAGAGCTGATGATCAACGCACAAACACCGGGAGCAGACATTTATACAGAGCCAAATGGCAGACTGTTCCCATGGCAAGTTCGTCCTTAAAATGTTTTCCCACAACACAACCCTGCTCAGCCAGTGTTTTCACTGTGTTTACACCCCTATGTTCTGTGAAGACAATCTGTTTTCAAAACCGAGTAGACCTTTTCCTGAGAAATTCTCTTTAGATGTACAAAATCAAAAGAAGATGGTTGAGTCTGTGTATTTTCCCAAAAGAGAAATACATCCTGAAGTGTTCTGAACTGCTTCCCTAAAGTAGATTTCTGCTATACCTGTAACAATAGCTGTAGGTGGGACCTCCCAGGTCAAAGTGATGATGGTTCCATTTTGGTTCGGGAACAAACTGGAATCCGAGATCGACGGCCCTGGGGAGGGAATGAGACTGAAAGTGAGGGGGAGGAAAATACTGAGGAGCTTTGTTTAAAAAGAAGCAGCAGCCCCAGGTATTACTTAGCTCTATCTGAGGGCCCATTGTGGCTCTGAACCAGGAACTGAATGAAACTGAATCCTCACAGTTTAAAGAAAAAATGATTCGCTGCACCATAAAGGCCCCGATGAATGTCGAGCATCATATATTCAGTTAGAAAGATGATGTTTCAGGTCAAGTAGATCTGCAATGATACTTTCTGCTTTAAAATTAGAAAAATAAACTACAAAACCAGCCTTGTAACAAACAAAACATAACATAAACAAACAAACGTAATTCAGCTTGTCACAGAGAAATGAAACACATCAGGAATTTAAAAGTCAATTGGGATATTAGAATAAGCATTAAAGCAACATAGCTTCAGCAACGTTAGCCTCTAGTCTTCTTCACCTGTTTAAAGTTAAGCAAAAAGATGCCATTGCTTCTTGGGGGTACAAGAAGTAACTTCTGGGTCACTCCCATTTACTGGCTTTGGTTCTTTAAGCAACTCTAGATGTTTTTGCCTGCTGGTGCCAGCTAACGTTAGCTTGGCGCAGACTCGACAAACTCAGATTGTAAACAAAGACTGTCTCTCTGATGTCTTTTTGAAAGAAGAGAAACTGACAACCTTCCTGTTGGCTGAAAATGAAATCTGTTTCTATGTAACCTTCCTTCCAACGTGACTGAGACATTGGACTGTTTTGTGATTATTTCACAGTAGAAATCTTAAATATTGCTTCTTTAGAACAAAAACAGCTACTGCCACCTTGTACTTGAATCTTTCCAGTCTGGCTTCCCAGGAGGTTGTAACACACGCAGGTGTAGTTTGGCATGACGAGGAAACTGCTCACGTTGTAACTGTAAATTCTCAGCTGCTCGGTGCTGCTGCTGATCAGTTGTGTCGTTCCGTTGGTCACAGTTTCATTGCCTCTGGACCATGACACCGCAGCCTGAGGGGACGCACCACTGAGGCAGCTGATGGAAACCACAATTTTACCAGAGGGATCAATAGAAGTTTCTACGATGGGAAGGAACTTCATTGGAGCACCTGCCGAGTAAAAGCACATTCGTTTAATGAAGACTTAGATTTTTTTTGTTATCAGCAGCATAAAGATAAGAAGAAAAATAGATTTACTTGCAGATACATTGCACTTGTTTTGTTCCAGTGGATGGTCTGCTATGCAAATGACAGTTTTCTTATTAAGGTCAGCTGAAGCGGTGACAGTCAGGCTGAAGTTTTCTGCTCCATTGCTGTTGTTGCTTAGAGCTGGGAAGGACAGCTGTGCCTGTGGGGTTCCTCCAGGCCAGCGGCACTGATACTGCAGGCTGACGTCATTCACAGACACCACGGAACACATTGGGGAGCCCCCTGGCTTTTCTGTATCCATAAAAATAATTTTTTGGTCTTAGAAATTTTACAATCAGTGCATTTAGATTTGTGTGCATGTTAGGGCTGTGAAATGAGACAAAATGTTTATTTCATGTCCATCACCTCAAAACCTGGATGAAGGCACAGACCTGGCAGCATGTGGAGGTGAAACAGAACCAAAAAGTCTTGGACAAGAGATTTTTTATGTATGGACCAGCCCTAGAAGCTTAGAAATATAGATCAATCGTTGCAGTAGCAAAAATCATTTTGCAGATCAATCTGCAGCCATGCTCCATTGTAGCCCTCATAAGGTCTACCATTGGCCTGATCCGTTCGTGTCTTACCAATCACAGCGCTCTATGTTTGGTGGGCGGGCATCAACAAAGATGGCATCAGCTCAGGAACAACGCTTGTTTGAAATGCGTTCAGCATCAACTTTGAGCGATTTAGATTTTTGCTTTTCTTTCAGACATGAGCAAATAGAAGTACTTAAGTCCTTTATTTAAACAAATAATGTATTTGTTCATGGCCAGACTATATATGTACATATAAATAATGGTTTGCCAGGCTACAGCCTTAGTGCACATTCAAATACTGTATTTAGTCCAGTATGAATAGAATCATAAAACTTTGCATTTATCTAAAAATTTCTATTTTATTTAAAAAACAAAACAGCATCCCTTTTGTTAAGAAATCAAACTAAAACAAGCAAGTGAATCCAATCACGTACCAAAAATCTTTAAAGTCAGACTCTTTTCACGCTTTTCTGCAGTCAGCGTGTTCAGCAGGGTGCAAGTGTAAACACCCCCCTGGCTGGTCTGCACATTTGTTAGATTTAGGACTCCATTGTTAGAATTAGGAAGGATCTGACCATCAAACGTCCACTCGGTAACTGGAGATGGGAACCCCTCAGCCTGACAGGACAGGCTTAAGGAGTCTCCGGCTTTATAGAGAAGCTGAGCTGGCTGAACCCCAACCACAGGCGCATCAGGTCCATCTATATCACATCATGATAGGTTAAGAAAAGAAGGTTACTAAAACACGTAGGGACACAAATAAAGACATTTAGGGCTAAAAGAAGATTTATCTTACAGAGAATAGTTATAGTCTTACGAGCCGCCGCACTGCTGAAGGGGTTGGTCAGTAAAAGCGAGTACAGTCCTGCGTCACTTCGGTTGGGTCGTAGAATCACGAGGCTTCTTCCCTCTATCAGATAGTGTGAGCTGTTTTTCAGCTCTTTGCCATTAAACTGCCACATCTGTTGCTCCACAACTCCATGAAGCATGCTGTATTTTAACGTGAAACTTTCAGTCCCCTCTTTGGCAAAATCCGACTGAGTGTTCAGACTCACGCTCTGGAAGTTTTCTGCAAAACAAATATTAAAGAGAAAGAACAAGTGACTGAAACGGTGAGCTCATTCATCCTTTTAATAAAATGTTATGCTTGGTTAGTGTTGCAAGGCTGCATTATTAAAGCTGCAATGCCAAATGTGGAAAACAAATAGGCTTAAAACATGTTTTAATGCTTCTTAACAACGTTCTAACACAGTATAGCTTTAAATACATTGTGGTAAAAATTATTCCTCTCGCATTTATCTAAAAACCTCCGCCAATGACATGTTTCGAACCAAAACAAACGACTGGACCATCCAGTTGTCGGTCTCGCCGAACCGCCGCACTTCTGAGTCTTCCCTTCATTATACACTTGGATATTTAGCAACAGAACACCACCGGTGTGAGAGGTTCTCGGCTCAATAATATCAAGCCGTTTTTACAAAATTTGCTGCAACATTGTGGCGGCATCAGGGAGCCTTAGGTCGTTTATAAGTGGTCAGACCATGGCGGTTTTGTGGCACAATCGCGCCATTAAGATCAGGCAATGGCAGTATAATAGGGGTATGGGCTCGGTCTCTGCGCTGCGGCGATATAAACATGTATTCCCCCCAAAAATATTTTGCCCACGGGACTGAATGAATTTGAGTATATAGATACTTTTTATTCATGGTGTTCTCTCTTGGATTATTTAGCGGACCAAATATAAGTTATAATATTTATATCGAAAAGTTTATATTACTATTGATACAAATAATATTCAAAGGCAATTAACTCTAACTGTAAAGTTGAAACGCTCAACATTATACTCAAGGAATGCCATTACGATTTAAACACACCATCAATGGAAACGATGGATTTCTTTGTAAAAGTCGTTTCCTACAAAGAAGCGAAGAACTGCAATCGCGAGTTTGTCCGGGCCAATCAGATTCTTCATTGTTAAGGTGCCAACGTAACTTTTATGAATGTAGTGACGGAACTTCTGCTATTCGTACAACCAGCCAATCATCTAGTGTCACACCATCAGGAGACACAGGCCCCCCGAGCCGATCCGGTACCGACACCGGCGTCTCAGGGAAGATACCCGAGGGGAGGGGTGTTACGTGACCGTGTTTGCATTCAAAACTGCAGCTAGCTTCTTTGCAGATTCGCTATAACAGCTTTAAAATGTGATCAACTATGAAACCAGCCAGATGGTTTCAGCAGGACATTTTTCAGCCTTCTTTCACCACAATGCTGAGTTCAAAGGCGGTCCTACTAGCCTAGGGTCTGGGGGGGGGCACTCCAAGGAAATCAGTAACATGACTGAAATCTTCTGTAGCTCCTGCTTAAATCAATATTTGACAAATTCCTAAACATTTTACACATTCTATGAATTTTTAAAACAACCTGCAAAAGCACATGTGATGCTTGACTTAAATTACGCAGATAAACACATTTTCAAGTGTGTCAAAGTTTACTCAGTACACTCTGGAGCTTTTGGAAACAGACGTTTACTTTGGGAACACACAAGTTTACAAAAGTCAAAAAAGAAACAACCAAACAAATTATTATTCAGGCATTTTCTAAATAAACTAAAATACTCACCAAATATCCTTAGAGTGAAAGTTCTGGAGACTTTTTCTAATCCAGACTTGGCCAGCTCTATGGTGTAGTTCCCAGTATATCCAAGCGGAACATGTAGAAAAGTAAGAGATCCATTGTTTTCGATCCGGAGCACATCCCTGCTGTTTGGAGCGATGTCTGGTGAGGAATTGGAGTTTATGGTCCACGTGCCAACAGTTATATTAGATCTGGACCAGCTAACCAATGGGTTTGGAGCACCACTGAAGGACACAGCCAGAGTCACGTTGGTACCAACTAATGCATTCACCTGAGTTGGACCAGCAGGTTGGAGCACAAGCTGACAGTTAGAGCCTGAAGAAATATCAATTATATTTTCACAATTAAAGTAGCTTTTCTTAGATGAACAGAAAACACAAGGCTGCATTTCTCTTTTATTGTATATTTAGGTCTTTTGGTTGGGTTTTTGTTTTAATCATAGTCACTTTTAACGTGCTTCTGCTTCATAAATAAAAGTAGACTTTTGATGTAAACTTAAAGTACATGGTTGAAAATAGCCACAACTAACACCACTTAAATGTGTCTAAAAGCTAAAAACAAAGTATTAACAGGCTTTTTGAGGGTAAAGCTACTTTTAAACTCACCTTGAAACGTGAAGATAATTAAAAACGTCACGAAAACTTCTTTCAGTAAAGTTTGAAATACGTCCAGCTTCTTCATCTCAGTTAAACAGAAGGGGCAAAAAACCCGGATTTCATTTAAAAAAATGTAATAACTGTTCAACTACACGTTTATAAAAGCTAAACGGGACGTGGAAACGTCCTTGGAGTCTTCAGAGTATTTCTGTGCCGCGAGGGCACGCGTTGCGAGGTGCTCACCTGCTGAGTCAAAACCTTGATTGTTCTCAAGTGGCCACGCCCCCTTGATTAGCCTATATTAAAAATCATCAGGAGCAAATAAAAGAAACTAAAACGTTTTTATTAAAGAGGTGTGGATTTTTTTTCCCTCTTCGGATTATTGTTGGCTGTTTTTGTTATTATTATTAGTTCATTTTCACATTTTTGTCATGAAAAAAAAAAATCAAGACCAGCATTGAGTCATCTAGCTGCTGTAGAACCTGAGAGAATTAAAGCAATAAGCCCTCATTATATATATATATATATATATATATATATATATATATATATATATATATATATATATATATATATATATATATATATATATATACACACACAGTCCAGGCCAAAAGTTTGGACACACCTTCTCATTCAACGTGTTGCCTTTATTTTGATGACCATTTACATTGGTAGATTCTCACTGAAGGCATCAAAACTATGATTAAACACATGTGGAGTTATGAACTTAACCAAAACAGGTGAAATAACTGAAAACATGTTTTATATTCTGTTTTCTTCAAAACAGCCTCCCTTTGCTCTGATTACTGCTTTGCACATTCTTGGCATTCTCTTGATGACTTTAAAGAGATAGTCAACCGAACAGTCTTGACGGAGTTCCCAGAGGTGTTTAGCACTTGTTGGCCACTTTGTAAATGGTCATGAAAATAAAGAAAACATGTTGAATGAGTGTGTCCAAACTTTTATATATTTATATATATATATATATATATATATATATATATATATATATATATATATATATATATATATATACACACACACACACACAATTCATGACTGTCAATTGCATATTTATATTCAGTCCTACATTTCAAGCTTTTTTGGTCTTCATAGGGTAATTGTGCACAATCAAATTAGCAATAAACACAAATTAATTTATTATTGTGTCACAAAATCTAAATGTTAAAATAAACATTTTCTGTTGCTTTAGAACACCGTGGTTCATAAATTGACCAGAAACAATGTTTTGATTGATCCTTAAACATGTTGCTTCAATAGCCTAACTCGTAAAACCCATCTGTGCATTTTATTTATATAATAGCTTCGTATAAGAAAGTTTTTCTTCACATTCTCTGAAATTGTAGTTTGCTGAAATGCTTCCTGGGAGTTTCTAACTGGTGCGTGTTCCACTGCTGATGAGAGCTCCCTCTGGTGGTGTACAGCGGTATTTCTATTTTCCACATTTAGCAAATTCAACTTCCAGCTTGCTGAATTAGCTTACATGTCACCCTGACTCTGTGCATTTATGAGCTTTTACAAATGTTTTATGACTATACGGAGAAGCTATTCTGTTTCTGGGCTGGTATAAACATTTCTAAAGAGATTAAGAAAGAAAGAAAACCTTCAGATGACCAGCTGAACATGAAAAAGACTGGCTGCTTTATTGTCATGGTGATATTATGTACAATCGACAGAGAACTGAGGCGCTTATGGTAAAATTCAGATGTAGGATAATCTCTCCTCACACACCCTGAGACACAAGTCCTAAACCCAGACACAGATATACTAACTGTACAAATTACCAGCATAGCTTTAATCTCGGAGGACAGAATCACTTCTACATGTTCAGGTCTAGATTTACAGATCTCATGTATCCCTCTAAACATGTGACTACACAGCAAGATCAAACAGAGGAGAGTCAAGCAGCTGTGAGATGCATCATCTGATGGAATCAGTGCACAGTTTATTATACAATCAGCATCCTGAACTACGCGGAGCTCCGAACCATTTTTTACTGCGTATAATCTGTTACTTTTGAATTAAATGATAAAGAATGGACCACTTATTCGAATTAAAATGTACATCAAAAGGTTTGTTTGACTAGAAGACGTTGTGTCTCGGTGATCCTCCTCTCCTACTACAGTCAGGAGCCACAGTCACAAAGACCTGTCCTGCTGGGTGTACTTGTGCAGTACAGTCTTGTTATTCATCAGAGTCCTGCAACGAGAGAAGAGATGGGGATGCAGATGAATGGCTGAACGTTCTGGAACATAAACACCAAACAGAGTCCTACTCACCCCTCTGCTGAGATGTGCACCCCTGTGGTTTAGCTCATTAGGCTTCTATATCTTCCCTGTATCCTTCAGTTTGGCCACGAGGTCTTCCACCGTCTCCACCTTAACCCCTGCCTCCCTCTGCGGGGGCTCATCAACCCTCAGAACCTCCAGCCGAGAAGTGAGGTCTACTCCTAAATCTGCAGGCTTCACGTTTGCAATTTTCTTCTTCTTGGCTTTCTGAAGGGAAGAATAAACACAACATCAAAGGTAGAAGTGAAGAAAGCTTTTTTCCAAATACTGGTGTTAGGGTTTGTGAACCGAGCTGCCTGATACCTACCATAATATTAGGCAGGGTTGCATATCTGGGGGTGTTTAGTCTCAGGTCTGCAGTCAGCACAGCCGGCGTGTTGATTTTAATAGTTTCCAGCCCGCCATCGATTTCTCTGACCACTTTAATCTTTTCTGCTTCCAGTGACACCTCAGAAGCAAAGGTGCCCTGCGACACAGAGACGACACAAATTCACTGAGTCAATACTGGAAAGGCAGTCCATCCGAAGACAGAAAAAACATGTTTTTCACCCTCAGACACAGAGAGGAAGGTCACAAAAGCCCTTTTGAAGCTTTTCACCTGCTGGCCTGTATGTGGAAGTACAACACGTGGAAATCCAAAGGGCTCCAATGATGACTTCTTTGGTTTCTTAAGACAGTAAAGGCAGCTATCTATGTCCCTCCATCCATTCCCTTGAATTATCCAGAGTGGGGTCTCGGGGGCAGCAGTCTAAGCAGAGATGCCCAGACTTCCCTCTCCCCAGCTACTTGGCCCAGCTCCTCTGGGGGAATCCCAAGGTGTTCCCTGGCCAGCCAAGAGACATAATGCCTCTGCTGTCTCCTGGATCTACCTTTAGGTCTCCTCCCGGATGACCGAGCTTCTCACCCCATCTCTAAGGCAGAACCCGGCCCCCTGACCCATGACAAATGGGAAAAACCAACTTTTAACTGAGCCTCAGGTTTCACCACTTCTTGAACCGATAATTCCAAAGCTAATTCTAAAACAGTTTCAGTCTAGATCCCACCCTCCTGCATTTAATCAACCATTCTAACACAACAGAACCTAATGACATCGACGACTCATTGAGGGTAAGGAGGAAGGGTTTTCATGGGAAGTTTCAGCTCGTTAAGCAACAACTGACAGCTACAGTTTAGACTTGACAACGCTCCTCGGATGCGAAGTGAAACATCTTCCAGAAACTAAAGAAGTCCAGTTGTTAGTGATGTGTCGTTCACAAATGAATCAAATCTTTTGAACGGGTTTCCAGAGTGCCGAGTCCTTGCAAAGAACCGTTCTTCTCGTATCCCCACCCCCCGCACGCTCTCACAAACATCGGCGAAACGCTACCCTCCCCCTCCGCGCTGTGACTAACACTTGAGGGACACGTTGCCACCTCCCTCCAACCCACCGTTCTCATGGCCCTGATTCGTTCAACAGACCGGTTCTTTCGAACGGCTCCCTTCAAAGAGCCCATCACCACCAGCTGCCTTTATTAGAACCCTTTGGATTTCCACGGCCTGGATGACTGAGAACCCTCGCCCGCATACAACACAGTGACCGAACATAAAGATGGCAATAAAAATATGTATAAATGAGTTTGAATCCCACTGTAAAACATCCTGAACGCGTGTAAAGAACAATTTAACAGACTTCTGTTTATTTTATAATCTGTGTTTAAACAGTAAAAGGTGAAATAACCTGATCTGAGCAGAAACACAGCAGCTTCTACCGACCAGAACCAGTCTCTGCTGAACTTGATAAGGTGGTGTGAACAGACCAGTTTCCTGATATGAGTCCTACTACTGCACGTTTAGAAACAACAGCTGGGAATCGGGACTGTTTCTGACCTGAGGCCAGTCCAGTAAGGCTGCAGTCATCTGGCCGGTCTGATTACAATCATCATCAATGGCCTAAAGGAAGAAATATCACATTTTAAATAAAAGGAACAACAATCAAAGCACATGTAAATGCTGAAAGGGAGAGTTTTAAAAGCAGCACACGAGCGACATCCACTAAACTCTGACCTGTTTGCCAAGGATGATGAGTTGAGCTTCTTCTTTTTTGGCCAAAGCAGCCAGGATCTTGGAGACCTGCAGGGGTCCGAGTGAATCGTAGTCTTTCCCACTAACCTCTACATGAATACCACGATCAGCCCCCATGGCCAGGGCAGTACGGATGGTCTCCTGTGTGAGGGTGGAATGTGAAATTTGCATCAAGCACAAGTGATTCTAACCCTGACGTCACACTGGAGGCATCAGCGTAAAGAGTAGAAGATCACATTTTCTAGAACTTTTGGCATCACTGTAAACAATTATGGATCGAAATCCAGGCAGAAGTGACCGATTCGTTTTCTGTTTTTTTGTGTGTATGTGTGTGTGTGTGTGTGTGTGTGGGGGGGGGGGGGGGGTTGTAAATAAAGCTGTGATGTCATACATATTGACATAATCTACATAGAAATGAAATCGCATCACTGCCATAGCCTTTTATTTTAAAAATTACCAGGCATTTTACATTGAAACCGTGTGATTTCCTGTCTAGCCCAATGTTGACTGCAGAAATTGACGTGTCCCGGAAGCGGCACGCGGAAAAAATAGAACCCAATTCATTCTTTAGTGGCGCGGTGCGGCAAGCTGCTTCCGGGATGCGCCTGAAAATTCCCGTGCCGCGGCCGGTTCGAATGAACTCTAGACTACAGTGGACTATTTGTAAAGCAGCAACGTTCCGCTGCCGTTCCGTGCTGCCGATGCCTTCAGTGTGAATTCGGGGTAAAGAGTTCTATGTATTTTTTTTTCATCGCATCATAAAAAAAAAGATTTTTTAATCACATTTATTATGTTTTATCCAGTTGCTGCTTGTTTATGCAGATATGGCAAGTGTTATTCTTTAGTTTTTCCCCTTTCTAATAATGTAAACAGCTGTGTTTATTCTGCCTTCATGACACGACATAAAAACTACAAAGAAAATCTATATTGTTGCATCCTTTACTCGTTTCTTCTTTTTGAGTGAAAACTTGAAGCTGCTTTCCGGAGTTTTCCCCTTTCAGAAATGATGTAGGATTTTTCAGAAATCCGTCAAAGTGATTGTCTCATCATGTACTGTGATAAAATGTAAGCAGTAAGTCTTTTTTTTTTTTTTTGGCTAAGCATGTCCCCTGACCCGCAAAACTCTGTGCAATAGGAAACTGAGCGCCGACCAGAACTAACCAATAGCGTTAGACTACCGCTTACTTGCTTCAAATTTAAGGAAGTACTTCGGCTGATGCAGAGTTGATGAACTTTTCACGGACAAGAAAGTCTCTAAAATATAAATATGTAACACAAAATGACATGAGAATAATACTTGTAAAACAACACGTTTTAGCTCTGTTTGTCGGCTACAGAAGCACATTTATAAACAGAAACGTGAAAGCTTAAACAAAGCAACAGACTTTATGTGTGATATACTTGTCAGCCACTAGACGGCGTCATCGGATAAGAGAAATACTCCGGAAAGAAGCTTTAAGCTCGGTGTAAAAAATAAAAACAAATAAACGTTTTTATTAATGCAAAAATATCCTCCAAAATGAGAAATTGCACCACATTGAGCAACTCCAGGATAATCCCAGCCTCACCCACCTGAGACTGCTGTGGCCCACAGCTGACGGCTACAACCTCCTTAATAAGCTTCTTTTCCTTCAGCTTGACGGCCTCCTCCACGGCGATCTCACAGAAGGGGTTCATCGAGTGCTTCACTCCATCTGTGACTACACCAGTGTGGTCTGGCTTTACACGAATCTGCGGGGAGACACAGCTAATGTTTATAGTTTCAACTGGTGACACTGGTCGGGTAACTAAAGGACTTGAAATAAAATAATGTCTCCCATTCTGTTATTTTTGGATTTCTCCCAACAGAGCCTACATTATTATTTATTAAAGAAGATTTAGAGGTAAAAGGTGAAAAACATCCCAAACTCATTTCAAAATATATTTTAACAGTTTCAGAGAGAGACTAATAGTTAATGTGATGAGTTTTTGTGATTTTAAAACTTCAAATATTACTCAGGTTTAACACTGTGCTTTAGTTTAAGACTTATTAAACTTATTAAAATAAACAAACCTCAATCTGACAGTTTCCTTTGGTGGGTTTTTTCTTATTGACGAACAGAACAATACATAAACTGAAAGAAACATGAACGGTTTGTACAACTTTGCAGTAAATGTATGGATTTATGTTTATAACCGTGCGTTATTTTCACTGGGAACGCACAAGATGTAGAAAACTCAGCAGAAAATATCATTTAGACCCAAACCGCGACTGTCTCTAGGTAGCGCCCGATTAAAAGTTCCCTTTCTAATTACCACAAAACGGATAAGATTTAGTCAATGCCCATAGAAACAAATAAAAGTGTACACGTAAAGCGTCAAAAGTAATGCTCTGCTGCCCTGATCCTGCTGGGAGCAGCGGAGACTGAAATGTTTGTTATTACTGAGGTTGTTTTTGTCTTGAGACAAAAATAAATAAAGGAAACGTACTGTTTATAAGTATTTGTTCACGAATTTGAAATTAAAAAAGAAAAAAAAAACTGTTCAGCTGGGTATGTTCACAACTAGCAGATGGTTCAAATGGACAGGCAAAGTCAGGCTAACATTAGCAAGTACACTCGAGTCAAGAGGTAAAAAGCAAAAACTAACAAATAAACATGCAAACTAAAGCACCGTATGTTTATTACCTTGACTGCATAGTCGATGACACGCTTAACGCCGACAAGAACACGGCCAGACATTGTAGCTAAATACGTGAAAATCCTAACTGCTGTTCTTTCAGACACCGCACCGCAGTGAACCTTCACCCAAGGAGAGATCGGAACTATTTTAGAGTGACTCCAGGGGAGGACTTAAATGACCGCATACCGCTTCAGCCAATGGGACGCCGGTGCTACAGTTCGGTCTGGCCGCTGATTGGATGACACGCGCTAACAAGGTTGCTAAATCCACCAAAAGTTCCGTGCTATCGATGAGAAGTTAAAGTTATTTTCTTTTTGTTTGGGAAAGACCCAGAAATAGTTCAAGCTATCAAATATTACGTGTTTGACTTATTAAACAATTTATATGCGTATCTCAAAGGTGCAGCACCACAGACATCATGTGGTGTTACTTTTATCTAAATCTGGAAGAAAATTAAAGGAAGAAAGGTTCCGGATTAAGTAGGACAAAGTTCACAGCTAACCTAAAAACGGAATTAAAATTCATTTTTATAGAAACATTTGTAAGTGTAAATATAAAAAGTACCAAACACATCTCAGTTCAACACATACAATGTTTTGTAATAAATCATGACTTAAACCAAAGATGGTTCAAACACAGCTTATCATTTAAATGCTGCTGTACTGGAGTTGTGTTGCATTATAACATTTCAGACATTAAAGGTGGGAAACACAAAAATAATGCACAACAGCTACAAAAAACATTTATTGCAGACTTGTAGTCCAATCTCAAATGTAACAAAAATAATAGTACAAATACAATAAAATAAGAACAATACAACATTCCAAAAAATAAGACAAAAAAAGAAACTATATCAATAATGAAAGTAACATTGAATAAATAGAAGAAACTCACTTGTTCAAGCTGGTTTTTGTGTGAACTTCATCACTACCCTCTCCTTTTACTGCTCATACCAACTCCACCTTTCCCGGGATCCTCTGATTTCCCTCTTTCCTTTTCCTTACTTTTTTGTCACTTTTTTCCCCTCATTTTTACCATATTTTTAATCTTTTTTATATTGCCAAATGACTGAATACATGAACAAATGAAAATTGAAAACATACCTTTCTGATGTGCTGTTTTTATTAGTGTTCCTACATTAAGTGGTTTATCCATTTTCCCCACAATGGCATAAGTGCCATTGGGGGGAAAATGTAGGAGTGGAATGAAGAAGCGTTTTTTAAAACTCAAACTGTCTAGAGAAAAAAAAAAACTGAAATACTATTTCTCCCCAAAAAATTAAAAAATAAGAAGAACAGTTTTCAAATAGGTTATTCCAACTATAGCTCAAAGAAGCAAACTGAACTAAAAGGTTTTTAATCATAATTGTAATTTAAAGGTCTTGGATGTTATTTATTGACCTTATTTATTACCTTATAAATAGAGGTATATGCTCTGTAATGACTTATCTCTTTGGCAGCATTCACAGCTGGATATAAATACCTTCAATCTTTTACAATATGTGTCTCAAACGTATCTAAAACTCATAAAAGTGGTTAGTTGTTTTAGTTGAGAACTGTTTTAACAACATTTTAAAGCGGATTATTTGACTCTAATTTTAAAGGACAAATACAGTTCTTTGTGTGCATCCTGGATGTTGCAGCCATGGAACTAGCAAAAACAGTTGCAACTTATAAAAATTCAATTCAGTTTATTTATAGAATGAAAACCACAACAAGAGTCATCTCAAGGCACCTAAAAAGTAAACAGACCAATTGAACCTACTCATCTGTGCACTGAGATCAGGTCATTTTGCCAGTTAGTTAGAAGTTTCCTATGTCAGGAAACCCTGATTGCATCGCGTCACTACTTGTTGTGTCAGTGACTTTACAACAATCCCAATACCAAGCAAGCATGTAGCGACAGTGGAGAGGAAAAGTCCATTTTAACAAGAAGAAACCTACAACAGAACCTGGAGGAACAGACATCTGTGGTCTGACTCGCTGGGGGGTTTGAAAAGTAAATATCTCCTTATTTAAAGAGAGTTGTAGTATCAGGTTCAGAAGCACAGTGGTATTCACTATTCTTGAAACAAGCCCTAAATCTGATTTTTCCCAGGAAATGTTATCTTACTTTGTATTCGAATTCAGTTTATTCCATCTCACTGGCCCTAATAATAATCAATTTGGTAAAAGGAAGGACTGGCCTGATAAAGCATTTTGTCCTTGACCGTCTCCCATTGCAAAAACACTAGAAAACAAGTGCATGCAAAAAAATAAAAATAAAATAAATAAAAAGAGAATAAAAACACTAAGAGGCACACAAAATCAACTTTTTTTTTGTTATATTATACTGAGTTACTCGGTTTAATAACATGCGTTTAATACACATTTAATTCCTGCTTTGCTTCCAATGAGCTGTACTCCATTTTTGTTCCTGTGATATGTAATCAGGTCTCCAGCTCGTTTCCGTGTCACACCGTCGCGCTCGTTAGAGATAATCTGGTCGCTTTGAAGGTGCTGGTTCCAGAGAGCAGCGGTAGGTCCGCCTGCCTCCGGAATCACCTCTGATCAGTTCAACCACAGCAGCAGCGCAGCGGCTTCCATTTTAACTCCGACACCGAGTCGCGTCTCACGTGTCCTGGGCTGTCTCTCTCACATGACCCGAGTGTTTGTTCCCGTGATCAGCACTCCCCATCTCTGTCTGTGACACCGAATATCACTTTTTATTTTCACCCTGATGGATATGCTCGAACAGAGTCTGGACACTGCAAGGTAACCGACAACTCGGTCAAAATGGCTAACAGAGACAAGCGAGCTACAACAACGCGTAGCTAGTTTACGGCGCTAAAGCAAGGCCCGACTTAGAAACACTGATGTTTAAAGCCAGTTTAATAAGAATAAGTGCACGTTGTTTAGCGAGGAAAGTAGAAAACTTTTCAGGAAGCACGTGGAACAAGTTGCATGCAAGAAAACATCTTTTGTGGAAAACATTATACTTAGGTAATAACAGCTAACTTGGCTTAAGCTAGCCTTAAAAACATAATGAAAGCTAATGGAACTTTGGGACAGCAGCTAGCTTGTTTTTATGCGCAGTTGAAACTATTTTAGGTGGATTTTTGATAAGTTAAGTAGTCGAAGGCTTTAAAATGTATAACTTTTTGATTAGAGGTTCTTTCATAAGTAATTAGTTTTAATATTAGTTGTTTTGCGTTCGATTTGCAGCCAAGAAAAGCAAGAAGAAGAGGTTGTCCAGACATCTGAAGGTAATTCATAATTCAACTTTTAGGAAGGGATCTGGCTCTAAAGTTACGAAAGTTTAAAGCACAAAAGTTATGATCGGTTAATTTAGAGGTGTGCTTTTACATTTTACTGTGCTAAGGTCCCCTGTCTCATTCCTTTATTTATTTTAAGAAATTAGTGGTCTTTTCCAAAACATTATTAGCTGGTAAGAGTCTCATATTCTGTCAGGTCTTTTCTGCATATTTTCTTTAGAAATGCTTTTCTTCATATCTCTATCACTTCCTCAGTTTTAAAGATATGACACAATATTTTGGTGCCAGGTACAATGACCAAAATAAAATCAGAGGTTAAAGTCCTATCTTTAAAAAAATCCAAGATGACTTTAAATCACAGATTTTTGCAAACTAGAAAAAAAATGTGTGCTTTTATTTTTGCACATTATGGTATCCATATCTTCTAGCATTAGCTTGCTTTGTCTTTTTTATATTATCAACTGTCTATTTCTGTCCTTTTTCCTCATAAGACGGAACGGGAGAAGAGCCGACGGGTGTAACAATAGCCAGTGTTCAGCAGGCTGCAGCGTTTGGTGACCATAACATACAATATCAGTTCCGCACAGAGAGTGGGCAGGTATGTGAGTGACAGATGAAAGTTTCTGCTTTTTAATGCTGTTTTAAGGAAGCTCAATGACACACATACCATGACATCAAATTGGAAAGATGGCCTCTTTTCAGGAAAACAGAATGAAAAAAAATTCTAGAGTAACTTGTATATTATGTTGGATAAATGTCCAAAAAGTGATTGTTGCTCCCTACACATTACAAGTTGCCTCATCGCTCATTTTTCTAATTGTTTAATCAGCATGTGGCAGTATTGAGTGTTGCATGTTCCTAAAGGTTGGTTTATGCTTGACGCGTCCGCGAGGTCCGCACGGCTCTGCGCGGAAAAGTTGCGTCATTTTGCGTCATTTTAACAACCACGCCCCTCCACTGCGTCTCCGCACGGCCCAAGATTTCCGCAACGTGCACCTCGGAAAATTTCTAACCACGCGGACGGACGGACGCGGGAAAACATGGCGGACCGGCAAGAACTAGTACGGCAGAGGTTCGTAAATACAGACTTTTGTGTGATTCAGCTCTCAGAGATCACCGTGATCAACATGTTGTTAATAATTTTTGGAGAGAAATAGCTCGCACTGTCTGAAAAGATGAGGACGCTGTTATAAATGCTGGAATGCCATGTTGTAAACAGTAATTTTTACTTCTACTATGGTGTAGTGTTGGATGCATGCCGTAGAGCTCCATACTGCCCCGTTCAGTTTGGGAGAATATTGGCTCACCGCAGAGACGAGCCGCACAAACCATAAACGCTGCGAGTTGTGAAGCGCGTTCCATCCGCGAGCCGCATCACCGCGCGGAAAGTGAATGCGTCAAGCATAAACCAAGCTTAAGACAGAGTTGGTACTTCACGGCCAGCAGTCTTAACTTTTACCGGTAGAACTGCTTGTGTAAAATTGTGATGAACACACGACTCATACGGCAGCTCCAGGAGACTGCCAAGCCTGATGTTTGCTGCAGTAAACTGAGCAGGGTGTTTGTTTTCTGGGTGGCGGAATTGAACTAAATGCAGACAGGTGATTCGCTGTGACGACACCTGAAGGGAAAATCCAAAAGAGAAAGAAGTTTGATTTTTAAGGCGGTGCATCGTGCAGCTCTGACTTTTTCACCATGTTAAATGCCCAATTACACATGTCTGTAGTAGAGGTTGACTGATATTGGTTTTTCTAATACCGATACATTGAGGTCATGGTCAGCCAATGGCCGCTTGATGTTTCCAATCGTATTTGCACGCTAAAATTTCCCCCAATAATATCAGTTGATGAAACTTTTTTATTGAAGTTTTATCGACCTTTTTTTCCTATTGCACCACACATCTATTGATAGATATATTCAACTATTGAATTATCGTCCAGCCCTCGTTTTGAGTACGTTTTATGCGCTAACGCTTCCAAAAAACGTCAAATTCCATAGTTTAGATGGGGCCAGACAGGAAGTCAAACACGAAAGCAGTGTAAAACGTCCAGAAACTTTCAAAATAAAAGTCATGTGCAGCTAAACGTACGTCATTTCCTGTGAAACCCCCATAGCTGATGTAAATGGAACAGAAAATTAACCACAAACCTTTCTGGGTACATGTGGCAGACGTTCTCCTTGCTTGTTAATGTGTGGACTTGTGAAATCACGCGCAATGTTTTGATTCTCCCGTGATTTTGTGACTTAGTGTGACCAGTGGCGTGGAATGCTTTCGATCCAGTTTTGCATTTGAGTCGCTCCCGGTTGGCGGGGAACTTGCAGATAAAACGCAGCTATTAGGTTTCACGCTGCTTTCACATCCGGTGTAAAGGAGGCTTTAGCCTGCTAGCTAACAGCTACATGTTATGGTGTCTGAATTCTGCAGCTGCCTTGTGTGTGTGATGTTACAGAGTTATCCTACAAGAAATAATGAATGTTGATGTAGAGGAAGTTGTTACATTTGAAAATCACTATCCCAGAATGATTTTAAATGTCATGCTTGTTGTTATATGATAAATAAATAAAAATCTGGTCTTTTTCACTCGATTCCGATCGTTTAAGAAATAATGATAAAAGACCTGCACTTGTGTAGCGCCTTTCAGAGTCAGAGGACTCCAAATCGCTTTACATTACATTCGGTCACATACACAGTCACACACTGGTGGTGATGAGCAGAATTCTCTGGTCGGAGCCGGGATCAAACCTGCAACCTTCCAATTACTGGACAACCCGCTCAATCTCCTGAGCTACTGATGCCCCAGAAATCACATGATCGGATCCTAAAACTCGTAGCAACAGTATATTTCAAGTTTATTCTGGAAGGGGATGCTGGAAACAATATCTTGAGTCATGCAAGGCAAGTAAAGCCAATTAAATTAAGTGTGAACTTCTAACTGAAGACAAAAAAACATTTTAAAAAAATGCATAGCGTGGAAATTTGCAATAATCAGGGTTTAGGTGTAAAGAAGTTTGTGATCGTCACCGATAATATTCTCTATATGATGTATAATTTTATGTTTTACGTCTTCATTTACCCAACTGATTTAACCCTTATGACCACCATCAGGGCACAGGAATGACCGTTTATGTTTGAATTGCCCATCGGTATCAAACTAAAGGAACAGTGACTCTTTACATTCAGACTGATCCAGTCGGATCCATTTCAACCCAAAACAAACCTTATGGTTTAGGACTATCAGGCAAAGTTTAGCTGGAGAAAGATACCATCTTCATTGAGAGAGGGTAAATTAAGAACCAAACCAAAAATAAAGTGCATCACGAGTTAGTATCTGATCACAATGGAAAAAACAGTTTCCTCACAAGCTATCTAATCTGTGTCAGGGTTTATTTATTTATTTAACTTTACAGTCAGGAGTTAATCAGTCTCTCAATTCAATGACAATATTAAAAGTTTTTCTTTTCTTGTTTTCTGAAATCGATCTGAATATGATCCACTTGCTGGTCTGTTATGGGACAAATAATTAAAACGTGTGGGTTTGCTCATTTCTGTGTTTCTGTGGGTGATTTACACTGACAGAGAGAAGGGGGTATTAAATCAGTGATCCATGCGGTTGGTTTGGCGTAAACAGGTCAGGTGTGCGCGATCATGTGATCGCAGTCTGGTCGGAGATCGGCATGGGGGAACTGTCACATGTCCGTCAGGAGGACAGTCACATGATGGAGGGATACAAATCTTCTTGGAACAAACAAGTTCATTTTCCTTCCTGGGTTTTTAAAAACTATCCAATCAGGCACATTCTGAAGCGTAAGCACTTGAGTGTGGGTTGGTGAGATTGGAGCACTGCTGAGGTTAGGACCGGCGTTTCACACTGAGCTCGGCCCGACCGGAGAAATGATAAACAAATCTGCAGGTCAGGTAGTGATCTGTGTGCCGCACACCTGTGAGATGCTCTGTGATAAATTAAACAGTTTTAACGTCTGGTGGATTTTATTAATTCCATCTAAGATGCTCCGACCTGTCTCCGTCTCTGTCTCTGCCCCACAGGTGACTTATCGTGTTGTCCAGGTGACCGATCAACACCTTGATGGAAGAGAAGAAGCAGGAGGAGCAGTGAGTGTCGTCTCTACGGCTGCATTCGCCGGTGCTCCTCAGGCTGTGGCTCAGGTAACAACCTTTCTATCCATGGAAGAAAACCCACAAGGTAGTATGGAATATTTATAAAGAATAGCTGCTGCTTTTCATTTATTTATGTGCCTGGAAGTTTCTACACAGCTGATTTATTTTGACAGTAAACATCATTAAAAACACTCGAAAGACCTTTTGGTTTTCTTTTATTTGATAATCAAAAACAGTGTTTTTTTATTTTCTCTGCTACAGACTCAGTATTATGTGTGACATCCCAGCGTTTGGCTATATGTTAGATTTTGTTGCAGACAGAAGTGCTCGTTGTCCCTCTGATCAACTAAATCCAGTAAGAAATGCAGCGTACCCCCCCCCCCCCCCCCCAAACGTGTTTAATGTGCAGAATATAGAGCAGCAGAAATGTGAGATTTTTCCAATTGTGCTCAGTTTACCTGCAGGCTTCCCTCTTCTATCGTCAGCTGGGACGTTTGCGCAGTGCAACACAGCTGGTCGTGGCGATGGATTGTTTTCGAGCAAAGCAAAAACCTGCGTCTTCACTAAAAAGAAGGAAATGTTTGCAGTCTATTAAAACACAAGTCATTCTAGAATATTTTCACCATTTGAGTTGTGTTTTAAAGGGATAATTAGCAATTTTTCATTTTTTTAACACATTGACTGCCAGCATTTTCGGCGTTTTTACAGTTTATTTTTTGAAGAGCCACAGAACGTTGCGCTATATGATGATGTCAACGTCAAAACTACCAAAACAGAGGAGACTCCCCTCTTACATCAGGAAGAATTCGTGCGTTTCGAGCCTCATCCGTTCTCTCATAATCCGGTGTTGAATTGTGATCGGCAGAAGCTTTTCCGGTTCGCGCCTCACCTTTTTTACAGCAGCGGCCCAAAACGATCCAACACATGGATTTTCTGCTTCCTGATCTTGTGACGTACGCCAATGAATATCGGCTTTAGAGCTGGGATGTTTGTTCTCACAATGCAGGGGCTCGCTCCAACGCCCACACAGTAAAAAGATGCAAATGACGACTTTAGCTGTCATTGGCAGTTAATGAGTTAAATAGTTTTCTTGAACCAGTTTGTGCTAAAATGACCCTTTACAGAGTTAGTGAAAAGCCACCCAGCCCCTATCGCCCCCTGTGGTCAGAATATTCCACTTGCAACTTCAGCCTGGCGGGCCGCACTGTTGGGACTTGAGCTGACATATCTGGCGCTGTAATCTGGTTACAGCATGTTTTAAACTGTGGACACAGGTGATTTGTTTAATTTAGTGATGAATCACTCCTAGGTGGACATTAGGAGGGATGGGGAGACGTTTCAGCGGTTAGATTAAGGTGTTAAGAAGAGGAATTCACCGCAAGGAGATAGGTTTTGCTTTCTGTTCTAAAAATGGACACTAGGGGGTGCTAAAAGCAAGCCAAGACTTTCTAGTTACCCTTTAAAATAAAGTTTTAGGTATTTACCTTTCACGTCTCTGCCAATAGAAAGTTGTCGCTTGATGTTACAAAAATTCTTTATTTCTACAATTTTTTTGATTGATGCAGAATTTTGTGTGTTTTTATTAGTACCGACATACACCAGAAGCAGAAATGTACAAAATACAGTTTTCTAGTCAAAATAAAGCTAATTATTTACATTTACAGTTACAGAGCAGTGATGGCTCTCCTGACCTTGCTGTTATCCCCTCTAACGAGATCTCTGCTGCTCCTCTTCCTCCTTAATCCCAACTTGTCAAACCGCTCTGTCTCTTTCTCAGGGGTCTACAGGGGACATGGAACTGAGTCTAACAGGGAATAAGGTGTGCGTTTACCTGCTGTGGCTACTCTATTGCGATTCGCTCATGCCGCCCCGTGTTTCTCTTTTATCTGGCACAGGCTGTGATCCAAAACCCTTTCAGTAATGGAGGAAGCCCAGCAGGAGAGGCAGTGGGAGGGGAGACCCGCTTCGCTTACTTCCCCGCGACTGCTGTAAGCGACGGGACCGTGTCGGTGCAGGCCGCAGCAGACCCAACCCTGACGCAGGCGGGGGGTGAGTCACTTATAACTTGGTCTGAGCTGAAGCACATCAAGGTGCTGCACGGCTAATTAGACCATTATTTTTGACAAAAGGGAGCTCATTAGAAGTATCTTATAGCCAGAATAACATCCTGTTCTTCCAGTAGTTAAGAAGGAACCATTATCCACACAGCTTTGGTTTCATTTAAAATTGAAAAAGATGCTAAATAAAAAAAAAAGCCCTTAAATTATAACTAAAGTGGAAAACTGTTTCCTCAATATATATTTATGAGAATGTTTTACATGATTTTAACGAGCAAGTCACCCCCAAATAAACGTTTTGTATAAACAAGTGTCTAATAGTGCTGTAGACATGTAAAGTAATTGTTTTGGCATCATAATGTATCTTATTTTTAAAAATTATACCATCAATGTTGCATCCTTCTTCAGCCCTAGTGGCCTCGGGACTCTTATGAGCCATCGGGTCAAAAGGATACGGCTGTCGACCGCTCCCCTCCTCCAAGATACCCTCCTTCCTAGCCTCTCTCAACTTTTCTGAGGCAAATGAGCTAGCATTGCTGTCAGGGACTAGGAAGGGCTGCCTTTTATCTATGATTGTGTGTGTGTGTGTGTGTGTATGAGCACATGTTAGCGCCTTTGTCCAAGCGAGGTGTGTGTGGGAGTGTTTTAGCAGCTCCACCCTCCCGGTCCACCAGACGACACCTCATTTTTACCCATTTTTCAAACAGGAAATGTGGCTGGAGTACAAGTCTGGTAGGGGTGACTTGCTCTGTAACATCGTAAACACGCTCATTAGAAACATTTTCTCAAAATGTGCAAAAAATTTCCCGTTGATGATAAAAGAGGCGTCTCCTAACTGGGATATAAGAAAGGGTTGGGATGAAGTTTACTGTTTACTGTTTATTTTAAGAACAAAATGTAAACACAGTGCAAAGACTGAGTCCTGCAAAAGTATACTTTTTATTTGACTTTCATCATTTATTAGATGTCACATGTGTTTGTTTTTAGCCAAGAGGTCACCAACCTGGTACACGCGGGCGCCATGGTGCCCCCAGGAACCATATAAGGTGCCCGCTGGCCATTTCTGCAAATAGCACAAGTCTAACATGTATTAATATAAATTTAAAACTACAGTTCTATAGAAGAAAAAAAAAACATTAAAATATATTTATTATACAATAAATTTTGATCGGTGGGATTTTCTTATTGCACGTTGTAGAGGAGCTCAACAATTCAGGTCTTGTATTTTAATATGATGCCGTTTATTGCTGACTATTTCTGCTGCTGTCATCTCTTTAGCTAAAGGCACAAACTAGGAAACAAGATTTTAACCGAAAACTCAAAACTCAGCCTTATAAATTACATTTTTATGCCAAATTCCAAACCTAACGTCAACAACATTGAGGATGCTCATTGTTTTTATGCTTTTGTGTCTCGAAAAAGGACGAAAAAGTTATTTGTTGTTAGCCATTACATATTAAAATCCATGAAAGCATAAGAGATCAAGTTACTAATTAAATTTAGCTTGTAGTTTGCTAATTATCAACCTTTTCTCTTTTCTTGCTGCAGAGACCAGAGCTGCTTAAAGAGCAAGTCACCCCCAAATCAACTTTTTTTTGCTGATAAACTAAATAAACGAGTGTCTAATCGTGCTGCAGACACGTGTCGTCAATAATTTGGCATTTCAGTGCATCTTAGTTAAAATTTAAATTTTCTGCCTAAAACTGTCAGTGTTGTGCCGTTGTCAGGTAAAAACTATGCACTGTATTTGAATTTAAATCTGCCACCGCTATTGGCTAAGAGGTATGCTATGATGTAAACTGGTAAATTATGATGTCACAATGCTGTTGTGAACCTGTGTGTGTGTGTTTGTTAGCGGCTCCGCCCTCTCGGTCTGCCAGGCAACGGCATTTGTTGCATTTTTCAAACATGAAGTGGGAGTGGAGTTAGACTCTGGTCTGGGGTGACTTGCTCTTTAATTATTGTTGATTAGTTTTTGGCATTTCACAATTAAATTAACTTGATGAATCGTTATTAAAAATGAGTTTCCTGCCAACAAAACAAAAGCAAATCTAGCATTTCCTTCAACCTACTGGTTGTTCTGGACATAAATGTTTGTTTTCTGTTTTGCTACATAACAGTAGATAAACAGCTGCTGTTCTCTGGTCAGACACGTGGATTCATTTCAGTAACGTCTCTTTACTCGTTTGGTTTCTTTGACTAATTTTGATGCAGCTAGTTCACCGCACACACACACATGCACACACTGTTGCAGCATTGTGTCAGCTTGCATCACATGACACACAGGAGTCAGACTACCTCAAGGCTATATGGGTTGATGCACTTCAGCTGTAACCTGTGTTATTACACAGGTTACAGCTGAAGGCTGCAGCTTTAGGCAAGAGCGCTAAAGTCTGAAGTGTTGGGTAAAAGGTAAAACACTCACTTAAAGGTTGTGAATTCTGAATTCGTAGCTTAGCAGAAGCATTCAGTTGACTAACGAAAAGAAACAAAAACAGGAAGTGCATTTTTTAAAATTGTTTTTGGATTTATTGTCAGATTATAACCAGTCAGTCTGACTTGTTGATTCCCACAGGCCAGTTTTATGTGATGATGACACCTCCTGATGTCATTCAGACAGGCACACCACGAACCATCGCCCCACGCACACAGCCCTTCCCCGCGTGAGTATCGCCTCTCCCTGTTGCTGCTTTCTTTTTTAGAGTTTGATCACTTTGACATCAAAGCTGTGAGTTTTCTGTTTTCATTTAGAGATGATTTATGGTGGGGAAAAAACATATATTATTTAAAAGTAACAAATTTATAATTTTTATGTGGGCTTCAAGTATTTTATTCATTTTCACACATTCAGTTCATCTGTGGGGTTTTGTCCCAGTGGCACTATTTGATTCCAACTACTTAGTGATCAATAAACCCCGTTCATCAGTTTGAGCCACGATTCATCAAATGACCCAGTCCGTAAACAGAGCAGACTCTATAAATCCAAATGCTAATGGGGGAAAGGGCTGTAAAGGACGGTGGAGGAGAAATTTCTGAGCATCAGCCAGAGGAGTGAGTCAGTGTGGTTGTAAAATAACTTCCACATCTCATCTGATTCACCATAAAGCTCACACTTAGTTCTGATGACATCTAGTGATGTGTTCTTAATTTTGGCACATAATGTTCAAACATTTAAGGTCTCATTCACTCGTTTTTTATTTTCTTTAATAAATCTGCTGTGGTCTCTAGAGTTAACGAATGCCTTTTAAGTTGCTTTCTGCGTGGGGAAAAAAAACAAGCTCTCTCACACCCATTTTAGGAAGCAGAAGTTTGTCGGAGGGTTGAGGAGCAGGAAGTGGTAAGATTTGGAGGCTTATTCATATATATATATATATATATATATATATATATATATATATATATATATTACATATATATATATATTACATATATATATTACATATATATATATATATATATATATATACATTAGTAGGGGTGTGTATTGGCAAGAATCTGGTGATACGATAAATTTATCATAGTAAAGGAGAGACGATACGATGTATTCATCACAATACAGGAGAGATGAGTCATTGATGTTTAATTTCCACAAATAACTCGAGCTTGAATGTGATCCGCCATGTTTTGGAGTTGCTAATTTTTAGCTTCTACTAGCCAAGATGCACGCTGCTTTCTCCTGGACGCTGAATCAACACAGCAGTCGTAAGCCACGGTGGACGAGGCCATGAACACTAATTTACTTGTGACGTAGAAGGGACTGCCTTTTTCTGACCCGATCGTTTTCCCGTCTCTTTCCTTTCTGCGGCTAATGTAGGCAATTGGTTTTGACGAAAAGTTTCACGTTCAGCCTGCGTGTGAAACTCAAAATGACCGATCGTATTTCAGGAAGGACAAGTATCACGTTTTTTCAGTGAATGAGACCTTTAAAAAAGTGGACCATTCGGTTCAGACTTGTTCTGACTTATTTTGTGCCTTTTTAATTATTAAAAAAAATCCTAAAAGACACTAACACGTGATATGTGATGCCGCTGCGAGACGGAAGATTCTTGAATGTCATGCAGCAAATTTCCTTTTGTTTTGTAACAACTCAGCCACAGTCATTTGCTTCCTGAGCACATGACTCTAACAAATAGTTAACTCTGACTTAGCGGAATATTCCTCTTTTTTTTCCACCGGGTTTTTCCTTCATTTTTAACACTTGAGAGGTTTTTTGCGGTCCTCCTATAGAGCGCTGGCTGTTTTAATCACCAGGATCTTTGTCTTTTATCTTTGGATGCATTTGGGACATGAATTAAGTGCTTTTGCTCTGTGATTTTCAGATTTTTGTTTTTAGGGGCAACTTTAAAAAGTCAGCTGAGTGAGATTAGAATAAAGCTCTGGTATATTTGATGTGATGTCTAGAGACTTTGCCATCCCTGTTGAGAATAACAAAACAAACTGTGTTGAATTCATGCAAATAAGTGAAATGTTTTGTGTATTTTTTTTCATCTCTCAGACTGCCTGTTTGCAATGTGTCTGTATCTGTTTATTCCCTCACAAGCAAAAGAGCAAATGTCATCAGTTTTAAGTGTCACAGATATATTTTAAGTGCTAACTAACAACCGATGGCATGTAAACAACATGAATGAAAACCTCCCATCCCTATCTGCCGTTTGCAGAGATGAAAACGAGCCGCTGCAACATGAAGGTTTAAACTGGTGAGGACAGTTTTCACATTTCACACACTGCACTTTTCTTCTTTAGAGCAAACAGACTAATCAGAATAAGATCACAAGAGAAGGAGCAGCACACATATTCTGCACTCTTCCCTTCCCATCCTTAAGTCCCTAGTGATTCTCCGAGCTCTTGATATGTGTTTGTTCATGACCCTGGTCTATTGTTGTTAGTTGTGCTTGTGGCAAATAGATTTCTCCATTACAACCAAGAAATGAGGTCACTGTTTTCTGTCTGGAGACCAACAGCTCGCTCCACTCTTTAATTTCAGTATCATTTTAGTTGAAATTTGTTCTCATTTAGCTTAGTTACCACTAAAGTTCGTGTTGACCTTACTTGGACAGTTTTAAAAGTAGTTTCTTTCCCCCACACTGCAGAGAAACACACACACACACACACACACGCACGCACGCACGCACGCACACACACACACACACACACACACACACACACACACACACACACACACACACACACACACACACACACACACACACACACACACACACACACACACACACACACACACACACGCACACACACACCCCTTGTTGATTCAAAAGGAAACTCCTGACATATGAAAGTAGTAGAACTATTTTGTTGTCAGTTTTGCAGTTTTAATACAACCGGTTAATGGTGAGCAGCTAATGCTCAAGGCCGAAACCTTAAATCATTCATTGAAAGAGTAAAAACTCCAAGCTGCTTTCTTCAGGGTCTTATTGTGTAACTTCCTGTCAAGACAACTGCTCACTTTTTCTTAAAGAAACTCCAAAAGAAGAACCAGAATGTGGAAATTACACTTTCCTGTTATAAAGTCATACGCGTTTCCTCACAAATGACACAGTAAATGTCACCCAACACGTTTTAGTTTTTAATCTCTTCGCTCTCACTCTGGGTCCACCCTGGAGGCATCAGCAACGCGGTACTTCTCAGCTTCAAATACTATCCACTATAGTCTACGAGTTGGTTCAAACTGGCCGTGGCGCGGGACAGTTCAAGTGTGTGCCAGAAATGGTGTGGTGCGCCATTTCTGGGACGCGCTTCAACTGTCCCGCTAAAAATAGGAACGGTTCTATTTTAAGCCTAATTCATACTTCTCCGTCTGCGTCAGGACGGACGCACGCAACACCATTATCCGTCCTTACAAGCCTGCTGGAGAGCCCTCGCAAGGATGGATGGAGTTGAGCTCTCTTTTCTAAGTATTCGTCCATCGAGACGGAGAACACAAGCTTGTGATTGGTCAGGACGCCGCCGTCTATAGCGCCACCATTGTGCCCTCATGAACAAAGAGCCGAGGATATCTAGCGGCAGACATGATGCAGCTTGAAGAATACCTGGTGGAAAATCTCTTAAATACGAACGTTTTATTCCCCTGTGACTGGAGGAGTGAAAAGATGCGCTGCAAGCATTTTACTCGTGGACGGAAATGACGGGAAACGTGGGTTTAGAGTTGGCGAGCACATGAAGAGGTGGAGGAGAACCGGGAACAAATTTGTTCGTGTTTCAAAGTGTCTTAAAAAAAACAATAAGATATAAACACACGATCTTGGGCCTCTGTTGTCCTGGCGGGGAATTGCTTTGCAAAACTCCCCAGGAGACGGAGACGTGTGAGGGCAAATTGTCTCCATCCGTGCGTGTCTGTCCCACGTGTCCCAGAAGTCGCGAGTCACTTCTGGGACACGTCCATTTCTGCATTTAATCTGTGGCTAGACAGGAAATCACACACTTGTTATAGTGTAAAACATCTGGTAATTTTCAAAATAAGACTATTGCAGAGATGTGATTTCCTGTCAATGCGCCCTGCATGTGCAGGGTGTCCCCCAGAGCTTTATAAGCCTGGCGGCCCGCCAGGCTTTGCTTACCCACCCGCCAGGCTAAGCGTCATGCCCCGCCCCCCCTCCCCGAGCCTACTGTGTCTGCTGACAGGAACGGCGCTACGAAACTAGAGCCCTCCATCAGCTGATACTGGTGAGAAACAGCAGCGGAACATTTGCAACCACCCCACCCCCGCTCTCACGGAGGAGCGCTGTGAGACGGAGCGCGCGACCGCCGCCAGCGCCCCCCGCTCTCACGGAGTAGCGCCAGGCTAAACTCATGTTCTGGGGGAAACCCTGATGTGACCTAAAAGCTTATTTACTACCAGCATCTTTTGAGAAGGTTAACATGTTTTTCATGGCTTTAATCCTGGTAGTGGAGAGGAACAACTGTGACATCAAACCTGATCTCCAGCTTCTTTTTGGTTTAATGGCAGATTGCATAAACAAACCACGACCTTCGAAGTTTCAAGGGATTTTGTGATCTTGCGAGTCCAGCGAGAAGGACAGCAGAGAAGCTGCTTTGTGTCTGAGACATTCTCCCAGTGCGATATAGACGCACCGCGAAGCACGCAAGTAAACCGTCCCGTTGCCATTCCGCACTGCTGATGCCTCTAGTGTGGACCTGGCGTCAGGAGCACTTGGAGACGATGTGCACACCGTCTCTAAGTGCTCTACATTGTGAAAAGAAGAGGAAGTAGACATCCATGGGCCCAATATTTAGTTATTCATTCAGTCATCTGCGTGCAGAATCCATTTTACCACTGAAATCCCATCAGGGTTTGTTGAAATACAGGATAGAGTGTTATTTAGCTTAGCTTAGTACCTGAAAGGAAGCTCTCCGTGGTTGAATTGAACTGATGGGACCTGTTTATTTTTTTCTCAGCTGTAGAGGAAAGAAACGTAATAAAAAGACACAAGTGGGGATTTAAAAATACATTTTAACACGAATAAAGAAGTAATGATAGGGAAAAAAAGCACAAATACCGTTGTACTTTATTAAGATTGATTCGTTGTAATGCATGTTGAAATATCAGCATATGTTGGAGTAGTAGTGTAGTCCACATGACAGCTTTGCTGGGCTTTATGTGATTGGATAGCACCCCAGTCACGTTGCAGAGACTTAATTAAGAAAATCTTGAGGGAAGATGCAGGGACAAAAGAGAAAACATTGTTTGATAAAGCAGTGTTCTCCCTTCAGGCTTCACCTGGGAGGAAAACAGGCTCGAATAGCTTGGCCCGGTGTCAGGATTCCTGTTAAGATGCTCGAGGTTACGAGCTTGTGTGTCACGGCTTCACACATAGCCTCACATGGCTGCACATCCTTAAGTTTTATAGCCAAAGGAACTTCAGAGGCTTGTTTTGAATAGCAATTACAATACTCTTGATTGGAAAGATAACAGAGAAGAATGGTACTTATAATAGGCACAGGATTAGTTGGATTTAGGGAATGGGATTGGATTTGTGCCTGATTGTCTGGTGCTTAGAGATGGAAGATATTTTTGTGTTTGCAAAAAGGCTTTTTTTAAATGTCTTATTTATCTGTAGGAAAATGGACGGACCCCGAACGCCAAGAGATGAAAGAAGAAGAGCACAACATAATGAAGGTGGGTAATTAGGGATGATTGTGGCTTTTGATTTCATCTGACAGTGTAACACAATGCGGTGTGGTGCCTTAATGGGAAATGTTCTGTTGAAAGAAAATCACCAAACCCTGTCAAAATATGCCATTACAAGATTAGATAGCACAGTTTTCAAACCGGCCACTAGAGGGTACTGTTGAGCTGCCGGGAGCGAGCCAGTGGGTGTATCCACAACATCCAGGACACAAACTAAAATGCTTCTTCAAGCTAAGATGTCTTTAAAGGCCTCAATAAGAAGAAATGTGTCTGGAAATAATTTTTTTCTTCAATTTGTTCTATTCTGTACCGTTTTATCAGTTGAAAGGCGGCGAAGAGACAAAATCAATAACTGGATTGTCACACTTTCCAAGATGATCCCTGACTGCAATATGGACAGCACAAAGACCGGAGCGGTAAGCAGTCTTTTATTTATTTATTTAATTAATTTATTTTTTTACTGCTGCCATTTTTAAAACTCCCTTTCAGCCGTGTGCATCTCTGTCCCTTCAGAGCAAAGGAGGTATCCTCTCTAAAGCCTGCGACTACATCCGTGAACTGAGGCAAAATAACCAGCGACTGCAGGAGAACCTAAAGGAAGTGGACAGGATACAAGTGGACAATGAGCTTTGCAGGCAGCAGGTATTAATAGCAGCCCGTGCTCCGGCCTGCAAATGTGGCGTCGAGTGAAGTTTCGGTGACTTCAGCGATGCATAAAAGAAAGTCCATGAATGATAATTCAAAACGTTCCTTTGAGGTGGTCGGGTGTAGCCGATAAATAAATCTGCACATAAAAAGGCAGCCACAGAGGGCTGCATATGTGGTTCTGAAGATTGCCGCTGCGCTGAATAGATTGGTTTGCCGTGCGGTGCGTTGAAACCTTCAGCGGTAAAGTCTCATAAGCGTAAAAATCCACCCTGGCCCTCATGCATCTTCATTTCTGGAAAACAAACCCCCTGAGACTCCAGGCTGTGTAGCTAATCACACAGACTGACAAAAAGGATCAAAGAGTTTGCTCTCTCATAATGAGAAGTGATACCTGAAATCAGTGCTTTGAGAGGCAGTGGGGATAACGTACACTGGAGCTGTGAGAGAACTGAGTGCATGCTAATTCGTGGGAAGTATTGTGAAATTTTGGCGCTCCAAGACTCCCTCTTGAATCCGAGGCCTACGAGGCACTCGGCAATATATTTTTATTCTGACGCTCAAAGCTCAATTTCTTTCCCTCAGTCCCTCGCTGGGGAGGCGGTGAAGTCAGAATCCACCTGAGGGAAATGAAACAGATGACATACCTCAAGATTTGATAATCCACTCCGTTTTGGACGGGGGTGTTATAGAACAAGCTCTGAGAATGTTCTCTAATCCCATGTGTTGCTCAGCTTGTGTTTACATTACAATAAGGTTCAGTTCATCAATTCCAACGGCTCCAAAGATGTCAGTGATAGGATTTTTTTTTTCAACATCTACATGTACTTTGTTCTTTAGATTGAAGAGCTGAAGAATGAGAATGCATTGCTCCGAGCGCAGCTCCAGCAGCACGGCATTGAGATGGTTGGAGAGACGCCGCCACAATAAACGGGCAGAAAACGAGCAGGGAGGAGCAAACGCCACTCGGATGTAACTGACATCGTGGAAAAGCAGACGAGAAGATTGGAAAAAGGACCTGTGGAGAATCACTTTCCTTTTTAGTGATTGCCTCCTATCGCGGGCCGTGAACCCTTCACCAGCCGTTTGTGGCTGCGCTTGACTCTTCCGGTCTTTTTAAGATATCCACCCGTTGCAACTCGGTAGAAGTGTGCTCCAAGAAAAGATGTCCTCTCACCGTCATCAGAGTGCTGATCCAGCACCAGCTATGAAGCGAAGCCTCTGCTGAACTCCTCCTGTGTTTTTGTATTTAAGTAGCCTCACTAATGGACTATGAATTTTGTTATATAAATAAGCTCCTTGTGAGTTCATGTTGGTATCTCTCTCCCCATTATTAATTTTGTAATAGGTGTTGCTTTTATTCCGTTTGTGTTTTTGAGTTGTGTATTAATACGTTTGTTTTTAGCATGTTTAATTTATTAGTCCGTTTGCTGATAGAAGCCTCAATGGAGACCAGTTACATAGAAACTCGTTCACCCCGAGAAGCAGGCGGGAATACGGCGAAGTATGCAAACCCCTACAGACTTATTTAATCATACCGTGACACACGTGGCTTACCTACATCCAAAGACGAACGAGGAGCCGTGCAAGGCGATGCCCCTGGGCTCGTTTATGTAAATATGATTTCTGAAGTTTTAATACAGATGTTACAGAATGTTAGAGCGGATTATCTCCGGGAGTCAGCAATCAATAACTCATTAACTCCACGCCGGCCCTTCGTCATCGTAAATACCATGAAGTGTGTGCAGTCTTGAAACTTGATTTGGAGACAAAAAGAAAAAAAAAACGACGGGTATACTTGAAATGTTGGGCATTTGCTTGATTGGAAAGTAAAGAAAGAACGAAATCGCGTAAAAACTGGCGATTGTTTTGAGTAAGTGTGGATCATGCAGACCGTTCCCAACTCAGCACTTCGGATGCGGCGCGAATCCCAACGTTAGCCAAAACCATATTTATGTGCTGTGAGTTTATTTTTATCTTTTTGTTTATGTGTGATTTGGAATCGTCTCCGTACGTGCAAGAATGATCCCCACATGCTTCATTTCAAGCCGTTTGCCCTATTTTGGTTTTGCTCCTCTTCAGTTGGAGCTCGACACGCAGGAGATGGGGGGTGGCACCCTGGAGAGCGGTACTCAAAGACTGCTTACTATGGAAAAAGGCTACACAGAAACCCTGTGCTGCACTTTTTACTCGAGCGCAACTCGTTCTCCAAGAACACGGAACAGTTGTGAAGTGGGATAGATGATCTGGTGTTGTTCTCCACCCACTCAAGCAAACAATAAATGAGGTATAATTGGGTGTACATACAACACAAGCCAATATTAACATTGTTAATGATTTTTTAAATGAATATACATGACTTCTCATTTTTTCCCTCCGCTTTGGGCAACGACCGTGAGAACGGAGGGATGTTGTCAAGCGTTGAAACCACTCGTTAAAGCACGATTTCTCCTCCATGTATCAACATCTCAGGATCCAGCAAAGCAAAACCAACACTTTAGACCCCTGGCAAAATCAGGCGGACCATCACATTTAAATAACTGAGAATCACAGCTCATGCTTTCAAAGTGCTGCTCAGCTACAACGGCTAGATTAAAGCCTGATGGGAATGGCGCTGCTGGTGTCTGATCTATCAGACAAGGCTCTGAGTTGAACGATAGATGTGCAGTAGTTACTTTTGCTTGTTTTTACACCTCGGAGGAAAGCAGAGAATGTAGACACAAATAATGCTTTGGAAGGTGGATGTTCACCAACGAAAGGTCATGTCTAATCCTCACTTTTTCCCCTGCATTTTCATTTATTTAAATGGCAAAAGGAAGAAATGAGCTTTCTTTTTCTCTGTAGCAGCCTCACTTTTCTCAGGTTAGAGACATCTTTTCTAAGTAATGGTGGAAAATAAAACTTTCACTTGCCGATAATCTTAATTGGAGTTTAGTTGTGCTTTATTGTGCTCCCTCAAATCTTGGAAAGACATTAAAATGCTCTATTTTTGTGGTAAACGTGAAGGCCTATTTATTATGTCTTATTTGTTCAGTACTGCATATAAATTATTTTGGGTTGGTTCATCAAAACTTTATTTGTCTGACATAAAAACTTTTATTGCTATGTTTACTACACACAAATGCTGTTTCCTAACTTTATTACACCTTAACCAAAGCTCTCAAGTAACAAAGTGCAATTACTTTAATATTTGTTAAAGAAAGCTAGAGGCTAAGGTTGAATTAAAAATGCTAACGGTGACTTAGAAACAAATGGTCGTCAAAAATGACCAACAACTCCATGTTACAGCCATCCATCCATTTTTGGTCGCTAATCTGGGGTCAGGTTATGGGGGTAGCAGCCTAAGCAGAGAGGCCCAGACTTTCCTCTCCCCATCCACTTGGGCTAGCTCCTCCAAGGGAATCCCAAAGCATTCCCTGGTCAGCCGTAAGACATAGTCCATCCAGCGTGTCCTAAGTCTTCCTTTTGGTTTCGCTTACCAGTTGGACGTGCCTGGAAAGACTCATCAGGAGGCACACTAACTAGATGCCTCAGCCACCACAACCAGCTCCTCTCAATGTGGAGCAGTGAGTCGACTCAGAGCCCCTTCCGTATGACCAAGCTTCTTACCCTTTCTCTTAAGGGAGAGCCCAGCCACCCTGTGGAGAAAACTTTTTTCGGTTGTTTGTAATCTCATTGTTTCAGTCACTACTCAAAGCTCGTGACCATAGGTGAGGGTTGGAACGTAGCTTGACCGATAAATCGAGAGCTTTTGTCTTCCGGCTCAGCTCTCTCTTCACTTCATCCAATATTAGTGAAATGTATTTGTTTACTCATCAACATACTGTATATGAAGCGTCTTTGTTCGTTATCTAGAATCTTGTGGTGGTGAACCGTAAATGGCAACAGCCATGAAACTAACAACTGGTGAGTCGCTTCATAGTTTTGAAAAAAAGAACTGCAGTACCCAAATTTGACCACAGGAGGTCATTCTTACATAAAGCACCTTTAAAAAAAAACACAGACACAAAACTTACCTTGATGAATTTCCTTGTCTGGATAGAGTGAATTTGATAGAAGTTGGATAATAACTAAACATCTAGCATTCTGACAACCTATTGGTTTGTACCACCCACATATTAACAAAATACATATTTTGAGCTGAAACAGGTAGCCTAGTGTTTCACAAATGTTTGGGATACTTGGTCGAGATGTGGGGTGACCCAAAGCTGCTAAAGTAAATTTAGAAACCAAGTTAGCTTGAAACATTGTTTCATGCCTCTTCGTAATGGTCTAATACATTGTGGAGATTTTTAAAAAAATGATAAAGTGGTTCTAGCATTTGTTTAAAAACCTCCGTCAATAACACAGCTAAGACCAAAAGCAACTATTGGACCATCCAGTTTTCGGTCTTGCCGAACCACCACGCTTCCCTGGGTCTTCCACCCATTATGCACTCGCGTATTTAGTTACAGGTTACCACAGGTGGTAAAGGTTAGCAGCTCAAGGAGAAACAGCTGCTACCACTTCAACTCGACAAACCACCAGTGTCCCAAAAAGAAAAACACTATTTGAAATCACGGACAACAAAAGGTGTTCTGTCGTAGAAAACTGTCTGCTGTTTAGCGCTCTCTCCTTTCCTCTGGCAATGCGGGTTTCCGGTTCCAGTGGATCCGGAATTTAGGAAGATACCTGGGGGGAGGGGTGATTGTTCCGTGACTGTGTTTGCTTTCAAAACTTGCGTCCAAAATATGTTTTTTTTTCTTGATACCATTTTTAACTTATTTGCCTCATTACTTACTTATTACATACCAATACAATAAGGGTTCCTTTATTAATGGCACTTAGTGCATCATTAAATATTAATAAACAAAGGGCCCCTTTATTAAAATTACCATTATTGTTAACTATTAAGTGTTCTTAAGGTTAGGACGAAGGGCCCGGGTGTGGGGGTGTCTGCTTAGTAATGCATTACATAAAATGGTTGAGCAGTTGTTAATACATAATATTTTAGTAATGCTTAATAATGCACTAACTAATGTTAATAAAGGGACCCTTTTTGTAATGTGTTAACTTTATATACTTTAGGTACTTTTTTAGCATTTACTCCAAAACTTTTTTTAGAGAAAATTCAATGTTTAGATGTTTGTGTGGAGACTGATCCCTGTTAGAGAACTTCAGTTAGATGTTCTGGGATTTTCAGTGTATGTATCTGCTAACTCATCCAGTCATAAATTTGGCAATTTAGGGATAGGCCAGTGTGAAAAATGGCAAATGAAAAAAAAAAAAATCAGCTTTAACAAAATAAAAATAAAAACCTGCCAATATTAGATCATTCAAAACTTTGGGATTAATTAGATAATATTATTTATGCTAACTACTGCATTTTCCACCCCTCTAAGCTCATCAGCTCGCACACGAGACAGTCAGTCAGGCGTCTGTGTGTCTCTGCGTCTGTTTGACATGGATGATCTCTGATCCCGTGTACCTCTCTGTCCGCCAAGCTCCCGTCTTTCACCTCTAACTTGGAAAAGCAAGCAGACTGAAAGGAGTCAGTTTGGAATAGGAAATTAAATGTCAAACACCTTTCTTTTACATATATTAAGAAGCAGGTACGAGGAAATGTGACCTTCACCTCTCGGAGCAGATAATTCACTCACATTTAATTGATGCATTAATTGGAAGAGGAAAGGCTGTTCTCTTTGAGTTGTTGCCGAAATTAAAATGAGTAGATCTGAAATACCAGACTTGGTGGTGAGTATTTAATAGGCGGATGGGTCAAACCCATCGCTGGAGAACAGGGGTGGATCTACAAAATTATTTATGGGGTGGCAGAAGGGGGCAAACATTTTTCTAGGGTGGCAAAGCACACACACACACACACACACACACACACACACACACACACACACACACACACACACACACACACACACACACACACACACACACACACACACACACACACACACACACACACATATATATATATATATACGTGTGTGTGTGTGTGTACAGTATGTGTGTCTGAGCTGAACCAAGGTAAATCTAACTGCACTGTGTAAAGAAATATTTCACTGCAACGAGATATTGTACTTTGGTTTTATTGTTCAGTCAGAAACATGTTTTCCTTTTCCCAGTATTTACATAGTCATTTGTTTTGGGTCCTCATTTAATAAGCTTAAAAGGACTTAACAGAGTTTTGAGTTTTTATGCTCGCGATTGCCTCCTCAAGCCAAAAGCGTAACGGCAGCTTCAATAGTAGGCTCGTGCACGAGGCGCGCATGCTGTATGTGCACACTCCTTAACGAAAATAACAGCTGAGACAGTCGTGTGTGTGTGTGTGTGTGTGTGGCCCAGAGGACAGAGGACAGGAGAACGCGCAGCTAATTAATTAAATAATTTGGCTCTGTACCTTTCTCTTCAGAACAGCCGACAAAGGTTTAAGATGGGTCAGTCCTCCTGCATGCTCAGATCATTCCCTTCCCTTGCTTGAAAAATTGTTCCAAAATGAAAGTTGAACCCACATCTTTTTTATCTGTGAATTCAATGTCGTTCGGCGAGTCTCAAATAAAAATTTGGGCATCTTACTGTAAAAAAATATATCATTAATGTAAAAAATAAACTCTAAACTATGCTCACATCCAGAATTGAGCCCGGGTCTCCTGCACGAGAGTCCGATGTCTTACTAGGTGAGCTATAGCAGCAGAGACACCTTATGCATCTGTAATATTTATATCCTTGATTACAGCTAAAACAACATTCAAAGAACGGTTCGGAGCGAAAATGGCTATTTTGTTGCTAATTTGCAGGAAATATCTAGAAGAAAGTAGCTAAGGGTCCTCAGAAATGTAGCTAGGTTCATCACTAGACGTTAGGAACAGCGACAAAGTCGCTGAGTTGGCACTACCTCTCTCGCTGCTGCTAAAGCTACGGATAGCAAATGCTACGGGCTATGCCTGAGTGTGAACACGCATGAAGCAGCCTGCTCGACCCGAGCAGCTCTCTTTTTCTGTGATTTTACAGAAAAACAGGCAATCACAGTAAAAATGCCAGGGCTCGTTCTACAGGGCCAGGGCATTGCAGGAGAATGTATGACGAAGAAATTTATTATTTCTATACATGTTTTGGCTGTCAAACTTCCATAATGCCCCTTTCAAGGCCCATCACGAAAATAAAACCCATAATAAAATTATGTCCTTCCTACAACAGCTGAATGCGGCAGTGCCCATGTTGCTCAGCAAAACAATTTACACATCCATCAAGATTCAAAGATTTTACCCGTTTTGATTCAATGCTGAGTACAGCCTAGCTTGGTAGTCTTTTCTCTGTCAAAGCAGACTGCAAATAGGTCTTTTTGAGCCTGAGAGTTGAAAAACTTTGATTTTTCTTGAGTTTATAGCTGCCAGCTATAGGGTGGCAGCAGGGGTAGCAAGGCTTTATTTTAGGGTGGCAGTTGCCACCCTATGCCACCCTTGCCCCTGCTGGAGAACTTTTTATTTCTCCTTATACACAGCTGCTGTGCCGTCTCAACGGCCAAAATATACTCGTGTAAAGCCACAGTTTTGTGTCCTGCAGGCCCGTCTTGCCTTTGTGCTTTTGTAGCAGCAGAAACATGCTGTTGAAAAGGTGTATTGTCCATCGCCCCAGCCTGACTCCTGCTCCCCTTCTATGGGAGGTGATTTGTTGAAAATGGATGAAAGAACATGTCTTTGTTCAATATTTCATATAACTCCTCATGCCTGATGAATCACACCAGCTCTCATCAGCACAAAGCTGTTTTAGTTATTGTAAATGTTACAACGCACAGTTAAAGTCTGCAAAACCCTCAGTTAGAACTAGGCAGTAGAGTTCTTGTACAAATGCATTAGTCTGCTCAACTTCTCAGGGCGACTCGCTTTAAGTTTCAACTTTTTTTATTTGAATTTATCATAATTTTGATTTTAGTATTGATTTCTTGAAAAAATCATTTCTCCAAAACAACTCTTGCTTTTTTAATAACTGGAGCTAAAAAAACAAC